GGGGGGGGGGGGGGGGGGGGGGGGGGGGGGGGGGAGATGCGGGCGTATCGTGCGATGTGCGTTTTATGAATTCGAAGCGTACGTACGCGTTCGACGTGCACGCGTGGCGGGCCGACGTGATTTTCTTCATAGCCCGCTGCGACGCTCGTACGCTCGCGAGGGTAGAAATGAAGACTTCATTTTGCAGGGAAGAACTATGAAGATGTCTATGAGGGGTGCTGACAAATCCGTATGCAAAAATTTGCATTGCCGCAACCTTCAGTTACGACCTCGAGCTCATGTGTACATGTACGAGGTGCTGCGATAGATCAAACGCTGTTCAATTACCATCCGAGATGTGAAACCCTTCCTTCAACCTCCCGAAACTGCAAGCATAACCCTTAATAAATGGTAACCTCCGAGCTCCTCCTTTCAACGCGTAAACCCGCGTGTAAACGACGTTTCTTAGTTTGTCCGAACAAAGACCTCTCATACCAACCACGTGGCAAACGTAGTGCTGGTCCTGCACCCGTGGACTGACTTCAAATGTTGCTCACAAAAAGCTCGAGCTCGGGATCAAGCGAGTCTCACCTGCTGCAATCGCAATTGGCCACGGCCATGAATGGGCTACGCAGGGTCATCCTTCCTCGGGGTTACACCTGGCTAATTACCTAAATCGAATTCTCCCGAAGCCAAGGCCAGAGCAAATAATATGATCCCCGAGATCGACGCAGACGAAGCTCAGCCTCCTTATCGCCATACGCCGCCGTCGCCGTCGAATGGAAGGGGGTGCGAGTGCGTTCGGTTTGCGCGTGTCCTAATCTCGTTTCTTCACGCGCACTCCCGACGGCGCGGCCCCCGCCCCTCTCTGCACAGACCAAAGGAATGTCACCCGCGCTGCAATTGCAACCTGCAAAAATGAACTGAGGTGGACATGCGATTGATCTGATAGGCTGGGGAGTGTACGATGCGTGGGATAGCGATTCGGAGGTGAGAGGTCTGGCTGCTTTGGGGAACGGTGGATCTAGCCGAAGTTCCGAAGAGAGGCCTCGAGGCCTTGATCTGGCGCGGTCGAGAGGTTTGATCACTACCCACCAGAGCATCAGTTCGAGTCGCTACAAGGTCAATTGCAATTGGAAGAGCAGGAAAGAGAAAGATCAATGGCTCCAATCGCAGAGATGGTCATGGCTGCTTTTAACAACACCCGCCCCGTCAATGGCCTCCCACCAACCCACAACCCCGCCCTGATCTCCAACCCAATGGCCCTCTACAACGAAACCCTCCTCCTCACCGCCCTCGGTCTCTTTCAACACTCCATCATCTTCGGCCTCGTCTTCCTTCTCCGCGGATTCGACCCAAAGAAAGTGTGTGACCTCCGCTGGTTGGTCACGGTGTTCGCCGCGACTTTCGTGGGTGCGCCCGCGGTGTTTCTGTTTGATAGGAATTTGGATATGATTAAGCAATACTTCTTCCTGGAGCACGAGGCGGTGGAGTACCTCCTCTTTGGCGTCGTATGTCTCCCTAACCTCGTTCGTGGGCGTGAGGGGTGGGTCCTCGGCGCCGGATGGGCTGGGGTATGTGCGATTACGCTTTATGCCGCTTTCGATGACTTCCATTGGCATTCGACGGATGTGATTGCGTGGAATGCGTTCATCTCGGATTCACTTGTGGGGATTGCGGGGGTTGTGTTGGCGATGAGGGCATGGAGGGGGTTGAAGAATGGTGGGGTGCAGATGCCTGCTACTGTTGAGAGACTTTGGGCGGAGGTTTTTGCTGGGATGGGGATGGCTTGTCATGGTTTGTTCACCTCCGTCTTCTTCTGATTTACCGTGCTAATGGACTGTACAGGCTTCACTACCTTGCCCGTCCCGCCCGTCTTCACCGCCATTGTCTACTTTGACCTGGACCCAAAATGGTTCGCCTACGCCTGGGCCTTCGTCTTTGCTGCTTTGTTGGCTACCATGGGCCTCAGCGCTCCCATGATCAAGCTCTTCATCCGCGACTGCTGGTACGGCAGAGCCGACGAGATCAACGAGAACGGCGACGACGATTACGGATACTCCGAGACCGATTAAAAAAAATCACAAATCTAGAATAGAATTCAAACTCTCCTAAATAGAGAAGTTGACAGGAAACATTGTCGATCCTTACGTACAGCACATCGAATTTGAATTTCCCCATGCATGAGCGCTCGAGCAGCGGGAACGGTCCCTCTGGTGCCCGCGTGCGTTCCCAGCGAAGGCTCAGGTGGCGACATCGAGAAACTGACCCATTACAGGATCCGTTTTTCCATATACCATATCCACGACTGCCCTTTTTGCCCTGCCTCGGAGCCGGGATACCCGTTTGCTCTCCTTTCTGCTCACGAAGTCCCGAGGGAAGCGTAACGCTCGAGCACCTCCAACTCCGCCGTGACAATCGGCCGGGTATATCGCCAGAGATGAACACAATACCAAAATGCTTAATCGATCTCTCGGATGTCAAATTACGGAACTACACGGCTCTCGTACCGTTACGACATCACCAGTCCGTGTTGTTCGCAAAGGCGCATAGTGCAACGAGGGGCAATCGAGTGATCTACATTGCTTTCGCGCCGAAACCTGATTATATGTCCACCAGTCGGTTACGGCATGAGTGGAATGTTTGGGCACATATCCATAGACATCTGAGTACGACGGATGGCCTCCTTCCGAGCGGACGGGATTTGGTACCGAACATGACTTGGGAGATCGGGAGTTGTGGTGGGATGATCGTGTTTGATTATGGAGATGATACAGAGATTGAGGCGTTGCGTCGACGGTATTTCCCGTTGAATCCGGAGAGTGGACTACCCTCCACTACGCCCGTGATCAGCCTGGATGAATTCCTAGGGCATGCGATACAGTGTGTGGAGATCTTGCAGACACTACATTCGGCGGGTGTACGGCATGGAAATATTCGACCGGATACGTGGTATGTGACTTTGCAAGGGCATATCATCCTTTCCGATCTGGGGAATGCGTCCTTTTTGGATTCGGAGCAGGAGATGATACCAAGTTTGACCTCCCACGACTCAGTCGCATATACCGCCCCCGAAAGTACAGGACGGATGAACCGCGACACCGATTGTCGAGCGGATTTCTACTCGTTGGGTGCGTCATTCTTCGAACTTCTTACGGGTCGACCACTCTTCCCGGGATTGGTCGATCCGCTTGATATGATCCACGCACACATCGTCAAAGCTGCGCCATCGCCAAATATCTGCCGTCCGATTGATGAGATTATCTTGAGGTGTGTTGCGAAACATGTTGATGAGCGGTATCAGACTGCTGCTGGTTTGCTTGCGGATTTGAGGGACGTCAAGCGGAGGATTCAGATAGCACAGTTTCCGGTCAGTACGCCCATTATTGCGAAACCCCGTGTTGCTGGGTTGGATATTCCGACTCCCCGGGACGATGATAGAGCATCGTATTTTGATACGTCCTCTGCCACGCCTAGTGGAGCACAAATACCTGCTGATAGGAATGACGCATCACACACTATGGTCCAGAGTGATCCATGTTGGAACGGGTTCGTGGTTGGAAAAGCAGATCATGCAAGTAGGTTCGTGATTGCGGATGACATGTACGGACGACAAGACGAACTGAGCACAATCATCGAGGCTTTCGACTGCGTAGCCAAGACGGGGTCGCTATCCGTTATCACCATCAAGGGATTCTCCGGAGTGGGGAAATCAAGGTTAGTCCATGAAGCTGGGAGACATATGCTGGGACATGGTGCGACGATGGTGAGTGGGAAGTACAACCAATACGACAACGTGCCTTTCGCGACTGTTGTCCAGGCTTTGAGTGAGTTGATCAGGCAGTTGTTGACTGCCACGGATGACGCACTCCTGGACTGGCGAGCGAAGATCCGGCATGCGTTGGGTGAGGAAGCGAGGGTCGTGACGGAGGTTATTTCGGATATCCAATTCATCATGGGAATTGATTACGCGACGAATGCGCCTGCATTGCCGGAGCTGCCACCACTTGCTGCAGAGGAGAGGTTTAAGCGCGTGCTGAAGAGTTTGTTGAGGGTATTTACGACGAGTAATGATTCTGGACGGGTAGAGAGGGGAAGAGGACCGCTTGTTATTTTCTTTGATGATATACAGTGGGCGACGACGACTGATTTGCAATTGATTGCGGGGTTGGTGAACGATGAGGCGCATGATGCCATGGCGAATTTGCTGCTGATATGTGCTTATCGCGATAATGAGGTCGGTCCGAATCATCCTGTGCATACAGTCTTTCACCAGACTGTGCGTCTTGCGGCGGAGATTGAGCTTGGGGTCCTTGATAGGGCGAGTGTGGAGTGTATCATCGCCGACACTTTGCATTGCCAAGAAGATGACACACACTTGAATGAGCTCGTGGAGATTATCATGGAGAGAACATTAGGAAATGCGTTCTTTACCGTGCAGATGTTGAAGGCGATTCACCGTGAGGGTTGGTTCACGTTTGATTTCGCGAGTAGTCAGTGGATGTGGGATATCGAGGGTATTCAGACGATGCAGTTGTCTAGTGATGTCGTGGAGTTTATGATCGGGGAGATTGAGAAGTTGGATGAGGACACGCGGGAAGCTCTCAAGGTTGCGGCGTTCTTGGGTGATGCAAGCTTTAGATTGGACACGCTCAGTATTATCATGAACTCTAGCGTGACGGACGTTGCGAAAGCGCTTTGGCCTGCGATTATGTTTGGTCTCGTCGTGCCGAAGAGTCAAGGCTACAAGAGGACGATCGCAATGGCTGACGCAAGTCAGTGGAATGCACCTGGTGTCGTCGAGTCAATTGGGCCAGACGGCATAACGCACATGACGATGAGCACGGATGACGCGCCGTCAATGATCGACAGCGCAGGTTTCTATCAACCGTTCTCCTCGGAAGATGACACCGCATCGACAGATCTGACTACGCAGCCCAACACAGGTCTTTCCGCCAGGAAGAACGCGGAGGAAGAGGACCGACGCGCACGGTATCGAATGTTCCATGATCGTGTTCAGCAGGCTGCGTATGGCTTGACACCCGAGTCTGAACGGCCTTACAAGCACTACGAGATCGGTAAGCTGTTACGTGATAATTTGCAGAATCCGCAGATGGGTATCTCGATATTCGATGTCTGCAACCACTTGAGGTTGGGGCTGGAATACATTACGGACCCTGAGTGTCGTGATGACATCGCAAAACTGAATTTGGCAGCTGCCCAGAAAGCCCTGAGGACAACTGCATACGCCCCAGCCTTGATGTATCTTCGGGTTACCGAGCAGCTTCTCCCCGTGGACATGTGGGAGACAAGCTACCAAATGGCGTTTGATTTCCACTCAGCTATTATCACTGCTTTGTTCAGCATGACCGAGTATGATGACGCGCTTCGGTATATTGAGACTTTGCGGGAACATATCAAGTCGGACTTGGAAGTGCTGCAAGTTGCTATCCTCCATTCACGCGTTCTGGCAGCGCGTGGAAAGTACACAGAAGCTGTCAAGAACATCTCCTACCTTTCATTAGTTGGCATGAAGTTCCCCACCGACGAGTCAACTTCCGAGGAACGTCGAAAGCTCATGCAATCACTTGTCGACGAATGTACGATAACGCCGGTGGAGATCGCAACCCTTGCGAATAGACCATATCTTGAGGACGAACTCGTTGCGACTGCATTCGATCTGGCAAACGAGCTGTTTGCGGTGATGGTTATTCTATCTCATGAACTGCTTCAGCACGCTCTGCTCAACGGTATCTCCATTGTTATCAAGCGCGGTATGACGAAGAACTGTGCTTTCTTGCTCGCAATTCATGCTGTACGACTTTCATCCATTGACAATGCTTACGGTTGGTCGCCCGAAGCTGCCGATGCTTGGAACCAGCTGGCCATCGCATTGGTCCCTGCCACGAATGACCCGTTGCTGGCTGCACCGGCTTGGACGGCTATCGCTGTCACCACTCCGTGGAGGAACGATATCAGGAAGGCTCGCCCGTACTACGTGAAAGCTTTCGAGGCCGCTATTGCGTCAGCAAGAAAGGACTTCGTCTTCCTGGCTTTCACGGATATGTCGTTCTATCAAATCCTCGCTGGTGATCCAGTCCCAACGGTATACGATCAAGTGGAAGCGCATGCTGGCCTAATCAAGGGCTTGAAGCGTGATGATAGTTTCCTCTATTTCAACCCGTTTCAGCAGTTCATGAGGAACCTCCGTGGATCTTATTCACCAGACGTGTTCAAACTGTCTGGTGATGCATTCAACGATGACGTCCATGGTCCAGCCATGGTAAGCTCTGGCCTTCTGCTGCCTATGAGTATGTACTATCTGCAGAAGATCATCCTGGCCATGGTCTTCGACGAGTACAGACTTGCAGCTAAGCTGTACAAAGAAGCCCTGCCTGCGCTGCCCGGTACTGCCGGCATCCTCTTCGAGGCCTACCTTCACTACTGGGGTACGGTTGCGCATATCGCAGCTGCAATCGAGGGTGAGGCATACGATGCTGAGATGGTTCAGCGAAACCTTGATCGCATGCAGGCGTGGGCTACCCATTCGCCTAACAACTTTGACGGTCTTGTCATCCATCTTCAGGCTGAGCAATGGTTCATCGCTAAGGATTACCGTGAGTCGATCAGGTTGTTTGATCTGGCCATCAAGCACGCAGATCAGAATTCTCAACCTCATCATGTCGCTTTCTTCAACCTGAGAGCTTCTATGATGCTCGAAGTTGCGAAAGGTCGCAAGATGGCAGGAGGGTATGTCATGGAAGCGTTCGACTACTTTGGCAGATGGGGCTGTGAGGCGAAACTCGAGCAGCTTGCTTCCCAATGGCCTCAATATATCGCTGTATCTCTGCCGGAATCGCAAACTAAGATCGGCGCATCCAAATCGCCGTCTAACGCCAAGGAGAACGTCTCCACTCCCACTGATCCAGCTTCTCTGCATTTACCGAAGTCGGTAGTGGAATCGAATTCGTTTCAGTCGTCTGGAGCATCACTCTCTCACACCAATACTCATACCAACTCCTCTGGCAAGGAAACCACCTCTTCGGGATCAGCAGCTGAGAAGATCGCCCGGATGACGCTTGCTGATCAGTTAGACTTCCGGTTGGCCTTGCAAGGTTCGCTGGCTATCAGTGAGTCTCATGAAGTGTCCGAAGTTGTGCAGAGGATCGGCACGATCTTGCTGCGTTGCGCAGGTGCTGACTACTGTGCGCTCTTGACGTTTAATGGCGGCAAGCTTTTCGTTGAGGCTACATCGACTTCACTGGGCACAATTCCGTACACGAAGCGATTTGCTGATAGCAGCCTTGTACCGCTTTCTTTAGTCAATTACGTGACCCGAAAGAAAACGCCTGTTGTGAACGACCCCAACAGTGTTGGAACATCTGGCATTGACAAGTATCTTCGCACGAATAGACCACATAGTGTCTTGGTCTTGCCCTTGATGAGCCAGTCGAAGCTTATTGGTATCGTATTTTTGCAGAATACCCATGTGCCCAACGCATTCAACAAAGAACGTCTGGACTTGCTTTCGCTGTTGGCTACCCAGGCTGCAGTTTCTTTGGATAGGAGTCACGTCTTTGCTCAGCTGGAGAGCCTAGTACGTGAGCGTACAGCTGAATTGCAAGAGGCAAAGGAGGTTGCCGAGGCTGCGACATCTCTCAAAAGTCAGTTCTTGGCTACGATGTCACACGAGATTCGAACTCCATTCAACGCTGTGATTGGCATGGCCAGTCTCCTCAAAGACAGTGACCTCGATGCTCAACAACGTGATTACGTGGAGACGATCTCTTCCGCAGCTACCGATCTGCTTACCATCATCAATGACATCCTTGACCTTTCAAAGATTGAAAGTGGTAAGCTTGTCTTTGAGTACACTTCTTTCTCTATCAGAAACTGCATCGAGAGTGCAATGGAGTTGGTCCTGGGTACCGTCAAGAGTTTGGATTTTGCTTTCCTGAGCTCAGTCAAGGACACTGATGACTTGATTATTGGAGATCCGACTCGCATCCGTCAGATCATTCTCAATCTCCTCAGCAATGCATCCAAGTTTACCCCTGAAGGGCGTGTTGTTGTTAGGATGTCCGGCCAGGAAATTGTGCGCTCCCCTGGTTCGCGGAAGGCTCTGAAGTTCCTGGTAGCTGTCGAAGATACTGGCATTGGTATTGCGCCAAACGCCAAGGATAAGTTGTTCAAGTCTTTTTCGCAAATCGACAGTGGTGCGTCTCGCAAGTTCGGCGGAACCGGCCTCGGATTGAGTATCTCCCGTCAGTTGGCCCGATTAATGGGTGGTGACATCGTCGTGGAGTCTGAAGGAGAAGGCAAGGGAAGTTCCTTCTTCTTCAGTTTCACGGCAGAATTGAGTGACATCTCGGAAGTGCCTTTTTGGTCGCCAAGTCTTAACCCCGACCTTGTCGGCCGCGAATGCATCATCGAAGATGCATCTGATATCATTCGGAAAATGCTTTGCCAGCACATGTCAGCATTTGGGTTCAACTGTAGATGTGCAGGCTCACTGGAGGCTGTTGAGAAGTTATTGCAGGAAGACGCAGCAAGCAACCCTCGCAGAACGGTTGACGTTATTCTCACAAGTAGCTTCTCGGGTACGATCAACAATACTTTTGTTGTCGGCGACACCTTGCGGCGCTACAGATCGGATATGCCTATCGTACACCTGCTGTCCAACATCCAGAACTCGTTTGCCGAATCCCTCAGTCAGAAGGATGACGACTTTGCGAGGAATCTCGACAAGGCAGCCCTAGATGTCCTGCTCAACAAGCACGCAAAGCGTCAAAAGGTCTTTGATGTTATACGCACAGTGATGATTGGTGGAAATACGAAGATGCTGCAGCGCAATAACATCGCTAAGTCGAAAATCGAAAACTTGGCCGACGAATACCCCTTGGACATTCTCCTTGCTGAGGACAATCTCATTAACGTGAAGGTTGCCACTCAGATCTTGAAGAAGCTGGGATACACGGTTGATGTCGCTTATGATGGAGCCCAGGCAATCAAGGCATGTGCTAACAAAGCATACGATCTCGTTCTCATGGATATTCAAATGCCCCAAGTTGATGGTCTGCAAGCAACTCGTCGCATTTGCGAGATCATCAACGAGGAGCATCGACCATTCATTTGCGCAATGACAGCGAATGCCATGACTGGAGACAGGGAGAAGTGTCTCGAAGCGGGTTGCTCCGATTACATCAGTAAACCCATCCTCGTACCGGCCTTAGCGGCGGTGATTAAGAAGGTGTCGGTGAAGAAGCGTTGATTTAGATTGCATTAGATTAATTTAGCATGTGGGAGTTTATTTGGTATATCTTTATTTATAAGCTAGGCGTTTTGGTTTCTATTATATTCACTGGATAAGAAAGGGATACATGGCATGCCGCATATGCATGGCAAGAAGAGATGGTAACATTTTATCCTAATGCACTATGCCAAGTTCTGAAACGTCCGTTTTAAGATCCTCTTGCCCTTGATCAGGTTCACCAAACGTATCCGCTCATCGTTAAGATGTGCACTATCACTACGCTGACCGCAAGGGAAGTGCGTTGCTGCTGCTCCAAACTCCCTCTCCAACCATCTCACGACTGGAATAGATCCTCCCTCACGGATATACAATGGATGCTCATCCACCATATTCCATTCTTCCCGGATTGCGCCTTCAAGTACCTTATATGCCGTATTGTCAGTGTCTCCAAGCCACCAATCCGCTTGATGATCGATAGTGACATTCAACACGTTCTTGGATCCCATCTCCGCAAACTTTGCTCTCAAATAAGCCTCGAAGTCGGCCGTAATCTCCTCCAATGATTGATCGGGCACAATACGTATCGAGACGGCGGCAGATGCAGATTTGGGAATGACCGTCTCGTTACCTGGACCGGAGACGTTCACATGATGGATCGTCAAAGAAGGGAATCGCCATCTTGCCATGAGTGCATCCATGTCTAGAAGGTCGTGGTGTGACGAATCAGGCTTCAGCTTGTCGATGATAGCCTCATAGAACTTCTCCTCGGAGGATGTTACCGGCCTAACAGCGTCGTAAAAGCGCGGCAGGCAAATCTTGCCCGCATCATCGGTAAGCTTTGACGAGAGATTGATGAGATCAATGAGTGGCTCACGAACAGCACCACCCTCAACACCAGAGTGCGCATCGGGACGATGACCAGATACTTTCACGGTTGCATGAATAACTCCACGAAGACCATACGTCAAACAAGGAACGCTATCGTCAAGCCAGTAGGAATTACTGAGGATGATCAGGTCAACGTCGCCAATGACGTCCTTCTTTGACCTGATCGCCTCCGCGAAGCCTTTCGAGCCAGACTCTTCTTCTCCCTCAATAACAAAGGTCACGTCGACTGAGAGGTTCTTCTCGGCCATGAGCTCGCTAGCAGCGAAGATCGCGGCCAGTACCGGTCCCTTGTTATCGGACACACCACGTCCATAGAGATATCCATCTTGTCCAGTGAGTTCATATGGATCACTGTGCCAATTGCTGCTGTCCTTTCCATTCTCGCAAGCACCAATGACATCGTAATGTCCATAGAAAAGAACATTCTTCCTCTTCTCCTCAGTCACAGGTGTCGAGTTCGCCTTGAACCGTCCCAAAACGACAGGGTTACCCGAACACGGTATCAACGTCGCTTCCGCACCCAATCTCCGCAAAAGATTCTTCAAGAATGTCGCTCCACGACGACATTCCTCCACATGCCCCGAACTTCCTGAAATCGTTCTTAAGCTTACCAACTTCGCTAATGCTTTGAACAACACCGCATCATCTTCTTCGCCCTCACCCTGCTCACCAGAACCATCAATAAAGTCCTCCTCAGTTTCCCGAACATCCCAAATCTTGAGCCACTCATCATTACCACCAGTTACGAGCAAGTCTCTGGCTGACTGTTGATTTCCGCCTTTCACGACAGCTGCGGCGAGTACGAGTCCTTCGCTCCCATCCTCTTTCCGGTGAGCTTCCCAACCCTCACTCGGGCCCTCTCGTCCCCATCTCTGGACACGTCCGTCCGCTCCTGCTGTGTAAACAGCCGTATTGTCCAGAACCGTGGTGCAAAGGACATCAGTACCGCTATGTGCGCTTCGGATATGTCGGAGGAGCTGCGCGGTATCGAGATCCCAAATACGGATATCACCGTTCGACATACCAGCATAAAGAATCGTGTCCTGCAACGACAAGCTCAGAACTCCCCCCACATCATCACGTTCAGCGCTCAAAGTTTTGAACGGTGCAGGTTCCGGGTGTAGTCTGTCCAATCTCCACAACTTAATCTCCCCATCACCACCACCCGAGAAAAGCGTCGCAGCTCCCCCCGATCGTCCAGGCCCAAGGATAAATGAATAGATATATCCATAATGCGCATACTGAATGATCTGATCTGGAGGAATTTGATGATGCGGCGTAGCTGCCGTACTCGGACTCGGCTCACTCGGCCGCCTCGACAACACCCCACCCGGACCCCTCGAATCAAAGAACTTGTGCGTTCCCCTCCTCGCGTGTTTGTTAGTCGCCAAATCACTCTCATCAGCAATCGGTATCGGCGTCTCCGTCCGCGGCGAATACACCGAATCCAGATCAAACCACTGAATACTCGTGTTCTGCGCCCCAAGATAGATATGTCCGGTCTCCGGTGCGTAAACAACCGAGAACATATCCCCAACATCGTATGAAGACCAAATGATACAAACGCGCCTGAGCGTCCGCACATCCCAGACGTGTACCATGGAATCTCCGGCAGAGGAGATGAGCCAGCGTCCACAATGACTTAGGTGAAGACAAAGCACCGATCCTTCGTGACCCGTGAGGACAGCAACGGATTCGAAGGTGTGGGAGTCCCAGACGTGAATAGTGTGGTTTTGCGTTCCGGCGAAGATGTGCTTCTCGGAAACAGCGAGGGAGAGAACGGAGCCTGGATGATGCAGTTTGTGTAGGAGTTGGGGTGTTGTGGGTGATCTCTTTGTTGGGGAGGCTTCACTTGGGGTCGCTGCTCGGGTTAGTGAGTCGATCATGATTGGTGATAGGTTCAATGGCCTCGACGGAGGCGCTGAACACATTGACATCGTATGCAAGCTGTCACTTCAATAGCCGACGTCGACGTACTGAATGCAGAATATGGAAAATCTAACACAAGGATCAGCAACCTGTACGTATTCTCCCCATACCAACAAACCTACCCTTAGATAACACGGCCCGCCTAGCTATAGAGCTTCTTGTCGAACGGCGTTTTGTTCCCGGCGGTGCTCCTGTCGTACGTCCTAGCCTCACCCTGCCACATGCACTCCAAGATTAAGCTTGCATATAATATGAAAAACCCCGGAAATATGGATGGCGGAAGTCAAAATGAAGATGTCGTATTTTCGGTTGTTTGCCGGTGAGGGTTTTCAACTTGACGTTACTGGCAATCCATGCTGAGATGAAGACAGAGGTGGATGATCCGTGGGAAGGATCGGAAGTATTGTTGATACGATAGAGATTAAAACGCTGAATGCAGAGTCTATCTTTTGATCCCAGAGACAATGCCATCTAATCCCTAAACCTCTTCCTCCCTAACCTATCCCACTCCCCAACATACTCCCTAATCTTGCCCGCCATCTCATCAACACTATAATGCTTCCCGAACGCATCAACAAACTGACCCTCTGGATCCATCAAATAAAAGAAAATACTGTGATCCACAAGGTAATCTTCGCCTTCTTTGATTACGGGAGGGGTGGAGAAGTAGACGCGGTAGGCTTTGCACATTTCTTTGATTTTGTCGTAGGTGCCAGTTAGGCCGATGATTGAGGGGTGGAATTCGGGGAGGTAGGCGGAGAGGGCGGCGGGGGTGTCGCGGGCTGGGTCGCAGGTCACGAAGAGGGGTGTTACCACTGCGGCAAAGTTAGTCTTCCATTACGCAGGGTGTGAGGCGTGCTCTGGAGGGTGAGGGACATACCTGGATGAGGATTCGCGGGATCATACTTCCCGTGCAACTTCTCCAAAACCTCACTCAACTTATCCAACTCCTCCGGACAGATATCCGGACATCTCGTGAACCCAAAGTACACCAACATATACTTCCCCTTGAAATCCTCACTCGTCACCGCCTTTCCCGTATGATCCACCAACTCAAACGGACCACCAACCTTCGGACGCCCGATAGCGCGGTTGGCGGCTTCGTGTTTGGCGAGTTCGGCAAGGCGTTTCTCGCGGCGGAAGTAGAGGGTGAGACCGATGCCGGTGAGGACGAAGAGGGCCGCGGTTTTCCAGGTGAAGACGCCGACAGCTTGGCGGTTGCGAATGTCGGTGTTGGATTCCGCACCGGAGGCAGCCCTGGAGCGGATGGGGGAGGAGGTGAAGGTACGGGTGGATGGGCGGATCAGAGAGGGAGTGTAAGTCCTGGCCATGGCCATGGAGGGACAACGAGCCAAGACGGGAGAGCGAAGTGCTCGGAGGACTGCAAGTCGTATGAGAATCAATCAAGCCTGATAACGAAAACAGTGACATACCTGACGACGGTCTACTCATCGTTGCGGAGACTTTTCGATATTTCCTTATTCCTCGAGCCTTCGTAATCACGTAAACAAGAAGCACTGGCCACCTTCGCCACGCCCGGCCAGGCGCGCGGGGGATAAGCAGTTGAGCGCAAGTCCTCACAAATCTTCGCATGCTCAGAGAAGTATGAATAATGGGGAGAATGTCCCGGTGGAAGTAGAAGGGATAAGTCCTCAGCTATCGCCGGTGACCTCACTACGGTCTGATGTCTCGAAGCAAGATACCCTCGTTTCGACATCGTCTGGGCCGGGATCAGACGCCGAAAGCACACCCTTCATCGCCCATGACAACTCCTCCATCCCACATCCTCAACCCCCTTCTCGACGGCGGCACTACGGCCTCCTATCCCTAATCTTCCTCAACCTTTCCTGCTCCCTAGTCTTCATCGCCCTCCCTCCCGTCGCATCCTCCGCAAAAACCTACTTCTCACTCCCCTCCGCAACCGTGATCAACTGGCAATCAACACTAGGGATGTTTGCATACGTCCCTGCCTCAATACTCTCCGCACACTCCGTCCGCCGCTTTGGGGTGCGGAATGCGATGTGTGTGGGGGCTGTGATGATGGCTGTTGGGGTGTGGTTACGGTATGCTGGTGCGAGGAGCGTGGAGATTGGGGTGGTGATATTGGGACAGGTTTTTGTCGGTTTTGCCCAGGCATTCTTTCTCAACGTCCCCGCATATTACAGGTTCCTCTTCGCCATTCCCCGTCCCTCCTCTTCCTCCTTAACTCAGCGGTGAAAATAGTAATATGTGGTACGGCCCCCACGCCCGCATAACAACCATAGCCCTAATGTCCCTCTCCAACCCCCTCGGCCAAGCTCTCGGATCCCTCATCGCGCCATTCGTCGCCTCCTCTCCCTCCCAAATCCCGTTCTGGCTGTTAATATGCGCCCTGATCGCGAGTGTGTCGACCATCTCCGCACTCCTCATCCCTGGGGACCACGCTCATTCCTCCCCCTCCCACACCGCTCCCACCACCCTCAAGTCAAGCATCCGTCAGTTAGGAAGAAACAGGAGGTTTTTGTGTCTCCTCGTCCAGTTTTCGGTTTACGTAGGCTTCTTCAACGCCTTCACCTTCCTCCTCGAACAACTCCTCACCCCCTCCGGCCTCTCCCCCGACGCCGCCGGTATCGCCGGCGCAATTACCATCCTCTCTGGCCTCGTCGCTTCCGCCCTGTTTTCTCCCTTCATGGATCGTCGCACCCCCGCGCAACAGGTGCGGGCGACACAAGTACTTACAGCGATAGTGGCGGGGAGTTATGTCGCTTTCATCGCGCTTTTGGCGACAACGGGGACGCGAACGCCAGTGGCGGAGGTGTACGTTATCTGTGCCATGTTGGGAGCGGCGTCGTTTATTTTGCTCCCACTCTCGCTCGAAAAGGCCGTTTCACTCACTCATCCCACCGGCGTCGGTGTCGAAATAAGCACGACAGCGATGTGGATCGGGGGTGAACTCCTGGGTGGTATCTTCATTGTGATCATGGATGCGTTCAGGAGTGAGGGAGATGTGGGGGATGGGGGAGGTGGGGTCTTTGGTAAGGGAGGGATGGGGTGGGGGGTTGTGTTCATGGGGGTAGTGAGTGGGGCGGCGGTGCCGTTTGCTTGGATGTTAGGGGGTGAGGGGTGAGTGGAGATATTGCATGGAAGGACATCCTTGGAAGACAAACACTGCATCCAGGAAATGTAGGAGATCCCACAGCCTCATGACAATCCGTGATGAACGAACGACATTGGCACGACGCCCCAACTCTCCCTTGTAACAATCTAAGTAATATAGTATTTATTCTCAGGGAAGTATCCTATCATAATGCTAACCTAGGCTTAATCATACCTATCTCATGCTCTCTCCCCTCAAATCAAAAGTCAAACCACAACGCTCTCAATCAATGATCAACGAAAATAAAGAAGTAATTATGTCCCTGGTATCCAAATCCCAAATGCAGGCAAAAGGATCGCACAGCGATAAGAAAATGAAACGCAATCCCAAATGAAGTTCCCATGATAATGTCCCCTTAACCGATACTTGCCAAATTTGAATAATTCACCACGCTCTCTTTCTCTCTCGTTCTGCGTCTTCATTCTTGACGCTCATGCTCAGCTGCAGACCAATTACTGAACCCTGGGCCTCCTCACAACCTCCCTCAACAACTCATCCAACTCCACAAAGTTATCATCATTCTTCGCAAACTTCCTATGCCTCTTCCCAACGATATGCCTCTCAAAATCATCATACTTCTCCTTACAGTTCTCACAATACCCAGCCTTGACCTCAACCTTAGCACGCTTCCTCTCGTGAGCGGGGGCAGCGCGGATAGCATCGACATCACGGCCGACAGCCTTGACGTTAGCGTCACGCGCGACGTGTTCACGGGACTGAGCATCGAAACCGGCTTGAAGGACTTTGCGTTTCATGTCCATGACCTGCTTCGAGGGAGGGGCTTCGCGGGGTCCGGTCAGGACAGTGGAGGTCTGGGACTTGATGGCGGAGGTGAGGGAGTTGGGCATGACACCCGAGGCGTCGATATCGCGGGGACGGTAACCACCACGAGAAGCACGGGATGCAGGAAGTGGCTTCGCAAAGTTGTCAAGGATGTTAACCTTAGACTCCCTCAAAGGAACCTGAAGCGCGTTCTGCGTGGCAGCAGGTTTCTGAGGGAGAGCCGTAGTCGCCGTAGCAGCAGTGTTGGGCTTGACAGTGCGACCAATGTGGGGGTCCCTGACGAAAGGACATCTGCCTAAGCTCGTCGCCCTCAGCTGCGGCCACTGGTTGTCATCCCTCTCCTTACCCTTTTCAACCTTCTTATACTCCCTGATCATGATAGGCCTGTGCACACCCGTCAAATCCCTTACAATGATGTACGGTCCCTTGAACGAAACCCAGTCACCACCCGGCGCAGTCGGATCACGCTCCATCGTTCCGTACACCTTCTCCTCACGCAACAAAGCCTGCAAAGGAGCCGTCTGCTGTGTAGTAGCCATAGCAACCTCAGGACAGTACTCAAGAAGGTTCTTCAAGATGCGGTTGACGCATTTATCCCATGTCCAGATCTTCAAGTTGAGCTTGATGGCTCTGACGAGGACGTCCTTGGCTTCGTCGCTTTCATCCTGTGGTTCTTCGACTTTGGCGGCAGCACGCTTCTTGAGAAGATGGTCTCCAAGGCCTCCGAGAATGCTGAGAGGCGTAGGTGCTGGTGCCGGAACGGGTGCGGCAGGTTTGGCAGCGGCCTCCCTCTCGATCCGTTCTACATCGGCCATAGTGGGAATTGGCCGGGTCGTAACGACGTGCGTACATTGATTCGAGAAATATGGTTCAACATGCTGTTATATGCCAGTAAGTATCCGTGCCAAGGTCATAACGTAGGGGATGTACACGCATATACCCGTATGTGGGCGCATACATCCCTGAAAGAAAGCACTTACCCCGCCAAACATTCTGATTTGCTGCGAAACCTTCGCCTTAGCCGCAGGATCCACATTGTCAAAGTAGAACCTGAAGCTGGGAAACGCATCGCGATACTGCTTCACCCACAGATCGATTCTGGTCTTCATCGAGGCCTCCTCCTGAGCATTCACACGTGCCTTCTTCGTTCCAATAGCCAACAGGTTAGGAGGAGCAACACGGCCGTTAGGAGAATCATGGTAGGTACGTTTCGCAGACTTGCGTGTTGATCCGACTTTAGCTGGGTCGAGGATCCTCTTGGATGGTGTGACAGCCACGGAACGGTTCGGCTTCACATCGACCAAGCCAGGCTTAGTGATGCCCGTAGTAGCCTGTGCACGTTTGGGTGTTTGAAGGAGGTTGTGAAGGTTGTTCGAGCGAGTCGAGAGAGGAAGGCGGACGGGAGGGTTACCGGTAGCCATGGTGTTGCAAACGAAAACACTGGACGGGGTGGATGCTGAGCAAAAAGGAAGACAAAGGGCTGAATGCTGGGTTGACGAATGCTGCTGACCGACTCAACTAATCGAGGTCTCGAACTCTGATAACGCTCGATCTCACAGTGACCTGGATGTTGTTGGTGGTTGATTGCTGGTACGTCGGTTGTGGTTCAGTCGCGTTATATTGACTTTACCCGACGCGCCGGTTTAAATCAGTTGTTAACGAGGTTGCATCTAAATGCTCTTCCGCATTAATTCGATGGCGCATCTTCGTTACCGCGCATCAGAACTTTAATTTGGGAACCATAAACCGAACAGTACTCTCCATTGAGACGGCCATATTATGAGGATAGCGGCACAGAAAACGTTGGGCCTCGGCCAAAAGATCGTTTTGGCGGGGATGGGTATATCAGGATTCTCTGTGGCTGTTTATGGCGGCATGGTTTACGGGCAGATTCGACGAGACGTGTACGGACCCAACAAGCTTCCGCCATCTTCCCTACCACAGGCCTCATGGGGTACGCGCTCCGAAGTTTCCAAGCCTCAATACGACCAGATTGCGGAGGAGTTCGATGCTAGTGTGGAGGGCACGGAAAGGTGGACCGGAATTAACCTGCTACGATGGTGGACCATGCGGAAAGCTTATGGTAACGTGTTGGAGTCAGGTTGTGGTACTGGAAGGAATATTGAGTACCTTCCACTTGATAAGATGGAGTCTATGACGTTCATTGACCAGTCGGAGAAGATGCTGAACAAGGCGAAGGAGCACTGGAAACGACTATATCCCAAGAAGAGATATATCGACCCAGACGTCATGGCATTCGTCATGAGCGGCGGTGGCGAGCTACCGCCGAAGGAGAAGGAAACCGATCCAGAGGTGTGCTTTATGCCAATGAGTGTGGAAGAAATGCCCGTACCAGATCACTCTCTCCTGGGCAACCAGGGCTTCGACACAATCATCCAAACCTTCGCCGTCTGCTCCCACCCCGATCCTCCAGCCCTTCTCAATCATCTCACTTCACTTGTTGCTCCATCCGGCCAGATCCTTCTGATTGAGCACGGTGCATCACATTACAGGTGGTTGAACGATGTCCTGGACCGATATGCGCCAGCACACGCCGAGAAGTGGGGATGTTGGTGGAACAGAGATATTGGAAAGATTCTGGAGGAGAGTAACATGTTTGTGGAGAGTGTGGAGAGATGGCACTTGGGAACTACATGGGTGATCAAGGGAAGGGCGAAGAAGGCGGACGACAAATGAGGTGTGCGACCGGGATCTGGTAAGCTGGGACCCGCACTAGAAGCGGGCAGGCATTCCGACCATGAACGAGGTTGAAGCGATCATCAGAAACGACGTGTATGACAAGCATCGGTTGGCATGCAGAACTTATAGACACGGCACGGCATAGACATTCCCCATCAAAACAAGCATATTCACGGCCGCGATGAGGGCCATAACCGAAGTCGAAATCTCTCGTTCGTATTTCTAGAAAACAAGGCCTTTAAAGTCCCTTTAAATAAGCCTTGGCCTCTTCGGTGATTGCAGGGCAATTCCCTCTGGGCGGACCCTTAGCGTCACGTTGATACGTGCTTGACACCCCAGGTTTCGAGGACGACAGCGCAAACAGGACCTCGATCCAACCAGCAGTAACCCTTTCTCAACGGTGTGCATGGCAAAGAACTGAACAAATAGTTTCCGATTAAATTCAATCTCAATCGATCAATCGTCTTGGTACACCTGCTTTCTACTATGTCCGACTCAACTCACCCGACCACCGACTCTACCGTCGGCGACGACAACTCCTTCTTCGACACCAACGGCCCGGCTTTGACTTCTGAGACGTCGCAGGACGCCGCCTCCGATTCTAGCCAGGAGCTTTCGGCTGCTCAGAAGCTCGCCCAGGCTCACGCTACTGCTGCTGAGGAAATCGCAGCTGTTGAGAACCCCGATGTCGGTGCCACCTTGGGTGATGACGCCGAGAACGCGGAGGCCCCTATTGAGGAAGCCCAGGCTCAGAGGAAGCCTAAGAAGGAGAACATCGACCTCGCTTCTGAGGAGTTGTTCCCTTCCCTCGGATCGGCCCCTTCTGCGGCTAAGGCTCCTCTTTGGGGTGCTGGCGCTCCCAAGGCTGCTGCACCCGTCGTTAAGTCTGCCCCAACTGCCTCTGGTATCACCGTCGAGCGCGTCACTCTCGAGCCCAACCAGCTTGCTCTCCGTCCCAACTTCGGTACCTTCACTCAGTCTAAGATCCCCGCCGTCGCTGCTCAGGTCATGACCCGCACGAAGGCCCGTATTGAGATTTCAACTGCTCGCAAGACCGGACAAACTACGTTCTTGATTCGCGGCTCCCCCGAGGTTGTCTCTAAGGCCAAGAGGGAGTTGATGAAGGAGGTGGCCGCTAAGATCAAGACCATTGTCAAGGTCCCTAGCAGGGTCAGGAGGTTCATCATTGGTGCTAAGGGTGCTACGCTGAGGGAGATCGAGACTAAGACTGGTGCACACGTTCAGCTGCCCAAGAGGGAGGAGACCGATGCTCAGGAGCATGAGGACTCGGAGGAGGAGGTCATGGTTGACGTTACTGTCGAGGGTGACTTTGACGGTGTTAGGTTGGCTAAGGAGGAGATCGAGAAGATCGTTGACGAGCGGACACAGAACATCACTGCGCGCGTTGCTGGAATCGACGCCGCATTCCTTCCTATGATTCAGGCTAAGATTTCCGAGCTCGAGCAGGGAGACCTCAAGATCCGCACCACTGTTGTCGATGACAAGGCTACCGTCATCCTTTCCGGTGACAAAAAGATCGTCAACCCCACTAAGGCCCAGATTGAGGAGATCTACGCCGAGCTCCAGCGCAACACCACCGCCGTGAACCTTCCCGTTCCCGCCCGGAAGCACCGCTTCTTGACCGGCAAGGTCCAGTCTATCCTCGAGTCTACCGGCTGCGCAGTCGTTCTTCCCCAGGACGGCTCCGACAACGTCACTGTGCGTGGTCCCTCTGCTCAGTTGGGCCAGGGTATCGAGGCCATGATGAACATCGTGAACGAGGTCGTCCTCGACGCTCTCGACATCACCGGTGCCCACCCCAACGCCGAGAGGGGTGCTCAGCGCCACGCTTCTGACGTCGGCAAGTTCCTTGTCAAGTCCGGCGAGATGGCTTCCATCGAGAAGGACTTCGGAGTCCAGGTTCAGGTCCAGGAGGCTAACGGTCGCGTTGTCTTCGAGATCGCTGGTGCGCAGGAGGGTGAGGTCAAGCGTGCGCGAAGGGAATTGGTTAACGCCGTGAACGCATTGCAGCCCTACCGCTTCGCCTACGTCGAAGTCGACCCTCTCGTCCGCCGTCATGTCCAGGGCACCAAGAACAAGAATGTTCAGAAGGCGAAGCAAGAGCAGGGTATTGAGGTTTTCTTCGGCGAGGGCGAGGACGCACTCGTTGCCCTCGTTCATGCTGGAAAGGAGGGTGACTCTGAGTTCTTGGACCGTGAGGTCGTCGGTCAGAGGCTCGGTGCTGTTAAGGCTGAGTTCGAGCAGGCTGCTGGTGATGCTAAAGACTTTGTTACCAAGGAGATTCAGGCTGAGGTGAAGTTCCACAAGATCATTGTCGGTCCGAAGGGTACTACGCTCAACGCCATCACCGGTGGACCTGACGCGCCTATCGTCGTCAAGATTGGCAATGACGAGACAATTTCCATCCGTGGTCCTTCCAAGGAAGTTGACCGTGTCGCCAAGGAGATCTTGGATTTGGTTGAGGAGGCTAAGACTAACGAGGTCTTGAACTCCTACACCCAGTCCTTCGACTTCCCCGCCAAGTTCTCCAAGAACTTGATCGGTAAGGCTGGTGCTAATATCACTAAGCTCCGTGAGGAGCTCGGTGTCAAGATTGAGGTTGACGAGGGCAAGGTCGAGATCCAGGGTATGAAGAAGAATGTCGAGGAGGCTAAGGCACGTGTTCTTTCTTTGGCTGAGCGCTTGGAGGACGAGACTATCTATCGTCTTGCCATCCCCTTCAAGTACCACCGTGCCCTCATCGGCCAGGCCGGTAAGTTCGTTAAGCGCTTGGAGGAGAAGTACACCGTCCGCATCAACTTCCCCCGCGACAACGACGAGGAGGGCGAGCAGCAGTTCACCGACCGTCCCGCATCCAAGGATGAGATCGTCGTTAAGGGTGGAAAGAAGACTGCTGGTCAGGCTAGGGATGAGTTAATGGAGTTGTACGAGTACGAGAAGGAGCACGGTTTCACTGAGACCGTTAACGTTCCTGCCCGTGCTATTTCCCGTATTGTTGGACGCGAGGGTGCGAAGATCAACGAGCTCAAGGATGAGACGGATACCCGTATTGACATCGACCATGCTGCTGCCAATGCTAACGGCGGCGACGAGAATGCTACCGTCGCTATTGTTATCCGAGGTACCAAGGCTGGTGTCACCACCGCCAAGAAGGCCATTCAGGAGATCGCTGAGGAGATCGAGCACCAGGTCGAGGAGACCATCCAGATTCCTTCCAAGTACCACAGAACCTTGATTGGATCTGGTGGTAACAACCTTCGGGACATCGTGGTTAAGGCTGGAGGACCTGATGACCGTGTTGCGTTGGCTCGTATGGTCCGTTTCCCTCGTGCTGGATCTACGGATGACAACATCAACGTCAAGGGTGACCGTGCCCTCGTCGACAAGGTCATCGCCGAGTTCCAAAAGATCGTCAAGGATCTCGAGGAGCGCGTTACTATCGAGGTCGACATTGCTGCCGAGAAGCACCGTGTCGTCATCGGCCGTGCCGGTGCCGCTCGTCGTGACTTGGAAACCCGCTTCAATGTCTCCATCGACGTTCCCCGCCAGAAGAAGGACGGTACCCCCGGATCTGGTGGTATCAAGGTCACTGGTAAGCAGGAGGATGTCGAGAAGGCGCAGGAGGAGATCTTGAACATGACTAAGGGCGCTGACTCTGTTGTTGTTGTCGTTCCCCGTGCGTTGCACCGTCATGTTGCTGACGGCGGCAACTTTATCCGTCAGTTGAGGAGCCAGTACAACGTCTCCGTCGACCACGGACGTGTGCAGCTCCCCAAGCCCGCTTCTAAGCCTAAGGCTAAGGAGACCAACGGTGATGCTCCCCGTATTGACGACGAGGATGCTGCGGCGCCTAGCAAGGGTTACGCTTGGGAGGTTGTGGATGAGGGTGCGGATGAGGAGGCTGGAGAGGACATCCCTTGGAACCTCCGCGGTGAGGAGGCCAACATCGAGAAGGCCAAGGAAGCCATCGAGAAGCAGATCGAGGCTGTCAAGGGCCAGCAATTCACTGGCTATCTCGTTGTGCCTGCGCACAAGCACAGGTTCATCGTTGGTCAGGGTGGTTCCCGCATCCAGCAGATCAGGGCCGAGACTGGTAGCAGAGTCGATGTCCCCAGGGCAAAGGGTGATGAGGTTGTTGTTATCAAGGGAGGAAAGGACAATATCGAGAAAGCTCGTCAGATGATTTTGGAGGCTACAACTGCTCCTGGTACGCCTCGCGAGAGGAGATAAAAAGGTTCTTTAGCATTTTAGCATCAACATTCGCGAGCGAAATGAGATTTGAGGAAGTTTGAGGAAGCTTCATGTACGTTATATAAAATGGAATTTTTGCCGAGTTAAGTGTACAGATCCCAATGACGTTGTGCATCTCGAGTCTTAGTAAGCGGTTGGACTTCCCCGCGCAACGGAACTGCACCACCAAAGAGCTCAATTGATCCGTACCCAATTGGATGCTCAGAGCAGTTCACAGAGCTTCACTATTCAAGAATCAACTCAGATCGACGCCAATTGCTCCTGCTCTACGCACCATGTCGACCGATCTCTCTACCTACAAGTTCAACCACACGAGTGTGTTCAAACTCCGAAAGTCCTTGCTGAAGCAGATGGCTGACTTTCATCGTAGTGCTTCGTGTCAAGGACCCTCAGGCGTCCTTGAAATTCTACCGTGATACCCTCGGTATGAGCTTGGTCAACAAGTGGGACTTTGAGGAGGACAAGTTCTCTCTCTACTTCCTTGCTTACGACTCCGAGGGTGCTACCGAGGGAGGAAAGCCCTGGTCTGACCGTGAGGTACATCTATCAAGCTCTCGACTCTTTCAAGCTCTTATTAACGATTGATACAGGGTATCCTTGAATTAACCCACAACCACGGTACCGAGAACGTGCGTCGTCGATCTCCACCCGTCACCACCACGGTCCCCTCATGCTAACATCAGATGACAGGACCCCGACTTCAAGCCCCACAACGGCAACTCTGATCCCCGCGGTTTCGGACACATCTGTATCTCCGTCGACAACATTCAAGCCGCCTGCGAGCGTCTCGAGAAGGCCGGCGTCAAGTTCCAGAAGAGGTTGACTGATGGACGTCAGAAGGATATTGCTTTCGCTCTTGATCCAGGTAAAAGAACACTGTCGTCCTGTCAGAAGGATCGCTGACGATTCTTTTACAGACAATTACTGGGTCGAGATCATCGGACAGCCCCAGAAGGCCAACGTCGCCGAGACTGACTTGAAGAACTACCGCTTCAACCACACCATGATCCGTGTCAAGGACCCTCGGGCTTCGCTCAAGTTCTACACTGAGCAGCTCGGTATGGAGGTTGTGAGGAAGAAGGTCTTCGATGAGGCCAAGTTCACGCTTTACTTCTTGGCTTACACTCACGGCGCTGGCGTCCCCGCCGACGATGGCCGCACAAACCCCGTCGCCGATCGCGAAGTAGGTTTTGTTCGGATTGCCCCCGTGAGGTGGAACTAACAAGAGTCTTACAGGGTATCCTCGAACTAACCCACAACCACGGCACCGAATCTGACCCCAACTTCACCCCGTACCACACCGGCAACGACGAGCCCAAGGGCTACGGCCACATCGCCATCTCCGTCGACAACATCGAGGCGGCGTGTAAGAGGTTTGAGGAGAACGGGGTTACGTTTAAAAAGAAGTTGACGGATGGACGCATGAACAACATTGCGTTCATGTTGGACCCGGATGGCTATTGGATTGAGGTTATTCCCAAGGAGTTGGCAAAGGAGTAAGAGATGTGTAGAGGTTGTAGAGGGTGTATGAGTAGGGTTTGAGTCCGAATATGAATGAGGATGTTTCTTGGAGATAACAGCTAATGGTGCTGCCCTTGGACACAAGTCCACCTTCGTGTCTCGCGGTGGATTCCAAGCACGTGCTGCGTGCTCGACGATGCCCTGCCCGCAGACGTCAGGCTGAGTAAGTAACGGGATGGGTCCTTCCCTCATTTCAAGAACTCCATCACTATGTTATCTTTAGAGAGAAGAATGTCCATCGCCCGGATAATCCATTCACAGCTTCACAGTACAGGTCAAACCCATAAGTGCGAAGCCCCCTCCTGGGCAGCTAGCTTACTGGACTTCACAGATCCCAAACTACAGCTGGATACTATGAATACATATTGCTCTCCGAGCGTTATGTTCGTGGATCCGACGATGCGGGCGAATGGGATCACGGAGTTTGCGGGGATTGTTAATGGTGCTGCGTGGGTACTGCGGACATTCAAGGTAAAACAACCAATTCTCCCACTAAGACCGGAAACTGAGGTTGCCATAGTCTGACATTCAAAATGTCTACCACTCCCAGACCGGCCGTGAAGTAGTCGTCGACGCCATCGTAACAATGCAGGGTCACTGGTTCTTCCTTCTCGGTGCAACCCTTCGCACACGTACCTTTTGCCGTCTAGTTTTCGACGAGAATGATAAGGTTGTGTTGTATCACGATGTCTGGAGTGTTCAGGATACCATTCATGGTATGTTGCTGGGGTGGACGAGGCTTCCGGGGAGTACGGAGAGTATGAGTTTGTGGGTGCATGAGCGGGTTGTGAAGCCCGTGATGACGATGATTGTATTAGGGTCGCTTTGGCTGTTTGGGAAGTATAACTCATGCAGACAGATACATATGCATAGCTAGGAAAAGGCTTTGAGCATTGAGATGCAATGAATCGATATTCCGGACCCCAACTGCCGTCACAGAAAGGTGCCTATTCTCCCCCGCCGAGCTTGCTTAAACTGGGAGCAAGAGAGATACAACGAATCTGTCACAACTCCGCAATTCTCAAAACTAGACACCAAAAGAATATTCGCAATCCTTCAGCCAATTTCTCGGTATCGTTATCGCGCGTACGTGCTACAGCTGCATGGTGAGCCACATGTTTGGGTCGGCGTACAATGTACGCGTTGACTGAACGGATTTCGACCAGGACTCCGGACGAACAGACCAGCTGCTATCAACATTCAAGAAGCAGGACTTCTTTGTTTTCTGATTTGAACGACGCTGCTCTCAGCGTCCTCTGTTTTCCAGGCGCCTTAGTGTTTCTCGCTGAAGAGCTCGAATTGCGACAATGTCTTCATCCCTCAGCGGTCTCGAGAACTTGATCAGTTCACAAACGGGTGAGCCTCACAGATCACCTCGCTCGTTAGGTCGGGCGTATAACGTACTCACTTCACCTGGTCCTGTTCATTCTGACGGTTCTCCTTCCCGTTCCCAACCCCATCCCTCCACAAGTCCCCTCTCACCTTCTTCCCGCCACCTCTCCCGCCCGCTTTCCTTCCCGACCGCAGCTGGCCTGCAACAGCTCGCCGAAGGATCCCCCTCTTCCTCATCCTCCTCCTCGACGGCGTCCGGCTCTGCGCCGTTAACGTTCAACTCCTCCAACAACCACTGGCCCCAGACGCCCCAGACGCCCCAGACGCCCCAGACGCCCCGCAAGAGCCGTGATGACACTGAAGGAAGGAATGAATCACTTCTGGGAAGGTCCTATACGATGCACACTCCCTCGCGCAATCGTCCCATACCGCGTCGTGAGCGGAGTCCAGCGTCGTCCGTCTCGAACCATCTCTACACCCGTGGATTTCTCGAGGGCGCATGTTCAGACATTGCGATCGTCGCATTCGGGAAGACGTATCATCTTCACCGTCTCGTCCTTGACCGTTCGTCTTTTTTTTCCGCTATGTTCGGGGGACCGTGGTCGGATGCTACCTCCAACACTCTAGAGCTCACGTTCGATGATCCGAATATCACACAAATCGCATTAGAATGTGCGTTAGGGAGGTTGTATGGGCACCAAGACCATGAGTTGGAGGAGAAGCATGTTATGGGCATCCTTGCTACTGCGAATTATTTGGGTATGCAGGAGCTTGTCGAGGTTGCTTTTACCCATATTCTACGCACTCTCACGACGAGCAATGTGGCAGGCCGCCTTGCATTCGCGACTGGAAGTCAATATTATGGCGCTGCCTCGAGCAAGTTGGATGAAGCTTGTCGAGCTCTGCTATTCAGGGAGGGTTGGGGTATGGGAGCTGTTGGGTGGGATGGGATTTCTGCCGAGGTTGTTTATGAGCTTGTCAGTGACGATATGTTCTGGGTACCGAACGAGTGGGAACGCTTTACCTTCGCGAAGGAGGTGCTTGAGTGGCGGATGAATCTCAGCAAGGTCAGAGCGAAGGACGAGAACGAAGCGGACGAGACGTTGGACGTAGCGCCGTTGAGAAAGTTGTTAAACAAGGGCGTTTATTATACGCATATGACGTTTGAGCAATTGCAGGTTATCGCCGAGATGAAGGATACTGAAGGGAGGGAGATCGTGAGTAAGGATGTGATTCAGGCTGCTTTATGGTATGTGCTTGTAAGCTCGGCCTTTGAACTAGCTGACAGTCGCGAACAGGGACCAAATGACGCTTCGCCAGCGTATCCAGAACACCCCCGCCGACTCACCTGCTGCTGGCCTGGCAATTGAGACGCCTCTGTCCACCGACTCCGCCGCCCTCTATCCCGTTGCGACCGACGGCAACACAGTTCACGGAGACTCCACCTCACTCGACTCCCCCGAACAACCCCCATCGCCCTCCACCTGGTCCCCCTATCCCCCCTTCCGCTTCTCCGCCGTATTCAAAAATGTCCGCGCCCTAAAAGAGGACAAACGCGTCTACTCCAAGACAGTCTTCTACGCCGGCTCTCAGTGGAACGTCTATATCCAGAAAGTCCGGACACGGAAGAATGTGCAGCTTGGGGTATATTTGCATCGGGCAAGGGACAAGGAGGAGGGTGGAGGGAGTGCGCAGGCGGTTAGTTTGGAGACGAGAATTTTGGAGATTGAGCAGGAGACAGCCAATACGTCTTTCTCGTCGCCGAGGAGGAGGGAGAGGGGGGCGGTTGTGGCAGCGGGGGACATGTCTATGGCAGGGGATACGACGATTGATGGAGATACGACTATCACTGCTCCGAAAACCGCAGCAGACGACGATCTCTTCACGGGTGAGGTATCGACGCTCTTCCCGAACGGGAATCCGTACCCACCAATCTCTGCACTCCCGGCATACACCGATTCTCGGCCGACAATTCATACATACTTCCGCATCATCTGTGCACGGAAGGGCAAGAACGCGATCACGGTGTTCAACTCTGCACCCGACAAGTTCAACTTCAGTCAGAGTTGGGGATGGAAGACGAGTAGTTTGTGCTCGGAGGAGGGGTTGCTGGATGAGGTTGGGGAGGGAACGTTCAAGGTTACGTTGGTGCTCGGAAACGTTTAGTTAGGTTTTGACAGGATGTTCTTGGTAGGCCGGATAGGGGCTATGGCTATGGGTGTTTTGTGCTTGAACGAGAGTGTGATTTTCTGATCATTATGATGAGTAATTCAGAATACTAGATATTACGCGCGTGTCTCACTGTGGACGCTCAAAGTCCCATTGCCCTTTTCCTCATCTCCAGATCCAAAAACGCACTTCGCCGGCTTAAACCTCCATTATGCTTCTTGTCCAAAGCCTCGAGCACAGTCCTCTCCTTGCTAGATACCACCAGTTTGTCTTCCTCTTCCGTCCACACACCCGGGATATTCGGTAGTTTCCGGCCACGGGCGAGTGCTTGCACGACTTTGTGCGCTAGGGAGCGGTTACCAGACGTACGACCAAGGGCGTAAACCGCTTGGTCGCGTGTGACCTTGTACTTCTGGATAGAGTTTACGATGAACTGTTCCAACTTCGCCGCGACATCCGGTCTTGGGGCAATCGCGAATTCGGGTTCAGCAGCCTCTTCTGGATCTTCCATTACGACAGGAAGATGTGGTTCCGCAACAGCATGCGTATGCTTCTCCGCCCGATGCGACGGGCTTCCAGGGTCTTTGAGAGGTGTGCTGAGTGTGGGATGATCAGGCGTACTGGGAATCTCGACGGGTCCGCGCTTCCCTGTTCCCAACTTTGCCTTCTTCCGTGGCGGATCCTGTTCCCGATTCCGTTCACTGATTGGTGACGACTCTCCCATCGGTAACTCAGGTGACGCTGTCCGTCTGCGTTTGTGACCAGCTACCTGAGGTGGCGCAGCTATGTCCTCCACCAAATCGAGCTTCGCGGCCATCATCTCGTCGTCTTCGTCTTCATCCTCGTTTTCGTCGACGTTGACAAACAGTGATTCACCGCCTTGGTTTTCCTTGTAGCTTCCATCGTCGATGAAAGGGTTGTCTTCGCTTCTGTCTTCGACCAGACTAGGCTGAGATTGCGGTTGTGGTTGAGCGGGCGGTGGGCTAGATGCCGCGGGTAAGTCATCCTCCTGTGACAATGGCTCAGGTGCTTCGTCGTACGAGCCTTCCTCTGGGTGGTACTTCTCAACAGGCTCAGAATCCTCAGCGGGCTTGGCGCCGGTAGTCTTCCTTCTCTCTTTAGCCATAGCCTCAGCAGTTAATCGCTCACTCGAAGGCGGCGGCAAAGTCTGCCTTCTACCCTCGCTCGCGCCCGTCACCTGCCTCGTCTGCGTCCTCTGTATCCTCTCCAACTCTTCATCCTCCTCGACCTCAGCTTCCTGGCTTGCCCTCAACTGCGGCTCCAATCGACGCACCCAGCGATCACGCCAGGACTGCCAGGGGTGGTGGGGGTGTTCGGCGTAGAGCTCTTGGAAGATTTTGTTGCCGCCTGAGAGGTGACCATTGGGGTGGTTGCGAACCCATTCGGTGAGGAGATTGTCGTCGGCGACGGAGAACGGGACTTTCTTCGAAACGATTGCGCCGATGGCAGTTTGGCGACGCGATGTGGAGGACGAGGGCGGGCGTTGAGTTGAGGTTGGGGGTACAGGCGCCGACACACGTCGTGGCGCATCCTCCTCAACATCTTCCTCGTCAGATGACATTTCATACTCATCCAACTCCTCCTCCGGTTCACCCCATAACGGCTCAAGTGTCTTCACATACCTATGCCGCCAACTCTGGAACGTATGATGAGGAAACTTCTTCTCCAACTCCATATAAATCTTGTTCCCCTGACGGCTCACGTTGGCCTTATGCACATACTTCCTCAGGATAGCATCATCTTCTTTCGTAAAGGGTGTTCGTGTCCCCTTTGCTTTTTCAGGGGCGGAAGCGGTAAGAACATAGTCGTCCACATCCCGGAGGATGCCATCAGAGAGGGAGTCGTCGATGAACTTGTAGGAGACGAGGTCGGTGCCGTTATCTTTCAAGTGATCTCCTATTTGAATCGCACCCGCTTCTTTCTGCCAATTGGTGATTTTACCGCCATTTGCCTGTTCACCACCCAGTCAGTGTGCTGGTAACTTCCAAACGCCTGATACGACGGACCTCGATCTTTTCACGATACCAAACCTTGGACGGCACCTTATGCGACAACCAAAACATCAACGGCTCCCCATCATCCTTCGTGAACAACGTCCCCTGTACCGCGCCAACTGTACCCAACGTTAGTCAATGGCCGTGAGCCCTTGATCTCCGTTACGTACATTGCCTCTTCTTGGTAAACGTAGCGACTGGAGCACTTGCTTCCTTGACCATTGTGATTGGACGTTGTTGGGTGTACTGGTCGGCTTTGCGATGACTTCACCCGGACGCGTTCAGCCGCAGGACGCGTCCGGGCCGCACTGCACGTGCACGCGTGGACCCTTCATTTGTAACGTAGACATCCAAAATAGAATGCCTCCCACAACCGGTGCAGACGCTGAATCTCGAGGATGGCAGGTATTCCGAGGGGTGCTGTGGAAATATCATGAGATGCTAAAACACAAACGGGACATGACAAACCAACTGAATGCGCGGACTAGAGCAGAGGCATCGACAGAGCGCTGAGCGGACCCAGACTTACCCAAAGGTTGGAGTCCAGGACCTAGAGAATGTTAAATTCCGGGGCTCTTACCATCGGAAGACGGGCTTAATCATAGTCTTTGAGTTTACACCGACATCTTCGCCTCCGATCACCCAAGCGTGTGATTACCTCCGGATAACGGGCGTTCAAAGACATCCTGGGCGACGTTGGCAGCGCGGTAAGCAGCTGCGCCTTTGTTTGAGATCTGTATCGAAACAGATCTTGTAAATGATGCGGGACCTGGGCCTACTAGGTATCTCAGCTGGCTACTGATGAACGGGATGTGTTCAGAACATCAAGCCAGCCATGGCCAACATATACCAAGATTGTCAAATTGCAGAGTTCTGGTAGTACTACGTAGAGCTCCATAGCAAAAGCATTGTCCTCCACATAACGGGTATCCAACACCCATTGTCTATCTCCTCTTCTCCACTCCTCCTTTCCCTAACTCCCCAGGTGGGCCACCTTACATAATAACCTCATTCACAACATCCTTCTTCAACTCCTTATGCGGCAGCACAACACAGTTCTGTACCATAACCTCATCCGCAACAATGACATCCTGTGCCAAAATAGTAATGCTCTGAACCTTAACTCCACCCCTGAGGACAGTCATGACATGAGATCCAGGGAGAGTCGGGGTACCTTCGACACGGGCCCAGTTACCGACGCGGGAGTCCCATGCGATGATGGAGTGCAAGACAGAAGAGTCGTGTCCGACTTCAGCGGAGGGGAGGATGATGGAGTCCTTCACCCGCGCACCGGCTCCGATCTTGGCTTTTGCGCCAATGGAAACATTAGGACCAAGCTTAGCTCCAGGCGCGACGGAAGCGGAGGGGTGGATGTACACGGGATGCACGATCTCAACGCCCTCCAACTTATCGGCGAGCTTGACGGAGGCGGAGTCAGCGGGGGACTGATGGGCTTTCTGCAGGTAAAGCGCGTTTGCGGGGACGGCGGATCCGGCGGTCTTGATTTGTCTCCAAAAGCCCTTGGTTTCGTATACGAACACCCTGTGTTTCTGCGCGAGTGGGGCGAGAATGTCCTGTTCCAACCTCAATCTCTCATCATTCTGGTCAAGAGGGTCGAGAACGAGGGTGTTCTTCTCTCCGTCCGCCTTCGCCTTCATCGCAGCCTTGATCTCCCCGAAAATCGAGGCGTCAAAAAGATAGACACCACAGTTAATCATATTCGAGATGTAACTCTCTGGCTTCTCGACATAGTGCAACACCTCCCCAGTCGCGGGGTCAGACACGATACACCCAAAATTGGTCGCGGCCTCGGTGGTGACTTTGGTGCCGAGCATAGTGGCTTGGGCACCGCGTTCGGTGTGGAGGTTTTGCATTTCGGTGAGGGGGAAGGAGCAGCAGACGTCGGCGTGAAGGACGAAGATTTGGGAGGGGGAGTTTTTGAGGATTGCGTCGCGGAAGAGGTAGAGGCCGCCTGCGGTGCCGAGGGCTTGGTATTCGCGAAGGTACCTGTTTGAAATCTCATTAGCTTGACAATAAATAGAGGGCAGTAAGATGACAAACTTGATGGTCATGGAGGGGAACTGCTCAGAGGCCTCCTTGATGAAAGAGGTGAAAACACTCTCCTCGTAGAATCCAACCAAGATAACCTCCTTCAGGTCTTGAACACGGGCGAGAGCCTGCAAATGATGCCAAATAATCGGATGACCAGCGACAGGGAACAATGGCTACACCACCAACTCAATCAGCTTACCGCTCACATACGATCATGACAACGGACGACGAGTAACGCACCTTAGGAACGGTCATAGACAACGGCCTGAACCTGGTTCCTCTGCTTGGACCTCCGACCAAGATGATTGCCTTTGCTGAAGTCATTGTAGGAATACCTGAGGGTTGAATGGTTCGTTGATCCCGAGGGTGTTTGTACGTTCAAGCTCGGACCCGCGCCCAGGGTCGCGGTCATCCAGCCACGTAGCGCGCGCGGTGCAGGCCTAGGGACCAATGAGCTTAATATGGGGACATCTACAAATGAATACCTAAGTATGGGAGAATGAGCAGATGGTTCGTGGTCAGTTCTGATCTGATTTTGGAGTCTTCTGCCACCCGTAGATCCTCTTGGGTTCATCTTGTTCCAGTCGAGGCTGCTCGAGCGAGGGAGCAACTGCACGGAAGCTTAAGCTTATGAGCTGATCAAGTAAAGGTGTGATATTTTCATGTGTACTCTTGCATCTTTCGAAGCTGGTAGATCTTTCTGCTCCCTTGCTCTGTCAAGATCGGTCGAGGTGACGTTGAGAGCGTAGGACGCCAACATCCGCAAGAGGCAATCCTGTGTATCACGCTAAGGCTATCTATACGTAATGATCGAAATCCGCATCCCTCCCATCTCTAAATCTCATAAGTATGACTCTTTTTCCTAGTCTTTCCTTTCTTTGTACACGTTCACCTCTACCTTCATCTCACCCACTCTACACTCACCAAAGCCATGGACGCGTACGGATCCAACACTACCTACCCTCTCACCGCTCCCGCCACCGTCCGAGACGCCTGTAACGACCCAGACACCTACTACTACTACCTCCCCTGCTGTGACAAACAGGGACACTTCCTCCTCTGCTCTACCATCAGCCAACACATACTTGCACCCTCCTACACGCAATATCAAAGTGGCCATCTCGAACACCTTCTTCATATATTGCGTTCGAGGGCGGCGTTTGTGGATATTGACACGTTGAGGAAGACACATATTCATGATGCGTTGCGGGCGTTGGTTTGGCGTAAAGCGCAAGAGCAGGCTTCCGAAATCAATAGGGAGACGACCTTCGCGTGCACGAAGACTTTGGAGATCTGGAATGAGATGGTACAGCAGTTGGATGCTGAGGCGGCGATAAGGCCATATGATTCCAGCACAATCTGCGTTGCTACTGAGGGAGAGGGGAGCGCTCAGAAGCTAATTTTGGGCATGAATGGCTTGTCGTTGACCTCCCAAAACCTCTCGTCCCTCGAAGACACCATGAGTGCCTCGAGTGAGTGCCTCGCCCCTATGACCCCCGCCTCCTCCGAGGGCGCCGGCTCTACCACCTCCCGGTCCCTCATGCGCGCCTCCACGACACTCTCATTGCATACATCTTCCCTCTCTCCCTCATCCTGGGACCTCGCCGACCAATACAGTGAGGCCATAACGCCCCTCATGCGCCGTCTACGCGCCCTGAAAGTGCCCTCGTTCATCACCTCCCACCACGTGCACCAGAGCCTTGAGGAGCTAAACCAAGACGTTAACGCTCCAATCATCATGGGTTTGGAGTTCAGTGAGGCGGTCAATAAGCTGGGGAGGATTGTGGAGATATTGTGCGCGGAGTTTGAAGGCAGGACGGCCACAGGAGAGGTTGAAGAGGAGTTAGTTGCGTTTGTGGAGGAGGTTGGGGGGGTCTGGCATGAGATGGAGGGGTTGTTTGCTTAAGGCAGGAGTTGCTTGTCCAGCATCATAAGAGTTCTCTTTCTTTTCAGTGTCCTTTTACGTTGATTACTTTGGAAAATAAAGGCATCGAAGTTTACTGTGCGTCTGCCTTCTGCGCGCTTGACTTGCGTCACACGACAAAAAGCGATAAGCTGATAAACCCGCAAAGGAGGCTTCAAGCAGTGGCATTCCAATCACTTCCTCTTTGAAGGTTCGCTCGGCTATATGGACCCTTCATATCCCTTGAGACGCAGCTTGGCATCATTACGGCTTCGTTCCGCTCGAGCACGGACCAGAGCGGACCGCAGTGCAGAGCGTAATTAAAATGTGTTAGCAGACAGGACCAGGTGAGTGAGTGATATATAGATGTCCTACCCACCGTCCTGTCCTTCTTCATTGCTCCTCATGAGTCATGTCGACATTTTCAAATGATGCCGACAGTACCCTGGATGTCGACGTGGAGGCTGCCGATGAGAATGGACCTAAGTCGCAGGCGACTAGACATTCGTGAAGCTTAACGAAAGTGAAGTGCGAAGCGAAGGTCCACCCGCCTTACAAATTCGGAGGACCGCCATGGCTGACAATTGTTATGAAGATTGTTAACGGCGGCAATTCTGAAGTGCCTAAGCGTCAGATTCAGAGGGAGCATGGGATCGAATCAAACAGCGAAGGTAGGTACCATACGCCCAGATAACGTGAAAAATTTATAATTTTGAGTCGAGTTGCATAAAACACGTCGTCGCATCTTCACAAAAATCACGCAAAAGGAGCAAAAAGGTTGAAAAGAACACACAGAGGGTACTGGTGCTTTGACTGACGACGATATTGTTGTACTCGCCGAAATGAAAGAAGAAGGAAGTTCCTGGAAAGAGGTAGCTGAGCACTTTGGCCTCAAGCCTGACGCTATCCGGAAGTTTTACGGCAAACATCAAGCTCGTCACGAAAATTGGGACGCAATGAAGGTTCAAAGGCTGAGGGAAGCTTATGTCAAGTATGATAAGCAGAAGTGGCAAGTGATCGGTACTGAAATTGGCAGTAAGCCTATGGCGTGTGAAACGAAAGCGAAGGAGCTCGGGTTGTTGTAATTTCGAGCAAACACATATTACAACAAGGTTAAACGTGAAGTATCTTTCTTGACTTGAGCTACATCCAGATATTTTCATCAATATCAATATATGACCATCTCTTCATTTACCTATACGTAATCGGTACCGTACGGTTTGCAGCGCGGCCGGATCTGGAACAAGCCGACGTGCGTGCCCTGCCAAACCGGAAGCAGCTTCAAATCAGGAACCGCAGGTAGTCGTGCTATGAGCTATGCTAAAGTAACAAGAAAGTTCCTCCCGTCAGTACTTTGCGTATTCTCCTTCGGCTCAGATTGCGTCTGGTTGCATTTCGTATGTGACCGTGGGAACTGTATACTAAGAAAGATAATCGACCAGAGCATGAACAAATCCAAGGAGGAAAGAAAAAGTAGCATTGAATATGCTGATAGAAATCTGGGTGAAATCCTTCGCTCATGTATGAGTCAGTTTGTGTGGAGTTAAGCGCAGCTACAGGACGCGGATGCCTCGGCCCTCTACTCAAGAGCCCAACAGCAGCGGCAAAAGCTGCACGAAATGAGAGTACCGTCTTTGCAAGGGAAAAATCATTCAGATTTTTGTTTCCAAACTTCCTTTTCTCAACCAAGCACTCCCAACTGCACCCTGCCGTACACTTCCAGCTTCCCACAAGCCAAATCACACATCCGATCTCTCGAACGTCCAACAAATCTTAACAAAACATGTCTGCTATCGAGATCAACCACTTGACTACTACTGCAGTCACTGCTGCTGATAAGTCTCTCTCGATCCGCTCATACGTGACGATGCGCTGATCCGTGTTCTAGATATGTCGATTCTTACTGCTGCCTTGAAGAGCGCTTACAACAGGCTCACTGTGCTGAGGAATACTGTAAATAACCAGTACACTTCCTACCTCGGTGACCGCCTCAACGTGCTTGGGGTCCGTCGTGTTGAGGTCGCAAACATCGCTGACTTCATCCCTAAACATGTTGGGATGATCCACGACCACTTGGTCGAGGCCAACATTAACTACAAAGGGCTCGCCGAGGGAGTCCTTGAGAACATCGCCGGAACATGATGTTTCACTTTGAAGAAGTTCACAAGTGGATTTACCAAGGACGCAAGCCCGCTTACACCAAGGCCAAGGGTGACGAGAGCCTTGCCGAGGGTTCTGAAGACCTCACTTGCCTTCAAGCCGTCCTCGAATCTATTCGAGAAATGATCGAGGAGAGGTGCGAGGAGCTGTTCGGAGGACCTGAGGAAGACGACGACTACGAAGAGTCTGCGTGCTCTGTCGAGGAGCTGAAGGAGGATTCCCGTCTTGGCGACATCGATTGGGCTGTATTTTACTAAACGGGAATTGAAGACCCCGTCGCAGATGAGTTCTTCAACCAACCCAGGGAGTGTGGTGTCTGGAGGTACAAAGAAGAACTCGCGATGCCCAAACCAGTCGAGAAGCGGAGGCTCAGCCTCACTGAGTTCGTCGAAGCAATTGCCTAGGCTCATAACCTGGACCTGACGGAGGTAAAACCCGAGGTCCCAGCTGACAACATTACGCCGCCTGCTACTCCCCAGCCGAAGAGGAAGGTGATCATGCAGACAACCACCAAGGCGGCCCCGGCAAGGACGACGAACACAAGAGAAGAAAAGAGGAAGGATGCAAGGACCATTTACTCCACTCTCCAAAAGAGAGCGGTGGTCATTACCCCTCCTCTCACTCCCCGGACCCCATCCGGCGCTAGCTCCAAATCCGGATCTGTGCGCGCACGAACAAATTCGGGGTCGGGCCCGCACAGGAGTTGACGATGAAGAAGGATGAGAGGAAGACAAGGACGGAAAAAGTCGAGACGAACGGAATGGTCGCCACCCAACCCAGGCGACCTGACCTTGACGTCGAAAAGATCTTCCACGCGGAATCCATGACCCGCGGGGAGAGAATGAAGAGGGTGCGGGCGTTTTGCAGCGGCAAGAAGGCCTGAATTTTCGAGAGCATGAAAACTAGAAAAACTGGATTAGCATAGCACAGGCGTTCTTTCGTTCTGACATCACCGGACTTCCCTGTACCTGAGCCCCGCCGTAATGGCTGTCTTAACAAGGTGCGAAAGGTCCAGGGAATGCATTGATTGGGAAAGCACGGGGGCATAAGATGGATTGGCGTAATACAGGCGTTTTGTTTTTCACATGACTGAACATTTCTACTTCGTGACTCTTACTCAAACTGTAAACAGCTAGCTCCCAAAATTATCGCGTAGAACATAAGTGTAGAGTAATGCACACTCCATTCGCGGTCACTATGTCCCGTAACTATATTATGAGCAGAAACCCGAAACGGGGTAACCTGTCCTGCATGCGATATTGCGGGTATGTCCTTCTTCAAACAATAATTCACCAAACTTAGCAAATATGCTTGAATTTCCTCGTGATCATCAATCTCACTCCAATCATGCAAAGCATGGAAAAGTACATCATACCACCAAGCGTGAACCCAGCCTTGAAGTAACTCGTCTTCTCAACAACAACACTAACTGTTCCACAAAATTAGCTACAAACCCGAAAACACGACACAAGCGGGAATACTTACTAATCGTCGGCGCAACAAGCTGCGTGACACCCGCAAACGTCAGCAGGAGGCCGATTTTGGACGCAACCTGATGATCCCCCGCCAAATGACTCGCAACAACCGGTGTCAAACTACTAATTCCCCCCAAAACACAGCCATTAATCGCCGCACACGCATACAACATGCTCGTCCCCGTCGCAATCCCCCATAAACAAAAATACGCCGTCCCAGAAATCGCATAGCACACCGTCAACATATTAACTTTCCCGAATTTATCGGCGAGGAAGCCGCACCCTATACGACCGAGGATACCGAATCCATTTTGGACAGCGGTGAACCATACTGCGGCCGAGTTCGTTGCGCCGAGGGAGAGTGCGAAAGAGCCGATGAAGAAGTAAGCAGGTAACACGGCCATTTGACCAACACTCACTGCCAAAATAGCCAACACGAATCGCTTGTTTCGGAGCGCGGAGAAGTCGAATAAGGGTCCACGGCGGAAGGCGGTGTTTTGACGTGGTTTGAGGAGGAAGATGGAGGGTGCGACGATTGCGATTGTGAGGAATCCAAAGATGCGGAGGGTCCAGTGAGGACCGACTTTATCGATTAAGACGCGGGTGAGGGGTGGGTATAGTACACCACCCAGCCCTGAACCGGCCATGACACATCCGGTCGCGAATCCCCTCCTCTTGGTAAAGTATTGGGTCGGGATCGAGACGGCGGGTGTGAATCCCACTGCGATGCCCATACCGAATAAAATACCCTGGGTCCATACAAGTGCTTGGATGGAGTTGCATATTGATGATAACATGAGTGAGATGACGCAGAGTGCGAAACCGACGATAAAGCATGGTCGGTATCCGAACTTATCGACGATGCGGCCGACGATGGCGCCGAGGAGCATGAGCACTGTTCCGCCCAGCGAACCGATAAGGGTGATTACGGCTGGGCTGGTTGTGGTGTATAAGGTGTCGATGTAATATGACTGGAAAGCTCCTGCACGCCATTGTCAAGTCAGCAATCATGTCGTGATTAGGGACGATATTAACAACGCACCATATGAGTTATTCAACCCCAACGTCCCAACCATGAACAGAAACCCGCCCAAGATGACGAGCCACGCCTTCAACCCACCATCCGGCGGCAGATCAATTGTACTCTCCGTATCCCGGCGCTCAATCCCAACAACAGCCTCCTCCTTCTGTATGTCCTTCTCGCCGAGCACGTTCGCGTCTGCGATGGCGGCCTCCACAGGCGCTGCTTTAATCTCTTCACTGGACATGGCTATCGATCCATCAAGAGCTCACACCTTGATGATCCAAGTTTACCATCGCGGTCCACTGTATTTTTGTTGCAGTACATGTAACGCTTGAGCGCGCACATGCAGACTCTGGCTTCGAACGCGCGGGGCTTAAGCGTGTTTGCCGAAGATATTGCCGAAGATGCAGTATGGCGGAAGTTTAGATTCTCCGAAGAGTGCAAGTATTCTGAGAAGTACGAAGAACGGACTTTCAATGGAAAGTAGATAGCTTTGTCGGTACATTTCGCTGACTTTCCCGGGGGGTACCGCTGGATCTAAAGTGAAGGAGGTGCAGGGGAGCGGCGGTTGATCCGTCCAGAGCAGGCTCCTTTTTGTCACTACAGGTTATAATGCCTCTGCACACTCCTAAGAGCTGGCTTCTTGCTGCTTCATCGCTCGCGCCATTCACCGCTGTTTCCCCGTATAGAGAAGACGAATAAACGTTCTCATCTTCTCCAGCTGTTCTCGCGCAACCCATTCTGGCCCGTGGCTCCTGCATCGGTCCAAAGCTGGCGACGTCAGCGAGCGGTGTAACGTAGACACACCACCAACACCGCGCCAATTGCAAGTGATGCCTCCTCCGACGAATGTAACAAGGCCATCTTATGACGATGCCCGCTGGAATCCAGACCTGCATGCCCAACTCCGACGGACGCCTGCCACTGAGGGTGCAGCGACGCGGAAAGCTCTGAATAGTCTTGTGCGGAGGTTCGTGCAGCTTCCCAAGGGCAATTGTGCGCGAGATGGTGTACTGATTGGGGCTGGGATAGATATATGTACCAGATTCTGACTGGATGTGGGAGGGAAAGATGTGAAACACCTATGTGTGCAACGGCCAGAAAAGGTACGGCTGAAGCGAGTAATCAAGCGAAGCGATCTTTGCTGACGCTGGCAACCATACAGGAAAGCGGAAATTCTCGCATATATCAGCAAAGCTGTTAGCGAGCGAGTTAACATGCAGCTCCACTTCATACCTCTGCCCGGGCCTCCCAGCCGATGCCGACTTCGGTCCGGTCGACGACGTCCAGCCTGAACTGTCTACGAAGTCCCTGATCCATCGAATATACCAAACATCAAGCCTCGCAACCGTCGGCCTATCCAAAGACCCCACACCCTCAGAACAACCAGAACTCCTCACCTTCGACTGCATATACGCCGACATCGTCGAACACCTCTCCCGCACAACAACCACAACCGGCGATCCAACCCTCATGCACGATACCTTCATCGCAGTCTTCTCCTCAGCCGAACGACTCGCGAAATCATTCGGATCGTGGACGCCGAGGATGGGGTATCTGCTTGATTTGGATCTGAGTGAGGTTTTGGGTGCGTGGTATTGTATTGAGCAGGGTGGGGCGGGGTTGAAGAGGGGGGTGATCGGGGCGTTAACGAGGGTGCTGACGACGCCGTTTCCATCTACTATGTCAGCAAAGGAACGGGCGAAGGTACTCGTTATTGCGCTTTATACTGTCACTGCACATCAGGATCCATGTGTAGTCGATGCGGATCCATATTACGCCATCCCTGCGATCCGGGCACTACTGAATATTGATCCCCCAGAGGAGGTAAAACAGTATTTCGCGAAGAGGACTAAGGAGGAGGATATAACCAGAGGACTGGAGTTGTTGTGTAAGACGATTACGGAGAGGGTTAGTCAGGATTGGGAGACCGTGAGAGGTATTGGGGAGGAAGGGTGTTGGGGCGGGATCAAGTGGTTGGAGATGATGTGTACGCGAAGTCCCAGATGAATGCTATTCAGCTGCTAACGGAGTGGCTTACAGATGAAGCGGATAAGCAACGAATGGAGCCTATGGCGAAGGAAGAGTGGTTTCACCTTCCGGAGAAGATTCTCAAGGAGTCATCATATCTCGAGACAATCAAACCATGGCTCGAATCCACCGACAAATCACCAAAGAACATTCTCAACTACCCCTTCCTCCTCAGCTTCTCCACCCGCGTCTCACTCCTCCGCGCCTCCTCCTTCGGCTCAATGCTCGCCCTCGAACAATCCATTGGCGTCAATGCCGCCGTCGTCGCACAACTTTCCCGCCACTTTACCCGCGCACTAACCCCCCGTTCCTCAGAAAGCTGTCACATCCTCGATATCCGCCGCACACATCTCGTACATGACGCTTTCGCCGGAATCAGCGGTCGCAAAACTTGGGAACTTAAACGGCCGTTGCGTGTGCGGTTTGTTGGGGGCGGGGAGGATGGTGTCGATCAAGGTGGATTGCAGAAAGAGTTTTTTGCGAGTTTGTGTCATGTGGTGTTTGATGAGGATTATGGGTTGTTCGTGACGGATGCGGATTCGCAACTGGTGTGGTTTAACCCTGCGGCGAGGGATGAGGTACGGACATACGAGTTGGTTGGGATGTTGGTTGGGATGGCAGTGTATAACGGCGTTATCTTGCCGTTGTCTTTTCCGAAGATGATGTATAAGAAGATATTGGGGGAGGAGATCAGCTTGACGGATTTCGCGGAGTGGTGTCCGGGTGTGATGAGGGGGATGTTGACGATGTTGGAGTGGGAGGATGGGGATGTTGAGGAAGTTTTCTCGCTCTCGTACGATTATTCGTGGAAGCATTGGGATGGCTCAGTCAATACCGTCTGCATGAAAGAGGGACACGAACCCGGCACTATCCCTGTCACCAACGCGAACCGCGCAGACTACGCGTACGACTATCTCGCCTACACCGTCCACAAATCCATCGAACGCCAATGGGAGGCATTTTCGCGTGGTTTGGCAGTGTGTACGAACGCAAGAATGTTCACCCTCTTCTCCCCCACCGAACTCCAATCCGTCTTCCAGGGCGAACAAGACCTAAACATCGATGAATGGCGCGCAATAACCCAATACACAGACGGCTACTCTCCCACCCACCGCACAATCCGCGCCTTCTGGTCAATTGTCTCTGCCCTCCCTCCCCGACTCCAACGCCAACTCCTCGTGTTCGTCACCGCGTCGGATCGACTTCCTCCTGGGGGGATGGGCAAGTTGACGTTTGTGATTCAGAGGAATGGGCCGGATAGTGATCGGTTGCCGAGTGCGCAGACGTGTTTTTGTAGGTTGTTGTTGCCGGAGTATGAGGGAAGGAGGAAGTTGAAGAAGATGTTGATGACGGCGGTGGAGTTTGGGCAGGAGGGGTTTGGGTTGGTATAATCACAGATCAAGGATCCGGAGCTCAAGCATCAGCATAGGAAATGCGAGGAAACATGGGCAAGAGGGAAAGGGAACAAGAATAAGAATGAGAATAAGATGTCATTATCGCTGCAGAACGCCTTTACCGAGAAAAAGAAGCCAAAAATCATCCGACAAGTCTAGGAAGCGCTGCTTTTTTCTACCGTGAACCCATCCACGCCTAAAAAGGAACCCTACGCCGAACCGCACACATCATCATTACCACCAATCAAACTCACTAAATCTCCCCCTTTTCTCTAAGCACGCCTATAAAGTCTTATCAGCTTTTCATTCAAATCACGTGACGCGTGGACTTACGCTCAACAAGATCCGCCGACAACTGCCTCAACCCCGTGATCATGTTACTTAGCCGATTCTGTGTCGCGGCGTCCGTATCCCAAAATGCGCTCGAGATATGCTCTACCAGCTCTGCTAGGCTCTGTACACACCCCGTTAGCCTCTTTCCACTTCATCAAAGTGGATCGCAGGAGGATTTACCGTAACCGGCTCCTCCAACGGCGCAAAACTCTGCGACAACTTGAACAGCTGCTTTATCAGCGGCATATAGATCGCCTTCCCCCGTGCGTCAAGCGTCCAGAACGCATCCGCGAATTCAGTAGAGATATCACGTAACTGTGCGACATGTTCGTCCCCCTCCCACGGATTCGGCGCATACGGCATGCCCCCCGAGCTACTGTGGTCGGGGGGTAGTTGGTACACAGAGTTGGAGTTTGGGAGTTTGCGGCCAGAAGCGGGCGAGATACCGATCTCGGCCGCATGCGGGTCGAGCCAGGAGAAGTATCCTGCGCCGGAGTAGCGGTACACGCCGATATTGAAACCACCCCATGGCTCCCCGTCGGGACCGGGGAGAGTTTGTTCGTGTTTGATCCCCGTTAGATTATTGAACGGCTCGAGAGAGTGTTCCTGCGTCTCAAACAAATAAAACACCGAACTTCTAAACAACTTCGAATTTGGTGTCGTCTCCGCGCCCGTGCAGGAGTTGAGCGGATTGTATCCAAGCTGTCGCAGCCTATTCAGGATTCCAATTTCGAGGGATTTGATGATGGCGAGTGTGAGAGGGTGTGCATCTTCCTCGGGTTTGGGGCGAAGGACGGCGAAGCGGAGGATGCGGGATTTGACCCAGCCGCCGGAACCGCGGGATTGTTTTTCGAAGACGCCGAGGATGTTGGGGAGCGGAAGGACGGGAGGGGGTGGAGGTACGGGGTGGGCGAACTGGATGGGCATGAAGCGTGTTGTCGTCATTGTTGTTGTACTGGTCGAGGAGGATGGTGGTGAAGTCGTGGTGGTGATGCCTAGCGTGTCGCCTACAAATCTAGCTTGGCCCTGCAGTTTTTACACTAGGAGCGAGAAATTAAGACGCCGGTGGCTAGGGCTAATTAGTGAGTGACGCGTGCAATGTGTATAACAGTGAAGATGTGTCCCTAGACGCGTACGTAGTCTAGCTACAGGGCCGCCGATGATTGGCGAGAAACACCTTGTGTCTGTTTTCCTGGTGAAAGCCGCAGCCAAGAGCTGGAGCGGTTGCTGACGTCGACATCAATATCGACGCGTACTTCACAGCGCGAAGCAGCGACAATTTTGCGCGCGCGCGTACGCTGAGTCTTCACGAGGCGCTAGCACCGAAGAAGCGGACAGCAACCTTCAGATCAGTTGATTGTGGCAGATATACGTCCGGTTCTCCTCTGAGCAGGATTGGATTAGACGGAAATAAGGAGGACACGGGGATAGCTTGGCGTTTCAGATGTCAACACTGACCCTTGACATGATCTATATGGATTTCATTGACGATAAAGCTAGGGAAGTTCAAAGCATGTGCACGTGCCCACAACCTCGAGCTCTTATCTTCAGCTTGCATTCGATTTTGCAGAGTGGGCAGCTAGCGTAAATGATCATTTTCAAGTCCGTAAACGATCTTTCACGACTTCTTGGATTCCCTATCTGCGTGATCGTGAGTAAAGCCAATATACTCCAAAGTCCTATTTCACGCCTACCCCTCTCCCGCTACTCCCCGATATAAAGATCACAAAAGACAGACCAGGTATCAATATCTTAAAACTCCCAAAGCACATAAACTACCCCACCCCTCCCATCCCTCAATCCGTCCTCAACCTCAGCACCAGATCCCTCAACGCCTGAATCGGCGCCTGCAGCTCCCTCGCCATCCCCAAATCCTCAACCCACCAAAACGCTGTACACATCCCATAAACAGCCTCCTGGAAAACCTCCTCCGCCCCAGCACCATCATCAATAAACGTCCGCATCGCGGTACGGAGGTGAACGAGGACGGGCTCAAATGCACGACGGGCGGTGGGGTCCATGCCCCAGAAGTTGAAGTAGATCGGTTCGGAGATTTCTTGGATTTCGGCTGCGATGGTTTGATTTTCGGTCATTTCTTCGGGGTTTTCTGGGAGGTCTCGAACGGGTGCTGCTTCTTGCACTGCAAGAGCCTGTTGAACAGGAGGCTGCTGGACCGGAGGCGGCGGAGGTTGTTGGACTACTCGTGGTGGGGCTGGCGGCGGAATAGATCCAGGCGCGGGTTGGAAAGGCACAGCGCCATGAAACTGCACCTCCTGAAACTGAATAGGTCCAGTAGGTGCGCGGAACGGTATCTGCCCAACCATCGGTTGCGGGAAGTGCGTGAACCGTGACGATGCTGATGGTGGTGCGGGTGCAATCGACGGGATTGTGGCCCGGAATGGGGTCATTTCCACGCCTGGAGGCGGCGCCGCATGCCCTCGAGCCATTCCCGTTCCCGGTAGACCTTGTGGCACGACCGGTGCTTCTCCCATGACCACATCCCAGCCATCGCCGTTGGTAACCGGACCGCTTTCAGCTTGTTGTGGTCCAGCAGCTCCAGAATCACTCGAGGCCTTTTTAGCATCCTTCTCTTTCTTCCGCTTCTTATTCGGCTTCTCCTTGGGTGTTTTCGGCTGACTTGACTCGTCCTCTTCCTCTGCGGCGATATTAGTCGGTAACGACGTACGCGGTCGCTTAGCTTTTGCAAAGTTGAGTTTTGATTGCGTCGGGTCTTCTGGACCTGCCGGTGCAGGTATAGGCGCAGACTTGCGACGCGACCCCTTAGACTGCCCCAGATCCTTCTGCATCGCAGACTTGCCGTAAGGCAAGATATCCTCCTCCGCATCCTCCTCATCCGTAGATTCCTCCGCCATACTCTTTGGTGCCGAACGACGAGTGGGTCGCAGGGACATAATGGCCTCCCTCTCCTTAGCTTTCGCCATTCTTCCTGACCGTCTCCTGTTCGTCGTGTCCTCTTCTTCGCTTTCCTCACCCGAGTCCTCCCTCAGTGTCTTCTTTCTGCCCTTATTTCTCGATCCAATGCGAGACGTCGCAGGTGAGCTGGACTCCTCAGACTGTGCAGGCGATCGAGGAAGATTCGGCTCGGCTCTTTCGCCGGCGTTATTGTTCACCGCTGCCTCTAGAGCCGATTTCGTATCTACATCACCATCCTTCGAGCTGTTCAAATTCTCCCTCGGTAGTAAGTATGCAGCCTGTTTGATCGTCTTCCTCGACTTCAAATCCATCTCCCACCATGCGTTCTCGGTAGTGCTCAACCATTCCAGCTCCTCCTTAGAAAGCTTATCCAATATTTTCGGGGAGCCAACTCGGCCTGCGAGGACAGCCACAGACATCGGATCAGGCACAGCAAACTCGAAGTTCAGATAAACGTGTTTATCGTTTCCAGGTGTCGAGAATAATGGGATTTCCATACTGTCGAAGTCTTTGGCCGCTCCATGCGCAATGTCATCACTCTCAAACTGCAGGTAAATGAGCGGGTATCCATCCTGCAAAGCATAACTCGCTTCCTCCTCGAATTTATCGATTTGGTTACGTCGGAGTGCCTGGAGAATGCGATGATGGATTTCTATCTCGATGTCCCCTTTGGCGGCGTTGACTTGCCGAACGGGAAAGTTATTCATGTCAAGAATCTCTCTTCTCCAGTCGAACTGCAACCATTTTGTTGGTTGGCCTTTTCCAGCCAGATGGAAAGTGGCTGTATCAGGCTTCTTTGGCTTCTTTGGCTTTGGACCGGATGCAGTTTGAGGTGTATCGCCATTGGAGTTGGCCGTCGAAAGTTGCGACCGCGCGGTGTCGAGGCGCATGTTTGCGAAATCTGCGCCAACCGGTGTTACTGGTGGAACCATGATGTCCGGCAAGCTTCCTTTCTTTCCGTTCTCCTTAACGTCCGTGTTCGCTGTCTTCCCTAAAACGCCATCCTGTGCGCCAGAGTTAGTAACAGGAGCAGCTACGGCATCCTCCATTTGCGTGTCTTGTCCATCTGCGTCTGGGGTGTTATTTGAGGCTTTGGATTGCGAACTGGGTACGGCTTCTGATCCGTTCGCATTGCCGTCTGTCGCGTCTGTAGGTTGTAATGGATTTGGACCAGATGCTGTCCCTGGTGCTGTACCTGAGTCTGTCGTATCCTTCGATACTGGCCGGCTGCCTTTGTCAATTTGTGGCATACTCGCGTCCAGAGCCGGGTCCATCCACCTCACCCCACTCATGTTGATGTAGAGTCGAAGGTTCGCGTACGACTCGACGATCTTCCCCGTGCCATCCGCAACATCGACAGTCCGAAAGTTCACAGATTTCCCATCTTCATATTTAAGGTCGATGTAATGAGGTTTTCCGTCCAACGCACGCGCTACTGACTTCGCAGAAGCCTTGTCGTGAAACCTGAAGAAGATATGGAATTGATCTTTGGGGTTCTCCTCGTTTACCGCATGCCCAGTGCACTTATCCATCAGACCCCTTTCCGTCAACCGAGCTCTGATTCCTTCATAGATCTGCTTGCTGAAGTACTCCGCCTCCGGTTCTGTCCAAGGCGGGGATCCGTTGAGCCAGTCGAACCTCAGAAGCTTGCCAGCTTGCTGATTGAGGTTCGGCTCGCACTTGAAGATACCAAGATGAGCCATCTGGAGTCGATCAGACTGGGGTATATTATCGATTGTTTGCTATTGCTGGTAAAGTCGTTCCGCGCCGCGTTCGGGATGTCCAGGTCCCCTGCCGACCGCGTCGCGCTTGTGTATTGGCGGTGGATAAGTACCGTAATGATGCGTGAGCAACACCTGACAGCTAAGGCTCCATTGGTCGTGTGTGTTTTCGAATCTTTTTCGTCAGAATCCTTCGTTTCTATATGGGAGTGTCGGGTTCTGAGGACCTTCGCGAATTGGGATCAGGCTTGGTTAGGCTATGAGGCTAATCTCGACAGCGGAAGACCGCGAATGTCTGATTATGATTTAACTGAAAATATTTGTTGCTTCACTGATACCCCTCAGTTGCAACCGCTCTTAGATTATTCCACGTCAGCTCCCCAATAGTATCACACAGGCGCTGCCGGAGCCTAGTTGGTGTTGGATGCCAGGTTTCGGAACGGGAAGCAGCTAGCCATGATTTGGCTCACCCAGCTTAAATAAGAGCACAGGAAGAACTGAAGGTCAGGCCCCCATTCCTGCCGAAAGCTACTGCATACGAAGGTTTTCTTTTATTATTCACGGGTGAGCTGCGAGCGGCATAAGGCGTCGCCCAAGCCTGTATTGCAATGTTCATCAATGCAGATGTTCAGAACGCCCATCTTTTGTCTCTCCCGAGTCAACAACGCCCTCTTTCATCCCTATCCCCTACTTGCTACCCACTTCGTATGTTGTGCTGGTTCTGAAGCAGACTTCTGCTTTCCTACCGATGGACCTTCACCAAAACCTAAACCTAACGTTGATCATGTAGCTCAGTGATAAGCTTGCAAAGCATTTTCCTTACTATCGTCAGGCAATATCAACTGTTAAGTTAACTCGCATACTGCCTAATCAAGTATCTCGTGTCCAAAAAATCTTCGTACAAGTTAGCTAAAACTTTCCCACGCAAGTCGAGCTCGGTAAATTGAAGTCTGGAATAGAGAAAGCCCAGGTCCATCTGTCTCGACACATATAAAAGTTTGAATAACTCCGCTGCTCTCAGCTTGAGGCCCCCTCGTTGATTCAAATCACGTTTTCGGTAACGTGACCGAGACGTATCGTGTTATCATCATTAATTCCGGAAGGCCTTGCCTTTCTTTGGCCACATCCAGATAAAAAAACGCACTGCGAAACTCATAGAAAAGGCGGTCCAACTCTTCATTGCTGACAAACAGGCCCTGTAATACCACCTTGCACGTATCTCTCAAAGCTCTGGTCAGGCGCATGTAACCGCATCGACCTGTTTCGCTACATTGCCAGAAAGCGCTTTCGACCAATTCGGAAATCAGATAAAGTTCTTTGCCCTGAAGAGCAGAGGAGACAATGAAGTTGTTATGGTTACGATTCACAGGCATTGGAGGTCCAGTACTCTCAGTGAAACCTGGAAGCATCTGAACATCGGCGTTTGTGGTGGAAGTCGGACGCACCTGAGGCTCAGCGTTCGTGGTGGTATTTTCAGGCTTCTGAATCTCAGTGACCTGGCCCTTGTGGCGCTTCGGTGCACCCTGTACTTCTGTTATATTGAGGGTCGGTGTTCCTGATGCTCCTCCTCATGTGATCTTTTCGAAATTGCCTGGCAGTATGGTGGTGACCAGCATTGCTTGTTTCAATCTGCAATCTTTGAGACTGACTGGTGTCGCGGCCGCCGAAATTTTGTTCTGAAACGCAAACTGGTCGATATGACCAAGACGCACAACCGTGCCTAGTCTTTCTGGCACATGAATGTTATGAGCGTGGGGATCGAGCGTCTTCAGGGCAGCTCTTGCACCGTCTAAGTTCTCACATGTGACGAGCTAGCTCTACCGAGACCTGACACAGCAATCAGAACATTTAAAGTTTTCTCATTTCAAGAACTCTTAAACGACATCCTATCGTACACCGCCTTTCACTCCCCTCACTCCTTTGGAATCGCCCCACCCTCCCTCAGCCTACCAAAAACCTCCAAATACCCCTCCAACGTATCCTGATACCCCGTCCACCCCATCCCCCTCGCCTTCCCCATACTATTCAAGATATCCCATGTCCGCCCAACACAAAAATCCATAAACCCCCACGTAGCATGACTAAACGCCTCTTTATCCAAGTTATGGCGATCGGCGAGACGTGACCACGCAGCACTGACTTCTGGTTTTTGTGACCAAGTTTCGAGGTGGACGCGGGACGTGAGGAGGGAGGGACCGGGCAATTCGACTTTGTGTGGGAGAGGCGCGGGTTTGTCGAATTGATCTTTTGGTAACTCCACACCGAAATACGCTGCGATTTTGGGCCATGTACGACTCCAGGTATGCAAGTCCCCATTCACGCAGTTGAATGCTTCACCTCCACATGCCTCCCCCAACGCCTGCCACTCCCCGAACTCGGCAATGAGGGGCGCGTAGGAGCTATCATCCCACCCCCTGTAGAATCGTTCATTCCCGGGCCACCAGAGGGGTTCGCCGAGTTCTTTTTGCACGGAGGCGTAGATTGCGATGGTGGTTGCGAGTGACATGTAGTTTCCCTTGGAGTAGCCGCAGATGTCGTTGGGGCGGTTGATTGTAAAGTCCCACTGTCGGCCAACCTTTGAGTTTGCGGGAATGTCCCAAGAGCCGTTCTTGGCCGCGGGCTTGGCGCCGCAGAGATCAGCGAGAATGTCTTCCTGGGTGTAGTAGAAATTCGGGCCGTCGACCCTGGGATCCGTTTCCAAACCTGGGAGACGGTAGGATCCGAGATGGACACCGTAGTGTTTCATTCCCGTGGTGAGCACAATACGCTTGAACTCCTTACTGGCAGCTTCATCGGCCAAGAAGGCCTCCATGAAGTTCTTCAGCATACCACCTGTACCGAAGCGTCAACACTCTGCGCAGACAAGATAGAAGGCCCCTTGGTACCGTTAACTTGACACGCCTTTTCCTCCTCTGCTTCCTCCTTGTACGCCGCCCAAAAGATATGCGTGACCCCCTCCACTCCAGCTTCCTTCAACTGCTTGCCCAACTCTTCCGGTTCTTTCATCAAGTCCAAAGCGACATGTTGGACGTTCTCGGGGTATTTCTCTTTGACGGAGCGGGAGACGGCGTAGATCTTTGTCCACTTGTGGGAGGATTTGGTGAGGTTTTCGATTTGGGCACGGCCGTTGATACCGGTTGCGCCGGAGACGAGGGCGATGAGAGGGGCCATTACGTTGGGTGAGAGGGGAGGTGGTCCTTTTTAAGGTGGTCTTTTCGATGGTCAGCTGGTCGGTGTGTCGTCATTCCCGCGTGCTCGTGTCTCGCCGCGGCCCCGCCCACAGCAATGCGCGAGTGAGGTCAGCAGCGACGGTGAGATCAGTCGAGTGGGTCACCAACTGTGAGCTCGAGTGAGGCAATGATCCCCCGGCTCACCAGCTCTCCCGCTCTCCCACGCCTCCACCACCCCCCTTATCTCCGCGCGCCGTACCTGACACAATCGCGCAACTCCCGCTTCCCACGGCCTCCCCCAGCATGTCGATGTCGCGCTTCATCTTCAAACCCTCCAACGGTCCCTCCTACGACTGCCTCCAACTCACTTCCTCCACCCCTTCCTCTCTCGACCACCACCGCCTAATCTTGCGGATGTATTGGCTGCGAGTGGATATGGGCGGAGCTGAATTGATGGTTGGAAGGGGGGGAAGATGGCGGAAGGGAGGAGACAAAGTACTTGATTGACGGATTTGTATACCATCTATACCCAAATTGCAATTGAATCACTACATTTTCTTTGAGTGCCGTGCCTACACGTCCTTCATCGGAATCGATATTAGAATTCACGTCATGCGCTCACGAACGCGCGCGGCTTTCACATGATTGCCGAGAGTATTCATGGTAAGTCTACATTTACCCTGCCATGAAACCCCCAGACAATCCGTCGACAATGGAGGATCCTACGAGTATAACCTCAGCATCCGTCGGCTTCATAACAATGTCTCCGTACTGTGGGAACGAGTTCGCTTCTCCCGTGTTCAATCGGTTGAGTCAAGGAGCCACAGTCGTCTTCGGAATGCCCGACATCAGTCGCCAAGCTACAACTGCAGCATCGACGACAGCAACAGCTGTAGTGGAGAAAGGCGGGTTCTTCATTTTCAAGGCATCCTCGATGGGTGAGGACGAGGACAAAGGCGACTGTCTCCTTTTCCATCGACAAGGAACTTCGACCAAGCTCACACCCGAACAATACTCCTCCATCGCCCTTAAACTCAAGTCACACTCCTCACCGTGCCCAATACAACAACAGGGGTCTGGGAGCGAGCGTGGTGCGTTTAGGTTCGCGGGTAGTGTGGATGCGAGGAACGTCGCGGAATGGCTTCATTGGACGAGACATGAGTTGGGGTGTTCGAGTTCGGTTTGCGTGAGGCAGGTGCATTGGAGGTGTGTTGTCTCGAACTCGGGAAAGTCGTCGCCGTGGGTGGTGGTGGCTAAATGTTAGGGGCATACAGAGACGCGGGATTCACCTCCGAACAACTAACGAAGACAACGGGAACCGCCACAGACATCTCCTCCCTCTCACCTCTTTCCTCTTTAACAACGAGGATACCAGCGCTCGACTTGATACCCCCCCGCCCACTCCCAGTCCCACGCCGTAAACGCTGCTACCCAGTCGTTGATATCCCACGTCTTCGGAGCCTGTCTGCGCTGCAGGCAAGGGAGGCGGAGATGGAGCTGAGTGAGACGATGCTTACATGGCAATCATAATATTCCGTACGATCATAATATACCAACTTTAATTCTTTTATCGATAAGCGTGTCCTATCTGTGGCTAGTGCGCACGAGCCACACAAAAGTCTGCGAAGACGGCAACACCAAAACAGTCAAGACAGAAAGCATCTCAGGCAATGTCTACACAAGCTGCACCAAATCCCGCCGTTCAGGCATTGGAAGAGGACCGCTCCGCAACTCCTGTCACTCTCGCGTCCTTGGGATCATCGTCGCATGGCGATATCGCACTCGAGGAAACGAGTGAGGAGAATCCCGTGGTGAAGGCAAACCAGCAATTACTCCTCCTGCTACCATCGAAGAACGTCAAAGTCGTGACCGTAACGCCGAAGACTACCATCTCACTCGGTAAATTCGGTTCGTTCAAATCTGACGACATCATCGGAACACCATACGGCCTCACCTACGAAATCCACGAAAACAAGACGATCGTGCCCATTGCTCCCTCCGCCATCGACGAAATCGAAGACGACGTCGGCAACAACCGCGAACTTAACGACGACGCAACCGCACAAACCCTTACATGGCAAGAAATCGAGGCCCTGAAGAAGGATAAGAATATCCAGGGTAAGGAAATCGTGGAGAAAGTCATGGCAGCACATTCAAATTTCGATAAGAAGACGGAGTTTGCGAAGGAGAAGTATCAACGGAGGAAGGAGCAGAAGTTCTTGAGGGGATTTACGGTGTTGGCGCCGACGTTGCCGACGATTTGTGATTACCTCTGGACACGGGATCAACACCGCATCCTCGACATCCGTACTTCATCACTCTCATACATCCTGGCGCAGGCGAACGTGTTCCCCGGTGGCCGATACCTAGTCGTGGACGACACGGGAGGTTTGATCGTAGCAGCCATGCTCGAGCGCATGGGCGGTGAGGGAACACTCATGGTCCTCCACGAAAACGAACACCCCGCCCTCGACGTCTGCCGCTACTTCAACTTCTCGCCTCGCCAACTCTCCCCCGTCAAATCCCTCTCCTGGCTCCAAGCCCTCCACCCAGAAGAAACGGACCCAAGACCCGAGATGCCGGCACTGGAGGCGATCGTGGATGGGAAGGGACATAATGCGGCGAAGAGGTTGGCTGGTAGGCTGAAGAGTTGGGGGAGGGTAGATAAGGCTCAGAAGGATTTCTTGGAGGGTGGGTGGGATGGGTGTGTTGTTGTCAGCACGTTTGATCCTGTCACGATCGTACCGGCTATTTTGCCTTATGTCGAGGGTTCGAGACCAGTGGTTGTCTATGCACCGCATAAGGAGACGCTGCTACAACTCTCCATCCACCTCCACAACGGTACGAAACGCCAAATTCTCGCGCCAACGATCGTGAGTTTGAGAGCGAGGGAGTACCAGACCCTGCCTGGGCGTGTGCATCCCATGATGACGATGGGTGGTGGTGGAGGATGGGTGTTGAGTGGACTGAGGGTTTTGCCGAGTGATATTGAGGCTGTGGCGGGGAGTGCTAGACAAGCCGGACGTGGCAAGAAGAAGAAGGAGAAGAATGGTGAGGCGAAGGAGAAGAAGAGGAGTAAGGGAGGGGATGAGGGTGCTGAGGAGACTTTAGAGGAGAGTCCCGCGAAGAAGACGAAAATTGCGGAAAATGGTGATGCGACTAGTACTGAGACCGAGACTGGTACGCCGATGGATACGAGTGCGGATGGGAGTGCGGCTGTTACGGAGGCTGAAGCATAAGCAGGCGTCTTGATTTAGAGAAATTAAACATAAAAATATCAAGTTCGACTATGTCGTATCGTTATGTTCACGCGTGCACCGGTCAAACCTTAGCCCCGTGGCGTTCGTACGACGCCGACGTCGACGTTACACCGCACACCTCGCGTTTCCTGACCGTCCCAAATGCCCAGATCAAGATTAGCTGAGGACTCACCTCACGCAATCATCGCTGCCTTCCTTGAGAAGTTTCATTATACAGATGTGGGGATCACAGGCTGGTTACTGTTCACAGTCGCTGACCATATAGTTGCCACAGACCCTCGACGCCTTCCGCCACGAAACAGGACTTGGCTTCAATGATGGTCCGAAAGCATTGGATCTGGAGGAGTTGTTGGGGGATCGACGGATGAGGGAGATGCAGGCTACGATGCACGCGACGCATGTCCAGGACGCCTTGTCTACCCTTCCTAGCTGGTCGGCTCCTAGTGGGGAGCCGGTGAAGTTCAGAGAGACGGCATGTGTGCACGGTGCTGTACTGAATGCGATGGTTGTCGAAGGGATGGTATGGTTGTCGTATAGTGATGGTGCTGTCGAGGTCAGGACCACACAATCGCTGGACTCTAAGAACCCAGACCATTTGAAAGTGGGACGGTTTCATCCGCATGGACGGAGTCCGGTGTTGAGTATGGTTGTTGATGGTCAGTTCTTGATCACTGGTGGTATGGATGGAAGGATTTTGGTTACGGACGTCCCTCGCAATGGTGGGCCGCATGTGGAGCATGTGCAGACTGTTGCGAAGCATGGGAGGTATGTCGTTCGGCTGGCGATGTCTAGTGACAAGGGGTTCCTTGTTTCTGCGAGTTACGACAATACTGTCAAGATCTTTTGTCGTGACCGGGCGTCACCAGCGTGCCCCGTACCGGCGTGGAAGGAGGAGCGAACGATCACATTCGCGACACAGCCGGAGGCATTGCACATCACCGAAGACAACGAGGTCATTATGGCTGCACGATCATCGAACCTCCTGCAATGTATCAAGCTGTATACAGGTGAGGAGAGGACGATTAACCTGAACGCTGTTGGTGATGACCACGTCTCGTTCTCCCCACTGGACATCGCACCGCACCCCCAAAACCCGAATGTCCTCGCAATTGCGACCCTTCACCCCACAACCCCTTTTCACCGGGTCGTCTTCCTCGACCTCTCTCAATCTCGGGTGATTGGTGACCTATGGACGGATGCGCCGCAAAACGAGTACTCCACTCCACGGGTGGTATGGCGAGGTAGTGGTGATGGAATCTGGGTTAATGGGGATGATGGCGTCTTACGTGGGTACGATGTCAGTACAAAGAGGAAGATTGGGGTGTTAGCGGGACATGAGGGGAATGTTAAGGCGGTTTGGGCTGGGACGGTGGAGGGGAGGGAGGTGGTTGTTACTGGAGGGTTCGATAAGACGGTCAGGTTGTGGTGGTAGAATCGATGGACCCAGGCAATGGAGACCTATTTCGACGTACAACGAGGAATATAGCACCATTACAAGTTCCACCAAAGATCTTGAACTAGTCGATCACAAGCGTATCTAACCTCCAGTTATGGGCTTCGGGATCCTTCTAGCCCGACATACGGCATTCTGCCCGATGGCATCGCCGACGTGAACAGGGTAGATGGATATTTTTGAGGGACTGTGATACAAAGAAGGACGGTTTGTGAAGGACGCAACGCCCATTGAGTGTCCCTAACCTCCGCTTAGCTGCGACCTCTGTAATTCCGAGCTTGCACCGCAGCCGACCCTTCGATGGATTCGCGACTGCCGTTACCCCATGGCCGCTCGGCTTCCCTCACCCAGTACCGCGCATCAAGTTCGAGAAACCCATAAAGGATGCCGAAGTTCTTACCTAATCCGTCTCGGTCCACGATCTCTCCGAGGACCCCTAGCGTCTCTCCAACTTCCCTGCCGCGCCCCACCTTAAATCCCGCGCGGCCCCGCTCAAATTAGCCGAAGCTAACCGAATTGGGTCTGATTGCACTGACCAAGCACTGACAAAATGTTGCGACAATGCGATCCTCGAGACCTATAAAGCCAATTGATCCCTTTAGATTTGGAGGGGAAGAAGACAGGGGAAAGGCAAGATGGTAGCAGCATTGGACAATTCGATTAAGTCAGCCAATGCGCCGGCGTTGTTTACCCAGACGCACTTCGTCGACTCACATACCCTTGCCGGCGGTCGCCTGCACGATGAGCGTGCCGCGTCCATCGACACCTCTTATACTCCATCGGAATGTGTCGACGTCCTCATTGTCGGCACCGGCCCCGCAGGAATGATGGCCGCAGCCTCCCTTTCGCGCCTCTCCATCCCCTTCCGTGCAATCGATCGTCGCGCTGAAGCAATCCCGGCCGGTCAAGCCGATGGCCTGCAACCACGTACACTCGAAGTCTTGCAGCAGTTGGGGCTGGCGCACGAGATTTTGGAAAGGGGATGTCAGATGCATCAGGTTTCGTTCTGGAACCCGAGAAAGGATGGGAAGGGGATTGAGAGGACGAGTCGCGCGAGGGATGTGGTTACGGGTGCAAGGTATCAGCATGAGGTCACGATTCATCAGGGCATCATTGAGAGGCTTTTTCATGAGGATATTGTTTCCCGCCGTGGTGGTGTGGGCGTCGAACGCGAAACTGATTTCATCTCCTACTCTATTCACGAAGGAGAAGAATACCCAGTCCGCGTCACTATCTCCAAGAAAGGCGTGGAGTCAGTAGTCAAGTGCAAATACCTCCTCGGCACCGACGGCGCCCGTTCATCCGTCCGCGCCGCAATGGGCATCTCCCTCGAAGGCGAACACACCGACTACATATGGGGCGTCATGGACGGAATCTGCCGTACGACATTCCCCGATATCAGGTTCCGGTGCGCGATTCATTCCGACGCTGGATCCATCATGGTTATTCCGCGCGAACGCACTCCACGCGGAGTACTCACAAGACTCTATACACAAATGGCGGTGGCGCCCCCCACGAGCGGCGGGGAGGGTGTGGAGAAGGATTCGAAGGAGGAGGCGAAGAGGAGGAGGGGGGAGGTTACGCAGGAGAAGGTTGTGGAGCAGGCGAAGCGGGTGCTGGCGCCGTATGAGTTTGAGTGGGAGAGTGTCGATTGGTATGCGGCGTATCAGATTGGACAACGCGCTGCGCCGCGGTTTCAGAAGGATGGGAAGGTGTTTATTGCCGGAGACGCGTGTCATACCCACTCTCCCAAGGCTGGCCAGGGGATGAACGTGTCTATGATGGATACGTTCAATTGGGCGTGGAAGGTTGGGTTAGTGTTGAAGGGTTTGGCGAAGGAAGAGGTGTTGGAGACTTATGAGGAGGAGAGGAGACAGATTGCCAGGGAGCTGATTGAGTTCGACACGAAATTCTCGAGTATGTTCAGTGGGAAGATTGGGGAGGACAGTGGGTTGACGCATGAGCAGTTCTTGGAGGTGTTCGCGAAGGGGAATGGGTTTACTTCCGGGTGTGGGATTCAATACGCCTCTTCGATCCTCGTTCGTCCTGATGCGGCGGGGGTAATTGACGCGGAGGCGAAGGAGGCGGTGGTACCAGGGAAGAGGCTGTTCAATACCCGTCTCGTAAGGGTGGTGGACGCGAACCCCAGGGACATCCACGACGAGATGCCCGTCAACGGCACCTTCCGTTTGCTCATCCTCGGCGGAACGTTCATTACCTCCTCCACCCGTCCTGCCCTCGACGCCCTCGGCGCATACCTCCCTACCCCATCCTCGCCCCTCGTCCGCTATTCCGGCCTTGTCGAGCCTCTGTTTGTTCATGCTCACAAAGACCGACATGAAATTGAGGTCGTGGATTATCCGGAGACGATTAGGGATTGGGAGTGGGGCTTGTTCCATGATGATACAGGAGCGGCACATGAAACTTGGGGGGTGAATATGAAGAAGGGAGCCTTGGTTGTTGTTAGGCCGGATGGGGTTGTTGGGTGTGTTGCGGAATTGGAGGACGTGAAGACTGTGGAGGAGTATCTGGGTGGAATCTTGGTGTAGGGCTTAGCGGGTAGAGGTTCGGAGGAGGCATGGGAAGAGTGACGGGGTTTGTGTACGTTTAGGGTATCTGTATCAGTTCTGCTTCGATGCTTGATCGGATTCCAATATGAATAAAGGATTTATACTCTGCGACGCAAACGGACATTAGGGTGTCTGTTCAACTTCCAGCAGTTTTGGCAGCCAGAGTTCACACGGTGTACAGATGAACAAGGGAAAGCTCTTCATTCTCATGACAGGTCTGCTTATCGGGCTCTTGTGTGGCCTGACAGCTGCTCCACTCGCCCGTCCGGCCGTGAAGTACTGTAATCTAATAATAGAGTGCTCACACTATACGCGGCCGGGCCGGTTGATGGCCGGGCACCTCCGCAACACCGCCTGATGCCCACGTCAAAATGGAACCTCCACCCGCACGGCAGAACCGAACAATCGGTGTTCCATCAGCTGCAGCCGCTTACCTGCACATGCCGAAACTCTTTTAAAGGTCCATATGGTCCCCCCGGGTGCAGCAGTGGACGGTCGCCGGGTTTCCCCGCCTCCTCCGTACTCTTTAAAGATAATTATGTCAGCGCTCCGCTCAAACTCAGTTACCCAACCACGCCAGCGGCAGACCTTGACTTATTCAACACATCCTTCTGGTCAGGAGCTAAGGAAGAGTTTGGGATACCAGTCAGGACTTGAGTACAGACTGAAGGACACAGCGGGAGCTGCCATGGCAAGCTCAACGTCAAATCCAGGCCTGGCGAGGCCTGTAAGCACCTTAACCTCAATCCACGAAATGATATCCTCCGGATCGACCCTAAACCCCGACCACGACAACACCTTCGTCTTCCTCAATCTCGACGACGTCGAAGCTCATCGTGGGTGCGACTGCCTCAACTTCGCTCTCATCCGACACGCACCAGATCTCCGTTACATCTCTGGCGAAATCAGGAAAGTGGAGGCATACTTTGAGAACCCATTCGCGGGGGATCAACGGATATTCAAGTTTAGGGATTGGGAAAGTGCGGTGAAGGTTGGGCGGGCGCTGGAGGGGAAGAGCATGATGGTGAGGGGCAGGAGTACATGTGGAGCGTTCATGCTGGTTTCATCAGCGGAGTATGCCAGTTCGTGTTCAGCTCTGGCGCGTACGTTGCTGATCGATATGACAGGATTCTAGCTCGTGTACAGACAAGTGCGACGCAGACAACACCGGGTCTCATCCAACTCCCACCTCTCAACACACAATGCTTCCCCGGCCCCGAAGTCACGGCACTCATCACCCCTCCCCTCCGTACCTCATCCTCGCCGAATCCTGCATTGGGTCACACCTCACCCACGCGGCGTCCAGTAATACCCCATACCGGGTCCAACTCTGCCCCGCAAAGTGCCAGTCCTCCGCCCTACGTATACGAACCACAGGATCCACCCCAACCACCCACAGCTAGGTCCATTATTGCACGTCCGAGATCCGCTTCCGCGCCGCGCGAGCTTCGTGCGCGAAGCGCTACGACTGCTTCTGAAGCCGAACTCAGGCAATACCGGCTCGCACTCGAGGATTCCCTCTACACCCTCGAAATTCAGTCACGTAGCCAAGCTGCAAGTTCGAATCCGTCGAATCCTCAGGACTCAGCACAAGTATCAGCGAATCCGAGGGATTCCAGGCGTGAAGCGAGGGAAATTAGGAACAATCCCAGCAGCTCCTGGTTCAGGACTGAGTGGACGAGACAAGATCTCAACGACCGTGGTGCGCTTCCACCAACGCCCACCAGTCCCGAGGTAGCGATGAGTATCATCAGAGCGACAGAAAGCCCAGCTCCTTCTGAAGCACCGACTCAAGGCAACGGCATCGCGGGCTCAGTGTCTGGCCTATCCAGGGTTATTCCAGGTCTTGGACGCCATCACAGACGTGTTGGATCCGGAGATAATCGCCCCGCATCCATGATTGTGCCAAGTACGAACACGGTAGCATCCGCGGATGCAGGCCTGGGTTTGGGAGAGTTTAGGGAGCAGATTTCGAGGATGTATTTTAAGTTGAAGGCGGAGGATCAGGCGAAGTTGGCGGCGTGGATGAAGGGGTTGTGGGAGCCGTAAGTGCCTTCCCCATGATGATGTTTGAAAGATTGATGAAGACGTATCAATATGTTTGGATGGTGCAAAGCTACCTGCCGAAGACTTCGACGTTCGATGGGTTTGTGATCTAGGGCGGAGTGCGGCGGGCCCGACACCCGCTCAAGATCACGCTGATTGAATCATTCTGTTGAACAGAACTTGATATATCTTGATTCGCATAATTTACATCCACTCCTTCCCTTTTCCCTCCAATCTACATTTACAGGCCCTGACGGCAATTTTCTGTCGGTTGCCGAGATTGGAGTCTGCGGCAATCTTCACGTGCAGCTCAGATTGCTGAGAAATCTTGAGCGCAAGTGGCGACCATCGAATAAAAAAGACCAGGATCCATCGGTTCACGACTAAGAACTGCAGATTAGATTCATTCACAATGTCGACAGCAACAGTCGCTTCGCAGCAGCCTTCGTCCTCCTCGCAGGACCAGGTTGTTCTCTTTACCTGTATGGCCTGTGCGGTCGGTTTCCACACCGCCGATCTCCAGCGCCAACATTACCGCACCGACTGGCACCGTTACAACCTCAAGAGAAAAGTCGTTGATCTCCCGCCTATCACCGCCGACTCCTTCGCCGAGAAGGTCTTGCAACAGCACGATGCGAAGAAGGAAGAGCAGGAGCGATCGACCTTCAGCGCCAATTGCGCCGCTTGCAAAAAGACTTTCTACAGCCCTAACGCTTTCCAGAATCATTTGAGGAGTAAGAAGCATATGGAGGCTACTGGACGGTACGAGGCACGTATTATGGCGGAAAGAGAGAGGACTGGATCACCCGCCGAGTCCATGATTTCTTCTACGTTCTCGATTGGAGAGTCTTCAAATGCGACCGGTGCGGCACCTTTGGCGGATGAGATTGACAGGATGTCCATCCAGGACGAGGCACCAGAAAGGACTGAGGAGGAGGAGATTGAGGCCCGTCTCGCCAATGTTGCCGTTATCAACGTCAACTCCTGTCTCTTCTGCTCGCCAAACAACCCGCCATTTTCCGCCGTTGACGAGTGTCTGAAGCACATGTCCTCCCGCCACGGTCTTTTCATCCCAGAACGCGACTACCTCACCGACCTCGAGGGTTTGTTGCGCTATTTGCAGGAAAAGATCAACGTTGGACACGCGTGTTTGTCGTGTCACAAGGAGTACAGGTCCGCGGAGGCGTGTAGAGCACACATGATCTCGAAGGAGCACTGTAAGATCAAGTATGACACCCAGAAGGATATGTTGGAGTACTCCGACTTCTACGACTTCTCTGCATCATACTCAGATGTTGAGGACGCGGAGATGGTTGATGGCGACGCAGAGGATGTCGAAGGTGGAGACTGGGAAGACGTTTCAGAGTACGACTCAGACGAAGACTCCATCGCAAGCGAAGACCTCGGTTCCCTCCCCGTCGACCCGCAATACTCTCTCTACCTCCCCAACCGCGGAATCTCCCTCGGTCATCGTTCCCTTCACCGCTACTACCGTCAACACCTTCGCCCTCCTGGAGCTGTCCCTGATGGTGTCAAGGTTCATCGTCAGGCTATCCAGGCTGCGGTTATGGAGAATAAGGAGAGGTCTTTGATGGGTGTTACTGGCGGAAGAAGAAAAGAGGCGGAGAAGCATATTAAGACTTTCCGGGATATGCGCAGGAGGGAGGATTACAAGACTACGGTTGGTATCAAGGTCGGAAACAACCAGAAGTACTTCAGGGATCCTCTCCTTCAGTAGACGAGGGTCATCGGAGAGGGTGTGTGTGCGGACTGTGTCTGCGGAAAATTGGGTGTGTGCAAAATTTCTGGGATTTCTCTGGTGTCTCTTGCAATTCTTTCGATTTGACTGCGTTTTTGTTTTGCTTTGCCTCTGTGGTTCGTTGGGTTCAGGGATTTGTTCGTTAATTGCATTTCTTGGAGATTCATATAGCTTTGGGGGTACGTTCGTATCCGTTATAGATTGCATTCTTAGTCTTTCTACCACGTTGTTCCATACTCTTTCCTCTTTCACATTATAACAGGCCTGTTACCTTCTCAGGTGCACTACGGCAACACGGCCGTGCGATCAGTCGCTGAAGTAACCTTCATCGGCCCTTCTGTTGGCGACCACTGCGGCCCAATTGATTGCCTGAGCGAGGGGCGGAGGTGGTTCATGACGGGGCTCCGGCATCATCATTTCAGCAGTTAAGCTACGTCGCGGGGATCAGCTTCAGCTGCATGCTTTGCTCTGAAAAAACTTACCATGGCAAAACGGTTGTGAGCCAGGTCATCTGGATTAGATGAAACAGCCAAGCTCTCGTCGTCCCATGTACACTTCCCTGTGTTTCGACGTCGTAGCGAGAGTCCAATGTCAGACTCATAAAACAATATGACTGGAAAACCACGCGCGTGAATATGCCGAGCGGCCTGAGACAGAAACGGCTCGTTCGACACAGGCGTCTGACTCCACTAACAACATCGCTGAAGAAAACTCGGTAGTCTTCGACGCTATAGGTACACGCTGTTAGTACGTTACGAAGGTTCCGCCTGGAGGCAACGGAAGAGGAGGCTCACCTTAAGGAGACGGCGACGAAGACCACAAACACAAAAGCTGCGGAAAGGGCGAAAAAGCAAACCATCTTCACGCTGAAACATGCAAGAGCAACCGCACAGTCGACACTTGATGACAGCTCCCACACATAGGGGAATGTGTACGGCGCAAGACCATAGATGCTCGGCTTCCGCATCGCCATCTCGAAGAACGAAACATCCAGCGCACGTAGACACTCACATGGAATCACATACAAGGTCGCTGTCCAGCACGTCACAAGAGTTAAGTCGAAATACAGGCTTTCGAGTTCGCACGTAAACCTCCCGTAACATGAAAATTCACACAGGAGCGTTAATACGCACGCGAAGTACGCAACAACCAAAGCGCCGATCTTCAACATGACACTTAGTCGCTCTTGGCCATCAACCTTGTCCCAGATCAGTGATAAAGTCTTCGGGGACCAGTGTGGTTCCAGCCGGTACAGCTTTGGATCGAAGGTTGCATGGTCTAGAAGAAGACCGCGCTGAAAAGCTGCAGAATGAGCATGGCTGCAACCATCTTGATAACTAGACACCAGAAGAGATGGTGGTTGATCTGTTCGAACATTCTGGGGAAAACAGCGGTGATCCTGGCGCTTGTGCGAGGCCCGCAAAGGCCAGGGGCTAAGAGTCTGGAGGGCTCAAAACTCATCTTGAGGTGGTGTAAGAGTGTCTGGCTTGTCACTGCTTTACGACGGGACAGCAGCTTTTCAGTCAACGGAGCGGACTTCGAGAGCAGTCCCACTAGCGCGGGTCTCGTTTCGCGCCATACCGGATCAGGGAATCTTGGGATTCCAGTTCATGCAGAAGTATCAAGGCAGTGTCCTGTGTTGATGTCATGATTGAACGTGATTCGTAAACTGTATATACTCGATCCGCTAAATCGGAGACTTCACTTCAGCTCTTTGCGACGCAACGTCTGCGTTCGTGCGCTTATCGACGCGGTTGGCGTTTGCTCGACGATCGCGGAAACAACAGTCTGAATACGCCGTTAGCCGTCTTTCCACGTCTGATGGACAAGATGACTTACAAGTATGTCACGCCCCACAATGACAAGTCAATCGCGAATCTCGCAATGACCCTGTGTACTCGCGGGTTCTCTGCCGTAAAAGCAGCGATGGCCGCCCATAGATACAGAACCATGTGGGTCACATCCGAAAGTTTGGGCCCACAATAGAACGTCGGGAACAAGGAAGCCACCAAAGTGTAACCAGCGAGGAGCCAGCCCGTGAGCACGACGAGAAACGGCGCGGTTGAAAGGGCCAGACGAATAACAGGACTTCCCCATCCGGGTTGTGCTGCAGTACTTGCGCGGTCGTGGAGCCGACCTGGTGCTCTGCCTGTCAGCTCTGCAAGCACCACTTCATATAGTCTGGGTGCGTCATGCCTGGTTTGAGGTCGATTCCTGAGAAGGAACGTGAAGTTGCAGTGAATGGGTTGTTAACTCGCAACGAGGCCGACATCATATAGACGGACTTGAGAGTTCTGAAGTACAGCACAGGTTCTTGATACAGGTATTTAGCAGCCCCGTCCTATATCAGCAGCGAGATACTTTAGCCATAACCGTCGTACGACGCTAATTTGAAGACCAGGGTCAACCTCGCCCACCTTTTCCGAATGCGTCAAATTTTGCGCAAGACTATATAACGACATGTTCAAGTGGTGGTGCGAAAAGGAGCTTATGCATTGTTGTGCTGACTGACATCTGACCCACTCATTTTGTTGTCGCGACGGCTGCGAGCGACGTCAAGATTTGTGCTACCGACGTTCTTGTTACTTTTTTCAGCAGGTTGGAGTAACCTACAATATTCACCAAATGCCAACGTCAACAGTAACATTGATTCCCACCAACAGCCTACGAAAAACCTGTATCGAGAACTGCACGGAGGGTGAAGGAACCTAAGAGTGTAGGCACAAGATACCGCCGGGATCTCCTGAAATCCCTGGTTTTGGCACACTTAAGCCTGTAACCTTGTTCAGTGTTCGAGGAGTGGAGTGCTGCTTCTTGGGGCTTGGTTAATCCTGATCAGGGTTTGTGCTAGATTTGTGCGGTAACTGGTGAGTTTGGTGTGTCGCGCGTGCACGTGTTGGGGACCGCTCGGAGGCATAGGGGGCAAACCGTGAGAAAAGATATGGAACGCGTCGACATGATCATGAACAGGACAAGCATGTCTGTGGTCTAGATATGAGAGAGAAACCAGAGACAATTCCAGATCCATTACTCCAATGCTAACAAACTCGAAAAGAAAACCATGCACGGACGACGAAGCTATCACAGACTGCTACTAGAGAGGAGCGCAGCAGGTGACAGTTTCATCAAGTTCGATTGCAAAAATATAAACGCCTGCCCGACACATTATACCCCACAACGAATTTTTACCCTTGGCATGCCGATTAGCATCTCGTCCAAGTTCAGTGAGTGGGGTTCAACGTACCAATTCAAACACTGCCTTCCATCCATACATGTAAAACACAACACAGGAGCAAAAGCAGGAGAGCGCAATGCTCTACCACATCCTTCTGGCATCCCAAACCCTTCGCTCCCCAGTCAACTTCACCCTCTTTTCCTGGACAATCTCTAGGGTTACGGGCTTCTTCTCTTGATACCAGCAATGCCACTCCTTCCTGATGATCCCCAGCTTCTTACTCTTGGTGGCGACCATGTTGTTCATCCCGCAGATTGAAGTGAAGTTGCTGATGCCTGACTTCTTGAAGGGAGCGGGCTTCACAGTGGGTCCGGTGGTGGTGGTGGTGGTACAGAACTCGATGCTAGCACGATTGCACAAATCATATCCGGAATCAACCGAGCGTCTCTTCTGGGCATCCGTAACAACGACGTTGACCTCCTTCGCCTTCTTTGCCACCTCTATTTTCGCTTTCTTTGCAGCCACCTCCTGTTTCTTCATCAATGATTTCAAGAGACCTTGACACTCTAAACTTGATTCTATCAGCGCTCGTGTCTGATCACACGCCGCACACTGTGCACATCACCCGTGGGAACCGAAGGCTCGGAGATATCCATCAAGGATTTTCATGAAAGGCTGATCTTAGGGTGTCGATGGATTGAATGCAGTACGAAGAACGGGTGAAAGGACGCAGAGGTCTGTGAGGGTATAAGAGGTCATCACAGCGTATAGTGGATACTCCTAGATGACCAACTCAATTGAACTCACACTCCTTATCTCAGCTACAACAACCTGGACGTCCCGAATAATACGTCCCATAGCGCTAGTGTATCCCGCCTTCAAATTCCATACCGTTTCACGCTCGCTCGGCTTCTGCATAGCAGAACATTTCATGACTCCATCCGGTGTCCCTAAACCAAATATTTCCCTGTGTGTTACCTTAGACGACGGCTTCTCGACTCCCTGTTCCTGTAATCTTCTTCCACCACCTCCCACTCGATCTCCTCTCGTTGCCACCTGCACCATCCCCAACATTTGTTCCTTCATGCGTCTCTGGCATCTGAAATGGCGGTGGGGGACGATACGCCGCCGGCACATTGTCCATCCCCGCACCGCTCATCGTATGCTGGGGTCCGGGTGCGGGTGGAGGTATGTGTGAGGCAGCACCAGTACCGCTACCGTACAAAAGCCGTAGTCGTTCTGTTTCAGCCTCTACCTCTCTCTCCCGTGCCATCCATTCTCTCTGCTCCTCCTCCTCGAGTAATAGACGTAAACGTTCCAACTCCTCCGCCTCCGCGCGTGCCCTCTCCATCCGTTCTTTCTCATCCTCCTCTTGTAACAGAAGTCTTATGCGTTCAGTCTCTATGGCGTCCTGTCGTTCTCTCTCAACACGTGTTTCTTCAGCTTCGCGTTCGAGGAGAGCTCGGACAGCCGCCGTGTCAGCCTCTTCATCCTCTGTTTGTCGTGCCTCTTCTCGCTCCTGCAAAAGCTGCTGTGCCTCGCCATCCGTGGCCACCGGTTCTGGGAGTCCCCCGTATTCTTCCCCTTTGCATCCTGGATCCCAGCCTTCCAAGAGTCCGCACGCACTAGTACAAACGAGGATCTCAAATCCCTTGCGGTCCTGGATACCCACGCGATCGAGGTTATGCTCGAGCAACTGTACAGTCGCAGATTTAAACACCGACGCACCCCTCGGTAAGCTCTTATATGATGCCTCAAGAATAGCGATATCAATCGGCGGGTCGTCCTTGCCTCTCCCCGTCCCCTTCACCCCCGGACGAAACGACAACACCAGACCGTGCAGTGACAATGGGTTGGGACGCGTCCACTTCCACCTCGCCCCCTCGAACCCAAACTCCCAGCCAAACCTCACACTATGCCCATTCCAAAACTTAACCTCCAAATCTGGGTTTCTCAGCGTAATGAGTTTCTCTTTGGGGGAGGAGGGGGAGGGGGTAGTGAGATCGGCGTAGATACAAGAGGGAATGAGAGGGTCAAGGACGCGGGTGTGAATACGTGATAGGCGATGTGCTGAGTAGACCTCGTAGTCGGAAGAAGAGGAGGAGGAGGGGGTGGACGAAGGGGTGAAAGTGGAGATTATAGTTGCGGTTTGGTCGAGTGTACGGCGGAACTTATAAACCGGAAGATTCTGGTCGAGCATGGTTATCGTCGTCGGTTCGTTATAGAAGGAGGAGAGGAGAGCATAGACGTTCAACGAATTTAAGTACCGGGCCGCCGGTTGAAATTGCCGACGTTGGTGGAGGCGCAGCAGCTTACGATGGCTTGCCGAACCGTGCAGCTCTGATATTAACTATGTCTGTTACTTTAAATAGATCTTTGCTGATTATACCATGAGCATCTCGACGAAGTCACTTCCTTCAGATGGTATCCACTCCCAGTCCTTGCGCTCCCCGTCTTGATTCGTCTCAGTAGCAGGGGGGTGGACATTGTCAGCACCCACCCACCCCTCCTCAAATTGCGGATGCCCGTGAAACCCAACCATGATATCAACCCTGCCTGTCTTTAACACCATCCCATCAACAAAGTACCTCTGGACACCTTCAAACGCCGTCTTTGCAATCTCGAACGACGTAACCGTCATTGGGTAGTAGTGATCAATAGGCGGTGGAGTTGGGTACGCCTATAAGTGTCTGTGTCAGCGGCCACATGGGCACGCACCCGGGAAACACCAGAACTTACACCAGAACTTACACCAGAACTTACCGTCTTATCAACCTTCCCGTCAGTCTCACCAAACTTAACCCTCTTCACCACCCTCCCCTCCCTTTCCCTCTCCTCGTCGTCATCGCTAACAACCTCCCCAGCCCCATCCTCCTCCCCCACCTCCTCCCTTCCCCTCCCCCTCGCACTTCTCCTCACCCCACCCCCCTAACCCCGACTCCGGGACACGTCGTGACATTATGCCCAACCCCCGTACATCCCCCACACCTCCCAATCCGAACTTTTCCCCCCTCCGTCCTCAAACCCTCCTTCGCCAAAGCATCCTTGATTTCCTCTTCGCTGGGAGGGGTGGGCGGGACGTAGGCGGGATAGCGTGGGCGGGGGTTGGCGGCCGCGACTGCTGCGTCAGACAGCTTTGAAGAGATACGTTCGTTGGACCATGCTGGTTCTTTCTGTTGCGGTTGCGGTTGCGGGGGAACTTTCATGGTCGGATCGAGGGTTGGGGCTGGGATACCGGGCACAGTGGAAGTGGTAGTCAGGGTTGAAGCAGCCTCAGGCTTTGAAACAGGAATAGTGACCTTGGCTTGGCCGCGGATTTCGGCGAGTCGACGACGATATGCATTGCCTCGTTCACGCTTTCTGCGGAGTGCTTCTTCCCTTGACATTTTCTGCTTCGCGACCTTCGGTACTGGGGGAGGGAGCTGGTCTGCAGGGGCGGACGGGGCTTGTGATGTCTCTCGAGACGAAGGGGGATGCTCCAGTGGATTGATAGGGTGGTGTGCGGTGGGTGCTTCGCTCAGGGGAGCTGTAGTTGCAGACGACAACGCATCGTACCCGGAAAAGAGGAAATATGTGTTTTTTTCGAGCTCACTAGACGGCGGAGGTGGAGCAGGACCGACGACGCCGGCGCCTCTAGAAGACTGCCCTGCGGTCTGGACAGGAGTAGGCTCGATCGATGGCTGCGGACGCGGAACAGCAGCCGGCTGGGTTGCAAGCTGGACACGAGGAGCTGCCCCCGGTGCCGAGGTAGGAGGGCCAGAGTTCGTGTAAGTGTACAAACACCCCTGGGTAACCATCCACTGCTGCTGCGCACCAGGCCTCACGAAACTCTGAGCCACATTCCTCCAAGCAGACTGATCCAATGTGATGACGTACGGTTTGTTCGCAGCTGGTGGAGGAGGGACAGGGTGTATTGAGGCCAGGACTTTGGCATGTTGGTGACGTTGGGCGAGCCGGAGATTTGGTTGTTGCGTGAGAATTGGTTGAAGAGTAAAGTCAGCGTTTCTCCTGTGTTCTTCGGCTTGGCGGAGGAGGGGGCAGCTTGAGTGATCGTGACCAGACTGCTTGCAGACTCTGCACTGCATCGGGTTGCTGAAGAGTTCTGCTGGTGATGGTTGGCAAGGGGTTGGTGGTGCGGCATGAGGCGTGTAACCCAAAGTAGAAACTGTGGTAACGACCGGCGCCGGCATGGAGACGTTGATAGTATCTTCCGCGATACTCTGAGGGATATCTGTCGCGCTTCGCGGCGCATTCATCCCCCAATCATCAACCGGCTCCGCCTTCACCCTCAACAACCCCTGAACCAACCCCGACCCCAAACCCACACCGGGATCTATGCCGCGAGGTTGCACCGAAACCGTATACGTGGATTGTGCTTGTGCTTGAGGAGGTTTATCAAGCCCACAAGGCGGCGTATCGAGATCAATAACAGGAACTGGACAGTTTTTGCGGTTATGGCCGGGTTGACGACAGATTCCACAGAGACGGACCATTCTTGCCAGTTTCTTTGTTAGTCAGTGGTAGAGCAATGTGAGCTTAAAGGAAAAGCAGAAAAGAATTGGCTATGCAATGCGCGACAAGCTGCTGCTACTTTGCTGTTGTTGTGTTGGTGAGTGGTTGGTGGTTAGGGGTAGGTTTGGAGGAGGTCCAGATATTCCCAGGATCAGCGGTTGTCGCCAGGGGATGCGCCGCTCCATTAGAAAGACGTGAACGAGAAACAGTTCCATGATCAGTCAAGGTCAAGTCAGCATAACTTCTATCTCAAAGAGACGTATCTCGAACGTGTAAAGTCGGGAGCAGCAGCTGTGCAGAAAGATGAGATGAGAAAGACCCTCAGTCCAATTCTATTCTTCACATTATATACCAACAACCCAACGGTACCCAAAAGAACCTCAAAACGCAGCCCGAACCATGGCCAGCATTAATGCGATCGACGAAACGAAGATTCCAAAATCCTTTTTTGTGCTTGCTCCACACCCACTAATCGTGTCAATCAATCAAACCTCAACCCAATACTACAGAAAGCAACCCAGAACGTATAACGAAATAAAAACGAAAAAAACCAACATGCAGAGAAAGAAATGCGGGGGTGCAAGAAGCTGTGAGGGGAGATAGTGCCATCGAGGTGATGATGGCGAGAGGTCAGGGAGTGAGGGTAAGTTACTGGCCAGGGATCTGTGAGTGATCATTAGCATACATGATGTATATATCAACGAAGAACTCACCATTGGTGCTTGCGGCGCATTGTTCGCCGCAAAAGCCTTATTCATCATAATTCCCACCCCCTCGAAAACACCCAACAACATCGCACACCCAATCGCCGAATTCCTCGCCTGCTTATACCCTGCACGAATCGCCAAGGATCCACCCGTGAAGAATCCCGCAATGATCGCGTTCCACGGATCTTCCTTGTGGCGGATTCCCTTTACGGCACAGTCATAGGTGGAGAAGAGACCACCCCAGACACCAAAGTTACCACCGAGGACGGGGGCGCGGGCTTTGATCGCAGCGAGTGCGCCGATGCGGCGTTCGCCCATGGGGGAGTTCCTCCATCCTTTGATTCCGTGCCAGAGGGCACCGCCTAATCATCATCACAAACATCGTTAGTCGCGAACGGAGATGGTGGAGGCGAATGTTACGTACCGATCGCGCCCATGGCGAAGGCACCACCAAAGTCGTTGAGGATAACGTAGGGACAGGGATCTCTTGAGTGATCAGCCATTGTATATGAGGTGTAGTGTTACTGGAATGGCGGTGAACGGCGGAGATTGATGGGCTCTTCTTCTTTGTGGAGTAGCACTTTGGCGTACGTGGTTACGAACTTTTGAAAGCGGGATGCAGGGGGTGCACCGGGATGGCGGAAGGGTCGGGATACATCAGGGAGGATTGAATGAACTGGATGATACAGACTTTATTTTGATAAGATTGTTTATGGGGTTCCGCTCATGCCAATACCTCAGGGAAAGGGCGTCTCCGCTATCGGGGAGTGCCTGCACTGGCTCAAACCGTATCCATTCATGAGTCCCTAAATTGACCGGAAGCCGTTGCATTCATCCGTCGTGGAGAGCATTTATCCTCGATGTCTACATTCCTCTCGTTTCTTTTGCAAGATTCTGACTCTTCGCATTTTCCTGTAGCAAACCGCTCAATATAAATGCTCGGACCTCGTCGCAAGCCATGGCGATTACGATTACCTCCTTTATGGCCATGGACACCATGTACTGACATTGTAGCCCGTGAACATCCTTCAAGTACCAGTTCAAGATGTCTCTCGGTAAGAACATCAAGCGCCTCTCCTTCTTCGGGAAGGACAAGGACATTCCATCGACCCCATTACCCTTCTCCCCCGGTATCCCACAAACGCCTGGTGTCCCCTCCTCCGCAGACAATGACCAACCCCTTTCGACTGCTGAGCTACATGCTCTCATTTCTGCTCTGGAGTCTCTACTCACCAATTTCGACATCTTGCGCGACCTTTCGCTGCGTTTGGCGAGGGCGACGAAGACGCAGGCATCTTCGATCGAAGCATATTCCAAAGTTTTGAACAATATTCCCGCCGGAGCGAGGAATGAGGGTACAAACACAGTCATAGCGGTGATGAGTGCAAGTGCAGCATATCTGGAGGAAATCGGGCACGTTCAATCCAAGTTCGCAAAGCACATGGCGAAGGAATACGATGCTCTCAACACATATGGTATGTCTGTTTGCATGCTACCAATTAGTATGAATGCTAACAAACAAACTGTCATTCAGCGGCCTCCCACTTTCGCACCCTCGCAAAATCCGAATCCCGCACAACCCAAACGCACCTCAAACTCTCCCGTCTCGCCGCCTCCCAATCCGGCGCTTCCCCCCCACTACCTCGCCCAAATCAACGCACCTCACATTGAATCACTCACGCTCACCCGCGCGCAGCGCAAAGCTGATGCGGTTATTGCAGCGAGTATGTGTAGGCTCGCGATGGGGTCTTATGCAATGGTGAGTGAGGGAGTGCAGAAGTGTGGGGGAAGGATTGGGAGGGTGAATGCCTGGGCACCGTTCTTAGGGAAGGGGGATGGGAGTGTGTGGAGTGTGCCGAGTGGGTATCCAATTGCTGGTGGTGAGGCAGGAGGAGGCGACTATTTTGGAGTGCCGCGACCGGTGAGTGGGAGTGGGACATCTACGCCTGGGAGTACTGGGACGGGGATGTCGACGCCGGGGACACCGATGGTTTCTATGTCACCCATGTATCCTCCATCCACGCCATCTAGCCTCAGTGTGGGCGCACCCTTGGCTCGAAGCCGCAGTCCGCTGAACGGTACCACTTCTGGTACCGGCCCCACCCCTCGTCGTCCCGTCAATCCCTACCACCCGTCCTACGCACCCACCTCCACTGGAACCTTCAGCAGCACGAGCGGCTCAAGTATGCCCTCCCCAACCCGTCAACATGCAACACCCGCAACTTCTTTCGCACTTACCACGTCAACTCGTCCCTCCACCTCCTCTGCCTCAATCTCCATCGACGATGTCGACGCCGAAGAGGAAGCGGATGAAGGCCCGGAGGTGAAGGGACACGCACGTGCGCCTAGTACTTTCGCGTTAGCGAAGAAGACCATTGCTACTGCGCCGACGACACTGACAGATTCGGGTACGACGTCGACATTGGAGGAGGATCAGACAGGGATGTGGGCTGCTGGAGACAACGGCGCGTTCGTGGGGATGGAAGGGGGGAATGACAGGGTAATGGGTGTGGGGAGGAGGCCGCAGTTTGGGCAGTATGCTGCGTATGGGAAATAGTAGATTAGAGGTCGAGGTATTGGAATTACGGTCAGGTGGTTGCGGAAGGTAGTTGAGCAGCCTCCCCACCAATTGCTTCCCCTTGTTCTACCGCGTACACATCTCCTATAGTGCATAGCTTTTGAGTTCCGGTTCCTCGAAAATCTTCGGCTCGTACAATACAACCATTCACGACCGCCAACGGAATTAACCCTTCAGTCGCCAAAACATCGTTCAAACTCAACCCATCCGCCGCAACCAAATCACACAGCGTGGCCAGATCAATCCGACTGCTATCACCAGGTCCATCATGAGTCAATGCATCCCTAATGAGTGCAAAGGAGATAGGATTGTATAACACTCCTTCATGCGTGTAGAACCCTCCCGCAGGTCTTCCAGGACATAAGGACTGAACCTCGTTGTTCGACGCTTGAGCAAAACCCGAGCTTTTGAGGTATGCGGAAGCATCAGTTCCACTTGTTGGTTGCACGATCTCGTCGTAAATGGAGTACAGTGTCGTCGTGGGTACATACGCCGAATCTCCTCCACCCTCTCGAAGCGTCTGCACAAACTTCGACGAGTACTCTTGCTGGATGATAGCCGGATCACAGGGTAACTTCCGAAACCCAGGACAAAGCGCATAAGCACTGACAGTTCCATGGAAATCCGGGCTAATGGGTATGAAATCCGAAACTACCTTCCGTGTCGACGGCCAACACTTGAACGCCCATTGCGTAATCAACCCGCTCTGAGACCAAGTAATGATCGATATGTTCTTGTTCTGCGATATAGCGGAGATATAGTTGATCGCATACGTGACGTTTTCCGCGTTCACCTGTGTGTCACCCAAGGCAGCAGCGATACAGACGTCGACCATCTCCGCCTACCCTCCCCTAGCGTATGAAGATCGGCGATTTTTCACTTTTCTGCGCGACGGACACCGGACATTTCCCCACCTCCGGCCACGGTTCGAGATGTGGGGCACCGGTGCCGAGGACCGTTTGGAGGGATGTTTGACATTTTTAATAATTGCAACACGCGTCGGCGTCAGCTGCTGGGTCATGAGAGTTCGTCGGGGCTATAGAAGTACAGCTGGCTGACAATAATGATACAGTACATCTCGCAACAAACTTTCGCTTTCTGCCATTCACCGACACCCTCATTGTACCAGGCGATGTGCAATACTCTGGCTTTTCCCCTATCCCGATTCTCCCTCCCATCCGCCTAGTCATACACCTAATTGATAAATTTTGTCCTCATATCATTCCGCACATCAATTCATCTACTTCCTCCCCCTGCCATTCCTGCCCTTATTCCCCAACAACGACTCCCTCTCACGATCCCCTTCCGTGGCCTGACTAACTTCCTCCTCCGTCTCCTCCGGCGTAGTCGTCCCATCACTCGTCTCCACAACCGTCTTACTAACACCCCCATACATCCTCTGCCTCTCCACAATACTCCCACTCCTCGCCTTCGTCTTACTCGGTGGCTTCAGTCCACCGTTCTTCCCATGGCCACTCTTGTTGCTTTCACCACTATTCGGTCGACTGTTCCCTACGCTCACGACTGGACTTCCCGTCTCCACATTCGCCAATTGGGCGGCATCGACAGCGGCCTCCTCAGTCCCCATCACGTTATAGGCACCGGCGGCAGTGGCGACGTCTCCAGCCTTGATTTTAACCTTTTGATTTCTCGTCTCCATGGGCCTACTCGCGACATTCTTCGGATTCAACGCCGGTCCGCCCTTCTGGCCCGCATTTCCATGTCCGTGGCCACCCGCGATGTTGGGCACAGTTCCGTACGCGGATGCAACACGCTGCGTATACCTCTTTCTCAACAAATTGGGGTTCATGGCTCTCTTCAAGTGACCCCTCACATCAATAAAGACATCCGTCTCGTCCACGATTTCCTCTCCGATCAACTCCTCGATGATGTCTTCCAAGGTAACAACACCCAACGCACCGTGATTCTCACCCGGGTGTTCGGATACGATGACCATATGCGACTTTCCTTCCTGGAACCAGTTGAGCATATCCAAACACGACGTCTCGCAAGCCGTCTCGGGCAGCGTAGCGAGCGCAAAAGAAGAAACGGGACGCGCATCCTCAGGGTCGTACGTAATCAACGTCTTCACCAACAACATACCAATGAAATTCGTAGGTTGTCCAGGCGCATGAATCGGAATTCTCGAATACCCAGCACTCAAGATCTCATCCATGACCTTCTCATCTAAAACATGTTCCGCGCTCATAACGTAAACATCCTCGATAGGGGTCATGACATCCCCAATCGGTGTCTCCTTCAAATCCAATACCGCACTGATAATCGTGACCTCATCCTCGTTCAATGCCTCTGCATGGGAATGCAACGCAGAGTTTCCATGGAGACTGACCAAGGTCTTCAACCCCGCCTTCTTGTACATCGTTCCCATGTCCTCGCCCAGCGCCCAATCCAGCAACATCGCAGTCGGGTACGCAACGGGATACAACACGTACATCAACCCCACCACAAACGGCGCACACCGAGCTCCGATGCCCAATCCATACCTAACACACATACTTTGCGGAATAATCTCTCCGAAAATAACGATGGAAACGGTCGAGATGACGATAGCAGGCCATCCACCTCCCAGCACCGAATCCGCCACGATTGGCAACGTCTCGTTCGTAATGACGTTCGACAACAACAACGTAACCAGAACCCAATGCTTTCCCCTCTCCAACAACGACAGAACTCTATGCGCATGCTTCCTCTCAAGCGGCGTCCCCGACGCCTCCAACACCTTCAAATTCATGACATCCTGTCCCATAAGTCCTAGCGTGAGTCCGGCAAAGACACCACCCGCCAAGACCAAGACAACCGAGATGGCAACCTTCCACCAAAACGCAGCAGTATCGACAGGTTCCGCAGGGAACGGCTCGTCGCTCCCCGGAATCCCTCCAATCTGTCCATGGTGCCCACCTGGCCCCTCCGCTGCGCCGGCCAGGTACTGAAGCGGGTACGCAACCGCCAAGCCCATCAACTTCGTCACACTTGTTAATAGCGATAGCCTCGATGCCGTCGGCGTTATACGTCTCATCCTGTTTGTCGCAAAGTCGGTGGTTGTTGGCCTGCTTTGCCTCGCGCTCCCTTCGCGGTGATATAATGACGCACCAGTGTGGCGGTGCATTTTGTGTCGAGGCTTCCGACGAACAAAGACGTCGCGCCTGTATGGAACTGACAAAGACTGTTGGGAAGGGAAGGGAAGGGAAGGGAAGGGAAGGGAAGGGAAGGGAAGGGAAGGGAAGGGGGAGCATATATGTAGACGTAGATCCCGTCATTGTAATCGTAAATCTCATCCAATTGCAAGTCACTCTTTACTACACAGGCTCGCCGGACGATGCACTTCACTACCCTCCTCTCGCTCATCTTCTTCGCCATGGCCACGGCCCAATCAACCCAAACCCTTTCCGAAACATCCTCCTCCGGCCGCCTCACCTCCACCGTCACCATAACAAGCACGATCGACCCCTCCTCCTCCTCCTCCTCCTCTTCCACGACAACCGCCGCCTTTTTGGTAACCTCAATCGGCGACACCCCCTCCTACGCCCAACAAACCTCTTCCGCCATCTCCAACACAACCACCACCTCAACCACCCTCGTCCCAAAAATCCCAATGCCCACGTATTCCGCATATCGTAATACCACGACGATGATTTACGCTTCGAATTATACGATGACGAAATCGAGTGGGAGTGGAGCGACGAGTACGTTGGTGAATAATGGCTGGGCGATTGAGAGTGGGGGGGTTGGTGGGAGCTTGTTGAGTGCGGGGGCGACGAGTGGGGCGGGAAGGATGAGGGTACCGGTTTCGGCTGGGCATTTGTCCGCAGCAGTTGCTGGGCTTGGCGTTGCGGTGGTGCTGGCGCTCGTTGGATGTCTGGTATGAAGTGGAAGTTGATGGACGATTCATTTAAGTGAAGAACTGGAGTGGAATTTGAAGTGATGTGCGTCTCACGGCTGGCCGTGATCCACGCACCACAAAGAACGAGAAGGAAGAAATCGAGCGGGGTTTTGCATCTTTTAACTAGGTTTTCGTGTCACTGCTATACCCATACACATACCAATTCATTGTCATTATTGTCAGTTGGTTGTATCGACCGCGAAGATGCGAGCCTCTACGGCCGCGGTACATGTAGATGTCCCAATCTCACATTCAATCGAGCGAACAAGTAGCGAATCCATGGCTAGCTCCGACGTCGACGTCGGTGACGATGATGACGCTCAAGCTCAACAGCAAAGTAGCGGCCGAAATATCAGACGAATTCCTCGTAACTGCCTCAATCGCCTCACTTGGCTATAGAAGGTCTTTGTGCAGCAACCACTGTAGAACTCGACAGATTTGGACGAGATGTAGACGTAGTTTGACAAAACTCGGTATTATGGTATCAGGGACCCGTCCCGCGGCTATCCTATTTCACATGCATGCGCAAATGCTATCGTACATACCACCCATATGATATTCTCGCTTACTTCTTCTCCTTAACATCCTTCTGCGCCTTCTCCGCAACCTTCCTCGCCTCCTCAACCTTCTTCTTCAAAACCTCCTTAACCTCTCCCCACCCCTCCTCCACAATCTTCTTCACCTCAGGTCCATGCTCCTTTCCGAGCTTCTGCAATTCCGCGATATCGGGAACCTGTTTGTAGAGTTCCTTTGCTTGGGAGAGAGCGTTTGTGCCTGCTTTGGAGGCGATGGAGGACGCAGTTGAGGCGCGCTCGGTGATGAAGGATTGGAGGTCTGAGATGGAGTCTTTGTTCAAGCCCTTCTTGGAGATCTCTTCGGCCTTGGCATAGATCTCCTGCACGAGCTTCTCGGCGTCGGGGCCACCGACAGCCTTGATGGTCTCGGCGTTATCGTCGAGCAACTTCTTCAAATCGGGGACTTTCTCAAGGTAGGGCTTTGCCTTCTCCTGCGCTTGTTGCCAGAGTTTGTCGGCGTCCAGAGCGTCAGGAGCGAGCTCCTTCGCCTTGGAAACTTGTCTCGCGATCAACGCGACAGCAGAGGCGATGGAGGCGGGGGTAACGCCCTTACCAACGAGATCCTTCAACTCAGAGTATGTCTCATCGACAATCTTCTTAGCCTCAGGTCCAGCCTTCTCGGAAAGGGAGCGGAGCTGGCTCAAACCGCCTTCGACACCAGCCTTGAGTTCGGGGTGCTCCTTCAACAAAGGTCCGAAGACATCCTGACCAGCCTCACCAGCCAACTCGTAAATCTGACTCAACTTCTCCTGGATCAACTCGAATGCCTGAGAAGCGGTATCCTCAGAAACGCCCTTCGCGTACAACTTCTTCAACTCCCCGTAAGTCTCCGTAACGATCTTGTCGACCTCCTCACCATGCTTCTCGCTCAACTCGTCAACCTTGTCAAAAACACCATCAACGACGCCCTTAGCGCCGGGGATCACGCCAGCATATGACTGCGCAGCCGTTCTCAACAACTTGAGAGCAGCACGCGGGGAGGGAGCCTTCTCCACGACCTTATCCTTAGCAGACTGGAACGTCGCGGCGGTTTCCTTGGCGGTATTGACGTAGCCTGCGAGACCGGAGTAGTGGTAGTATCCATATCCCAATCCCAACACCGCCAATCCACCGGCGAAGCCGGAGGCGAGATGTGAGGCGCCGGATTGAGCGCTGGGGGCAGCCTCGGAAAGGGTAGACTTTGTGGAGTTAAAGCGGGCACCGTTGAAGGGCTGGCGGCGGGCCTGGCGGAGAGCGGCGCGGGCGGATGTTCTGGCAAAGGGCATTCTTAGTATTGGGTTGTTGTTTAATAATGGCGGTTGGGGTGGACGGGGAGGGGGAGGTGGAGGGGTTTATATAAGCGATCAATTGTGTTGCTATTGCGTGCAGGGCGCACGGATGGGTGGAGTTAGTTGCTAGTGACGTCACGCCAATGACGTTGGCAGGTTAACCGAGAATTAATGCGCGGGCGCGTGTTAATTGGCCGGATTCGGGAAATTCAACGTTACCTGAGCTTGCGTCAGCGCGGCGCGTCCCCGAAGACCTTTCCCGTGACGATACCCAATAGATGGAGTGGAAGAAGAGGATTGGCAGCATGGCATCCTACGAAGAGGACCACAATATAACCAAGGAAGAGAAACCAAAACAAGCCGCTGCACGGCCATCTCGCGACGACCCCGCCCTCGCCGCATTCTTCTCCAATGACCCGATCTCGCCATCTGAATCAAATCTACATTCACTCGCTGAGTATGTCTAACCTCTTCATTTTCTTCGAGAGCGGAAGAGCTGACACCGGTATGCGACAGCGCACTTCGAAACTATCAAATGAACGCAGACGTATCGTCTCCGCTGCTTAACCAGATGATTTCCCTTCTCTCTTCCAACTCCCTTACCTCCGACCCAAAATCCTCCACCCTCCCCCCCGACTTCCCGGACACCCTCCCCCGCGTCCCAAAATCCCGCCTCAAGCCCGACGACGCCTGCCCAATCTGCACCCTTCCCCACCTCTCCGACAAATACCCCCTCGTCGTCGAGTTACGGTGTAATCATCGCTTCGATCTGGAGTGTATTGTACCGTGGTTCAGGGTTAGTGATACGTGTCCGATGTGTCGGGGGAGGGTTGTTAAGGAGAGGGAGGTGGTGGCTGAGGATAGTGAGGAGGAGTTCGATGATACGTATGGATGAACGCGGTGAAGCCGGGATTAAGATAGAAGGGAGGGGGGCAATTGGCAATAACTCGTCGTTCATTCTACCGTAGACCGTAGACAAGGGGTGAGGAGCAAAAACGTGTGCGGTACCCAGGAATCGAACCTGGGTCAATTCGGACGTTGCGTAGCCACAACGAATTATGATAACCCCTACACTAGTACCGCAGATTGTTGTTTGTCATTGTCATTTTTAAAATCAGAGTACAACCGCCATGAACCATGTGCACGATACCGTAACCAGCCGCGCGCTGACATCAAAGGCGGAGAACGACCCGCACCGAGAGACCAACCTGTACACCATTACCAACTTATCAATTAAACAGCTATGGGTCTGTTCGCCGACGACCACCCTTATTCTGCCATTACGCAATGGATTGAGCGATTGACTGCCGAGACGTACGAGGAAGATGACTTGAGCGGCTTGCCGGACTTGATCGAGGTGATCCGGCTTCAGGATACGGGGTATGTGTGTAGGATTGGGTGAATGGGATGATTGCTGATGAGATTGCGGTAGACCTCGTGAAGCTGCGCGTGCGATCAGGAAGAAGCTGAAGTATGGTAACTTACACCGTCAGTTGCGAGCTTTGACTGTATGCACTATCCACCTGCACCACCTGCCCGCTTTTCTGACCAATTCGTGCCCCAGATTCTCAATGCTCTGATCGAAAACGCCGGAAAGCGCTTCCAACATTCCTTCGCCGACGAACCCCTCCTCGAACGCCTCCGCATCATGGCATCAGACTCCTACACCGATCGCGACGTGAAGAAGAAGTTGACGCTCTATTTCTTGAGCTGGCACAAGGAGTACGAGAATGAGCCGAGGATGAGGGGGATTGCGAATTTGTATAAGGATTTGCCGAAGAAGCCAAGAGCGCAGCCGGTGGTTAGGCCGCCGAGTCCGCATGATGAGGATCAGGAGGGAGATGAGCAGCATCGTCCGGGGCCTTCGAGTCCGCCGCCGAGGCCGGTGAGGACGAGCGCACCGAGTAGTCCGAGGATGGATACGTACCAGGGTTCTGCGAGTGTCAGTATCTTCGGGCACAAGAAAGACAAAAACAAGGATAAGCCATTCAATTTGGAGAAGGAGCGTCCGATGATCTTACAGACCATTGCGGCGAGTGGGCAGGCGAGTACGAATTTGTCGAATGCGTTGAAGCATGTCAATCGCGAAGTCGAGAGCGTGGTCGATAACCCAAAAAGTACACTCCAATCCTTCTCCCCTCGCATCGATCAGTGCTAACCTAGGGCGTAGTTACGCAATACCACAACCAATGCCGCCAACTCCGCAAACGCATCCTCCTCTACATCTCTTCCATCGAATCCGAAGAATGGCTCGGCACCCTCATCCACGCAAACGAAGAACTCGTCTCCGCCCTCCAACTCTACGAACGGATGAAGAAACCCGTTCACGAAGACAGTGACTCCGAGGATGAAGAGACCTACATGCGTGAACGGATGCGGAAATTGTCCTTACCAGCGGACGGTGAGATGCCGCCCCCGAAACCTGCTAGACCTGGTTCAACGCCGGCAAGTCCGCAGTATAGGAAACCTCCGCCGCCGCCGCCGATGGCGGCGAAGAAACCGGTTATGGCGATTGAGATGCCGGAGAGGAAGGTTGAGAAGGCGGATCCGAATGATCCATTTGCGACGCCGATTGATGATGATGGAGTTAAGTGGGCGGAGGTGTAGGGTGTTTTGCGGTGAGGGTGACGGTAATGGTGATGGAGGGTGTATGGGATTTTGAGGGATGTGGGACTGGTATTTGGGCATGATTAGCGATATTTAGTATGTAATGTATGTATCCAACGTAAGCATAAGCAAGTAATACCGTGTACCTCCCATTATTTCCTCGTGTCCGTACCCGTGGGAGTTTCGCCGGTGGTATGCCGTTGGAATCAATTGTTTTGAGCCCACTGAGGGTTTTCGTATTTTGACACTAGAGATGATCAACGAGAACAACGAAACTCTCACAGACGCAACCCGTGGGAACACCGTATAGACATTCGGATATCCACCACCGAGACTGGTATACGCAACCCATGCCATCATATGAGCGAGAGTCCAAACGTTCTAACGCAGGTTTCAACGAAGTACCAGTCGCCACAAAGATGGAAAAGACAAGGACCGAGGGAAATACCAAAAGGATACAAAGCGGAGAAACATCTTTTAAACACTAAAATGCGGTACTAGTGTAGGGGTTATCATAATTCGTTGTGGCTACGCAACGTCCGAATTGACCCAGGTTCGATTCCTGGGTACCGCACATTATTTTGCATTTTGCTGTCCCATCATTCATGGTCATTCCGTCTTACACAGCTCATCTGAAGCCTCCTCAACTCATTTGCAAATGCAATCCAGTTGCGGCCGCAAATGGCCACGCTGCATCGCTACCAGTATGCGACCCTGACAGCGGCCCGAACCTTCGTACTTTATGTCACCGCGCACGATCCAGCGAAATAGCCGACCCAACACCACGACCATGGCCCAACTGGCTGCCTGGTTTCTGGGCACCTCAGTTACAGTCTCCATCCTTGTTTTCATCGTCCTCTTTGGTCAACTACCTGCCTTCGGAGCCGGTCCTCTTGGTGCAGCGAACCGGTTCATTCTCCATGACATACCTTCATGTCTATCCTCTCTCGACCGACGGATATGCGGAGGCAAGCTGTGTCCAATAGTCATGAGCATCGGTGATGGTCTCATGAACAAGAAGCATCCTCTTGTATTGATTCTGTACCTCGTACTCATGACCGGTGGCTCCTACCTCTTCCTCCGGAACGGATATACCGAAATCCCGAACGAAGCACTAGGAAGCAAGCACATGTTCGTCCCTCCCCAACACGTCCGTCTCATTTTTGTAGCTCACCTAAGTCTGTAGATACCTTATCCCCCTGACCATCCTCCTACCCTACGTCGCCCTCTACCTCGCAGCCTCCTCCGACCCAGGCTTCATTTCATCCCACAACCACCACACCGCAATGTCGCTCTACCCATACGATCAGATCATCTTCCGCGCCGTACCCAACCCCGAGGAATGTCGGACGTGTCGATGGGCGAAACCGGCTAGGAGTAAGCATTGTGGATTATGTGCGCGGTGCGTGGCGAAGATGGATCACCATTGTGCGTGGATTAACAATTGTGTTGGAACGAGGAATACGAGACATTTCCTTGGCTTTCTGGCGGCGAATGCGATCACCTTGACGTATGGTACATACCTGACGTACCATGTTCTCTATTTGAAGATGTCTGGGTCGGACGAGGACCAGTTGTGGGTTCGGTGGATCAACACCATGGCTGAGTACCGGGAGCTCGGGGCGGTATTTATATTGTGCCTGATGTGTTCCCTTATCATGATCGGGTTCTTGGTAGCCCATATGTATCTGATCTGGGCTGGTACCACGACGAATGATTCATTGAAGTGGGGTGATATCAAGTACGCCCTGAAGAAGGGTACGATTGTTGTATTCGATGATGAAGGCAGAGGCAGCCCTACCGCGGATTATGATGCAACACGCTGGCCATGGGGAGGAATGAAGGGTAGGAGAAGGGGTGTCATTGCGGTGGATGCAGATGGGAATGTGCCGGAGGAGATTCGGGATTGCATTACGAACCTGAGAGACTTGGAAAATATCTACGACCGAGGGTTCCTACGGAATATGACAGAGGTGTTGTGGCCGCCTAAGTTGTGATAGACAAGAAGGTATATTTGGTTACAACACACGCAAACTCCAAAAGAATGGCTAACATGCTCAATGATCACACCGCACTCTGCTAAACTCCCCAACATACAATATCTTCCACACTAATACTCCAAGGCCTGCTCAAACAGCTTCGCCAAGCTCTCCCTCGTAACCTCCTCTGGCTCAGGCGCCAACATCAACACCCTGCGCTGCGGCAACGTTCCCTCAACCAGATTCGGGATGTCACTCCTCTCGTAACCCAACTGACTAATACCCCTTGGTTGATCTCCCAACCCGACCAGGAATTTGGCGATCGCCTCCGAGAGGATTGGACCAGCGTCCTCCTTACGGGCATTCGAGGTGTCTACTCCGAATATTTTTGCAATTTCGAGGTGACGCTCGGGGTTTGCTGGAGCGGTAAAATTGAATACAGCGGGCGCGGTGACGGCGACCGAAACACCGTGCGGCACGATGGGGTGATCCACCGCGTACCCAGCATGCTTGTAGCTCTTGTTCATTCCGGACAAGGGGTATGACATGCCGTGACACAAATGCACACCAGCATTTCCGAACCCGATACCGGCGAAGGTAGCGGCGAGGAGCATTTGTCCCTGAGCAAAGTGGTCTCCGGGGTCCTTGACGCAGCGGGGAAGGTACTCAACCACCATCTTCAAGGCGGTAATGGACCAGATGTCAGAGATTGGATTTGCGCCCTGGTAGGCGGGGCGGAGGAGGGGGTTGGTGGGGCGTGGGGTACGCTCGTTGTAAGGAATTGCGGTGTAGGATTCGATGGAGTGACACAGAACATCGAGTCCGGAGGAGGCGAAGACGGCGGAAGGCATAGTGCGGACGTTGAGAGGGTCTACGACACCAAGAAGTGGCTTAAGGTTTCGGTGTGCGATACCAGTTTTCGTCTTGTGGGACTGGAGATCGAAGATTGCGGTTCCGGTGGTTTCGGATCCCGTTCCGGCGGTGGTAGGAACTGCAATGAGAGGGTGAAGGCGCTTACCCACTGGAAGTCCCTTTCCGAGCGGCGCGTTGACGAAATCCATGAAGTCTGCGTCGGGATAGCAGGTGTAAAGGTTTGCCAGCTTGGCGGTGTCCATGACTGATCCTCCTCCAACTGCGAGGAATGAGTCTACACCGGCATTCCGTGCGAACTCGATGGCCTCCTTGATGGAAGTGTCCTTTGGCTCCACGCGGACATTGTCGAAAATGGCGTACGGTACACCCTGGGCCTCCAGACCTTCGATTGCCAACTTCAATGGTGTAAGTTGTGCAATGGTCTTATCCGTAAAGACCGCCACCTTCTTCGCGCCCATATTCTTGAAATCCATACCGACTTCACGGGTGACGCCTTCACCATAACGGATCGAACTCGCAGCCATCTCGAAAGCATATTCCTTTTCCTCGGCAAAGGAGACAGGGGTAGCGTAACCTTTGCGAAGGATGTTTTTGGCGACTTGGAGGGGGTTCTGAACGGAGGAGCAAGAATGACAGGGACAAGAGGATGAGTGGGAGTTGACTGCGCCCATGAGGGTCATGGCCCTTTGGCGGGCTGTCTGTGCTACGCGGATCATAGACATGGTTGATGCTTCAAAGTGTTGTTGATCGATCGATCAATCAGGGTGGTCGTGGAGGTCTTATACGAGACATACGTCGAGGTGGGGGAGTATCGCCGGGCGTTCCGTGCCAGTGCGGGGTTCATCATGTGGAGTCGGAACCGCGGCGCCTAAAGCTGACATAGCCGACAACTCCACATAATGTTTAAATCCATATACATGTAGTTAATCAGTTCACAATCCCACGCACGTACTCGATTTCACTCCATGTCGCCTTCCTGACTTTCTCCACCTTCAACTCCATCTTGCCGTCTTTGGTCACCCTTGCAACACCCACGACGCGGGTCATGTCTCCCACGCGCACATCATTCGAGACATCATGCCAGCAGCGACCGGAGAGGTACGGCCCACGAGATGGATGGAAGATGTCACTGAGTTGAAGGACGTACTCAGGCCTTGGGTGGTAGATGGTACGTTCGGAAGAGGTAGAGGAGTGTAATACGCCTAATCCCATACAATTAGCCTTCCTGCTGCGAACCATAAATGTGAGACTTACCAAAGAACTCGATGATCATCACTCGCTCCTCATCCTTACTCCTGCTGCAGCGTAACACCTCTCCGACGCGGAAACATGTCCGCAGCAAGCTTTCGCTGCCGAGGTTGAGGATCGTGGATGGAGGAGCCAGAGGATCTGGGTAAGAAGTACGTGTGAAGGGTTTGATGACCCGCGGTGCTGACGGTGCTGTGAAGGTTTCGGAGGGCGGAGGCGAGAGAAAGGTTGGTCTGTGTTGGTCGGCCTTGGTTTTGCTGGGAGGCGGCATGCATGTCCGAGCGATGTCATGACCTGATATGACTTCCGCTGAGGTCATCACCTCAGCTCTCCTTGCTCTCTTCCCTCTACTATCCGTACACTCAGCCACTTCGCCATGCTCATGATCATCATACTGTCGTCTTTTGCGACTTTCACTGGAGTCTGAATCTCGAGAGTCCGGTTGGATGCCCCGTTCGTCCTCAAGCCTCATGCTAGCTTTCTCTTCGTTCACTCGTACCGATCGATCTCGAGACACAGAGCTGACTTCTACCTTCCCTGGTTGCTGTGGTATAGCAACATGTGATTTTGCGCCAAACTTGAATGCTACCAGTTTCTGTCGTGCTGGACCCAATAGATCTCGGGTGTCGTTATGCGTCTGCACCGTCTTCTCCGATCTCGTCTGCTGAGCTGAATTTGTTGTACCGTCTTCGGGACATCCGTTGATCCCTGCTTTCTCCATCTCTTCTTGTACCATCCGTTCCCCTATCATTTGAGAATACCCCATAACCTTGTCTGTTGTGTGGGCCTCTTCTGCGTTGCTCTTGGGCAGTCTCAATGCCGGTAATCCCATATAGGCAGGGTCAACATGATCTTCTTCGGGGGGCCGTGCAACGATACCGAGTTCGTAAATGTCAGCCGTGGGAATGAAGGAAGAAGCGGATCCAAACCCACCCAAGCCCGAAGGCTTAGCCGGGGTTATATCCCAACCATTGTCTTCATCCTCGGCTAGATCTTCGTCTCGTCCCTGTGGCGAATAAGACTCCCCGTGCCTCCCAGATTCGTCGTGTAATGTGGAACCCTTGTCTAGAAGGCTCTCCCGCGGGACCTCGAGCTCGACCTCTTTCGCTTCCAGATCGTCACCCGGTGGGACGGACCTGCCCATCTCGTAAATATCAGCCGTGGGAACAAACGTCTTTCCGCTCGAAAACCCGTCGTACACTGTTTTTGTTATACAAGTCACAGCAGGTGATGAGTCGCATCCGTATTTTCTTGAAGAATTATGTTCGACAGGGGAAGTAACTTGATCTGTGGCGGCGGTATCATAAATGCTCGAAGTGGGAACGAATGATTTGCCGGAGGAGAATCCGGTGGAGAAGCCTGAAGGCGCGAAGACACACTCATCCTCGACCACATCTGTCCCTTCGTCCTCTTCTAAGTGGGTAGATGTATCATCGTTGCCCTGCTCTTGACTCTTCTCAGCTACCAGTAGCTCAACCGTGTCCGTTAAGGGGTTGACTCCCATGTCGTATATGCTCGCGGTCGGCACATAAGATTTGCCAGATGAAAAACCACTTGAGAAACCTGATGGGGCAAAGACGGTACCTGTATCCTCACAATCACCTTCCCCGATACTGGAATTATCTCCTTCTTGCTCGAGCGCATTTACTGCCAATGGCGAGCCGGCGGATGTATTCAATCCGTCCAATTCCTCGGGACATTGTCGTTGCTCACCTTCGACGAGCTCGCAAACGTTGCGTCCCCCTCCTTCCTCCGTGATTTTACCGTGGTCGTGGCGCTGGCCTCCATCTCCTTCAAACCCCAAATCCACGCATTCATCCCCATGATGTTTGGACATGCATATATCCACATCCACATCCACCCTCACTGGTCCCGTCATACACTCTTCCTCTCCCAAAGTTTCCACGCTATTCTCAGCCACCCTCTGTCCCGCTTCGTCCATATCTGTATCCGCTTCGAATTCGTTCATCGACACCTCAACCGTATGGAGGCGCCGAAGTACGGGACGGTCTGGAGTGAATGCAGCAGAATGGCGAGCTGGCTGTGAGTATGGGGAAGAGTCGAACGTCATATTGGGATGCTATGACTCACGGCCGGTTCAATTGAGTACAATTAAATCCCTTGTGGAGTGAAGTTGGTAGGTCAGTTCGTGTGGTGGGTCCCGGTGTGTGAGGTCAATGCGCGTGCGAACGCTCGGGTCTCTCGAACACACGATGGATCTGCACGACTGCGGCGAGACGCCGAGCAGAAGCACGAAAAGGAGGTTCCATTGATGGAATTGCGGTATCAACCTAAATTGTCCTGAATACGTGCGCTGTAGAACTTTGCAAGGGCAAGAAAAGCGAACCAACATACAAAAGCTTCGTGCGGTACCCAGGAATCGAACCTGGGTCAATTCGGACGTTGCGTGGCCACAACGAATTATGATAACCCCTACACTAGTACCGCAGAATGTTGATTCTGTTTTGCTAACAAAATACGTATCAAGCGTTTTGGCCATTCTGTATAGACTCCTTCGAGTCTCGAACTTTGAGCGGGTATGCCCCCTCTGTATACGTTGTCTCGTCTACTTCTATGTTATCTCCCTATTTCGCAAAATACCAACACCAATGTCAAAAACGCCCCGAGCCAATCACGAACCCTCCCTTCCATGTCACGCCTCATCCACATCCAAATCAACCTGCCTCACATTCAAATTAACCCTCTTCCCCCTCATATACCCCGCAAACTCCTCCACCCACCCATCCTCCCCCTCCCCCTGCCCACCCACCTCCCCCAAATACCCCGGACACGTCCCCTCAATCACCCTCGGCACAGCATGAAACCCCATTCTCGCCTTCCCAGTCATGACGACAGCATCCCCACTCCGCACTAAAATGGCAAGTGGCGCGACATCCTTCGTCTCCCGTCCCATTAGGAAGATTGCTGAACAACCGAGAGAGAGGGAGAGGAGTGGTGCGGTGTGGTTGGGTTCGGAGTGGTCGGTATGGGGGGACAACGTATCGCCTGGTGAGTAGAAATTGACGATTGCGGTTTGCGCAAGCCAGGTGTGTGTAGAGGATGGGAGGACGGAGACAAGGCGGGAAGAGAGGAGGGCAATGTCGGTGGGGAATGGTGGGGGTGGGGATGGTGGGTATGTCTTGGAGGTCCAGTCGTATTGGTGACCGAGTGTGATCCAGCGTAACTTCTTCTCCAGTAATTCCCGTACCGACATAGGTTTTAGGTGGTCTTGTAGTGGTTGGACAAGATCTAGAGTTTGTTCTTCTTCGCTTTGTTGCTGTGTCGCAATCGCGGCGGCGAAGAGGCCCCCGGGAATGAAGGGGTAGAAGGGGGTAAGGTTGCCTTTGTTGTAGGGTTTTGCGATGTCGCGGAGGAGTGTTTTTCGTATGAGGGTGCGTTGCGTGCGGGGTGGGAGGACGTTGGGGAGGATGATGAGGCCTGTTGTCATAACAAGTCAGCTTGGGCAATTGCAACCTCGCCGAGCTCAAGGTAACATGCCTGGTGCTCGTTCGTATTCGTAGGCTACTGGGTTTTCGGCAATGTCCCATCCGGTTTCTACAACGGCCTCCTGTCGCGGTAAATTGAGCTCCACCCTTCTCAATCCCTCCGGCAGCTTCTCCACATCACTCAAATCCAACACATCCGACAAATCCAGTGGCTGATCTTTCCTCTTGTACTTCAACTCTGCCAACCTGAACGGAGTCTTGTTCGTCGGTGCTGTCCCCATTCTCCTTCTTCAGATGCGCAATTGTCGATCCTCACGGTTCGTAGCTTTTTTGAGATTCTTTGATGCCGTACACTTTTTGGCTGCATGTGGTGTGAGGCCGGTGATGCACCGCGATACTTAAACGTCAGCGATAAGAACTGCTACTCCAAGAGTTGGGCAAAACGGTATTGGAGATGAGCAATGTTGGGGATTTGCTAGAGTCGAAGCCGGAGGGACGCGAGCGGGAAAGATCGTCTTCGAACAGTGCTGCTGCCTCATCAGCATCAACAATGCCAGCACACTCAATCAGCGCACCAGAACCACCACGCCCAGCACCGGACGTGCCTCTATCAGAAAAAAGCAACGTCAGTCGTCCAATTGCAAGCTTCGATAAACCCTACAAACCCACAGTACGGCGTTCCGCCTCAGAACGACCATCATCACTCCACCCCCGCCCATTCACCAATGACTTCCGTACACCTGGAAAAGGACCAGGAGTCGACGCCCGCCTGACACCAGTAAAACGACCCACCCTCGATCCACGAACGCCGACGTTGGAGGCCTGGCAAATCCGTTCATCATCACCCGTCAAAGCTCTCGGCACCGCGAACGGGAACACCCGAGTCCGCAGCGTAACGAGCCCTACCACCTCCCGCCGTCCCAGCCTCGAAAAAACGAAAAGCTCACGCACGTTCGAAGACCGAGGAAGAAAAGGAGGAGATAAACCATTCAGTTTATGGGATTATTTGTTGTTGGAGTTGAGTGCTACGGATCATGATGCGAGTGGGGTCGATATTGCGGTGAAGCAGGAGCGGGTTAGTAATTTCTTGAAGATCCCTGGTGCGCTCGAGGAGGTACGTCCCCCTCCCTCTTCAACGTCTCGTGTATATACTGACTGATTGAGGATCTTAGGTCATGGCATTCGGCTGGCTCGTCTGCCTCGATGCATTCCTCTACACCTTCACCATCCTTCCCCTCCGCTTCCTCCTCGCCCTCCCCTCCCTCTTCTCCTCCCTCCTCTCCTATACCCCCATCCCCCCCATCCCCTCCTCCCCACCCTCCCACCTCAAAACCTCCCAAAAACACGACCTCCTCCGCTTCCTCCTCGTCCTCCTCTCCACCTCCTTCCTCTCCCTCTTCGACGCCTCGAAAATGTATCACACGATCCGTGGACAAGCGAGTATCAAGCTCTATGTTATTTTTAATTTGTTGGAGGTTGCGGATAGGCTTTGTGGTGCGATTGGGGTTGATGTGTTTGATTGTTTGTTTGGGAGGGGGAGGAGAGGGGGTGGTGAGTCGAGGCGGAGGAGGGGTGTGGAGAGGATGGGGTTTTTTGTATTGGGGGTTGCGTATAATGGTGAGTCACTTTGTTTTGTCGATGGTTGATGTGGGTGCTAATGGAGGATATTGTACAGTTTTGCATGCCGTCGTGCTGTTTTACCAACTCGTCGCCCTCAATGTCGCAGTGAACAGCTACTCGAACGCACTACTGGGGCTACTGTTGAGTAACCAATTCGTGGAGATCAAAGGAAGCGTGTTCAAAAAATTCGAGAAGGAGAATCTGTTTCAGGTCACATGTGCTGGTAGGTCTCCATCAAACGCCATACTCGATGGTATTGGCTAACAACATGGTAACCTACAGATATCGTCGAGAGGTTTCAGTTGACGCTGATGTTACTTATCATCGCACTTCGCAACACTGTCGAGTTATCGGCCTCGACTACACTGTCGCTTCCGCTGCTGTTCGATTTGTTGTCGCCGGTTTTGATCGTGACGGGTAGTGAGATGGCGGTAGATTGGCTCAAACATGCGTTCATTACCAAATTCAACGGATTACGACCACGGGTGTATAAACGCTACTTGGACGTATTATGTCGCGACTACGTCGTCTCGGAAAACGCGTTCGTTGACCAAAGTCCAGCCGTGGCGAGGAGGATTGGGTTCGCGAGTTTGCCGTTGGCGTGCGTCACGATTCGGGCTGGTATGCAAGTTTGGAGTATGCTACGAATCGTGCATACCTCGAACGTGGTACTAAACCAGACCGGGTCGAGGGTCGATAAAGTATTGGCGCACCTCACATCCTCCGACACCCTCGAAGCCTACATCTTCTCCCTCACCTCAACCCTCCTCTTCTTCGCCCTTCTTTTTGCCTGCCTCGTCGCGGTCAAACTCGTACTCGGACTCTCACTCCTCCACTACGCACAAAGCCGATACGGAACGATGTTGGAGCGGGAAGAGGAGGAGAGGGAGTATGAGCGGAAACGGGGGAAGGTTGTGGAGAGGGGTGAGGTTGAGGTTGGAGAGTGGGCTAGGGAGTATATTAGGCGGGGAAGGGATGAGGTGCTGGATGGGGAGGAGAAGAAGACGTTGTGGAGGTTGGAGAGGTGGAGTATGGTTAGTAAGCGGATATGGTAGTCTAGTCCATCATGTATCACTGCCATGGATCTTCCTTGTTTGCATAGCCGACTGTCATCAGTGCTGCCTTTAGATAAAACCCATTATGATAAATCGTTACCGTTATCGTTGTATGCTGTCGAGGCCGAGTCAACCGTGCAGCGCGGGGAGTGCCAACCGCAACCCAGCCTGAGTCGCCCAGCGAACTTCGAGAAAAACTGCCAGATGCAAGGTGCACAGTCCCCCACACACAGGACGAAACCGGGCGATTACCACTGCGATATCTCCCGAAAAAAGTTCGCACGTTTCACCATCCATCCCGCTGATCTGCCAAGCGCTGTCACACTGCTGCCATGCCTGAGGCCGTCCCTGTAGAGAACGGCGCCGTCGTCGGCCCGGGCCCAACTTCTGCCGCCGTCACGGACGTGGCAAACCAGCGGATCGAGCAGACAACGACGACTACAGACGGACAACAAGACAACGGACACTACTCTGATCCAGCATCCTACGGTTCAACTGGACCGATCACGAACGAAGGCACGCCGCAACCCAACGACGTTCACCCCGCCGCCGCAAACGCGTACGAAGGTCCCGCACCCACAAAACGCAAAAAGGCAACCCGCGCCTGCTCCCACTGCCAAAAAGCCCACCTTACATGCGATGATTCCCGCCCCTGTCTCCGCTGCGTAAAGCGTGGTCTCGGCGCAACCTGTCAAGACGGTGTTCGAAAGAAAGCCAAATACCTCCACGACGCAGATCTTTCCTCACCCAACACGAAATCACCATCACCTACAGAAAGCGGACAACAGACCTTCACGACCGACGGATTGGATTTAACGGGGTTTGACGCGGGTGGGTTCTCGATCCCGCCGTTTGATTTGAGTACGTACGATTTTGGGAGTAAGACGGCGAATTTGGAGTACTCGATCTTGTCGAATATGTTGGGATCGAATGGATTGACGCCGGGGGTGGAATCGAATGATCCGTTACCATTTCAGAGGTTCCCGTCACCGGGACCGTATGGGCAGACACAGCAGCAACAGCACGTACAGGGCGCGAACCCGACGTTTCCGGATATCTCTATGATGGACCCATCATGGGGTACACGTAACGCAAACGGGTATCAGGGAGCAACGAGCAACACCCCCGGCGGCTCCTTCACCTCACCCTCACCTCCCGCACCCTCGCCGCAGCAAATCGCGGACCAACACGCACAAGCCGCTCAGCAGCAACAACAACAACAACAACAACAACAACAGCAACAACTAGCCCCACCCCAGTCGACAGCGCCTCTGTCGTCTTCCGATTATCGTCGTCGTCTCCGTCAAGACCCCGAAAGCGTCTACGCCTCCGTAACAAAACCCTTCTCCTACACCCCCGGCTACCACGCCCTCCACGCTTACCTCCGCTCCCGCTTCCCCCAACCCCTCCTCATCCGCATCGCGCGCGCAATCACCCACTACCGTCCCTCATTTATCGCGTTGACCAAAACCCTAACAGAACAAGATTTGATTTTCATGGAGAAATGTTTTCAGAGAACGTTGTTGGAGTATGAGAAGTTTATCTCGTATTCGGGGACGCCGACGGTTGTGTGGAGGAGGACGGGGGAGATTGCGGGGGTTGGGAAGGAGTTTTGTTTGTTGACTGGGTGGGGGAGGGAGCAGTTATTGGGGAAGAGGACGTTTATTGTCGAGGTACGCCACCCTATCCTCCTTCCTCTACGGGTTTGCGTGAGACTAACAGATGTGACCAATAGTTGATGGACGACTCATCCGTTGTAGAGTACTTCGAGCGCTTCTCGACCCATGCATTCGGTGATACGAGTAATGTCATGACGACTTGTGTGTTGATGACACCGCAGCGGAGACCGGTGCCGTGTACGTTTTGCTTTACGATTAAGAGGGATGTTTTTGATATCCCGATGATGATTATTGGAAATGTGAGTCGTTCTTCTCTGAGTGTGTGTGGGTTTGGGTTGAGGAAGTATGCTGACTGGTCGTTTAGTTCTTGCCGATTTTGAGCTGAGCAGTGAAGCTTAAGAACAAGAAGGTTAGCGTATACGGGAACATTAAGAAAAGAACGGAGAGAATTGCTGGGAGAGAACAAGCGAGCGAGCGAAAAAGTATCCTTATCGGGTTTTTGGAATTAATGGGTCATCGGCGTTCACAATTCATCGTTATGGGAGCTATGAGTTAGAGAGTTGCGAGAATCGAGATTCGAGACTGGAGAAGTTTGTTTTGAAATATTATCATTTTCTTCTATCAGGCTCTATCCTCATCTTATCCGAAACCCATGTAACTCCTCTCTAATTAGCCCTCTTGGCTCTGTTGTCCGAAGATCGAAGTGGCGGCGAGATGAGTGGTGGGCTTACATCAAGTCCCTCAACTCCTTTTGGTACCATTCAGCGACACCACTGAACTCTTCAAAGTCTTTAACGTCCATCGCCGCGTCTCGTCGAGGCAACTTGGGCCTGTCTTTGCTCCCATGGTCGACTTGCTCCTCCTTCGTCTCGCGAAGGTCAGGGGCGTTTAGCATTGTTGGCCGCACACCCGTAACGGCAAAGGTGTTACACCGTGTCGGTGCTGGCTCAGCAGTAAAGTACTCATCCTCAACCTTGAGCTTCTTCGACTTCTTCGCCGTCTTGCGTCTGTTGAGGAAGGGCGTATTGTTCCCGGCCATAATCTCCGACTTTTCTTCGAGGAGCCCGGCATCGACGCAGTCGGTGATATCCCTCTCCGTGATAACAGTCGTCATCCTTTCCTGGCGTTTCGATGAGCGTTTGCGTGTGAAGATGGTGAAGATCGATTCCCCTGCGATATTCTTGTCGAGGAGGGTGGTGAAGACCTCCGGGCTGTCGGGATCTGGGAGGTTTCTCGGTACGGGGATGAGGCGGATGGTTTCTTCGTACCTTTCGTCTGAGGAGGAGTAGCGGCTGGCCGTTGCGGACTTTCTCCTGAGGAAGAGGAGCTTGGAGGAGGTGTTGGGCATAGTGAAAAAGTGGGGAGAGTTGGTGGTGGGAGTGAGTCGGGAGGAGGAAGAACTTATAGTTTACGAAAGAAGAAGGACACCACGCCTTCTTAAGTAATACCGTCTTCGAGCTACTCCGCTACATCAGTGAGGTACTCGGCGCGGTGACGTTGGTTGCTTGTTGAACACATCCGCATCGGGAAATTCAGACCTGCAACTGCACTAGCGTATGCGTGGGAAATATAGTCAAGCTAGGGCACAGGCGTCATGGATTGGGGTGTCTGCTTCTATAAGCATTCTTCAATTACAGTAGCCTTCGACCTCAGGTAGCACGGCGACTACGCTGGACCGAAACGAATGCTGCTCCGACGTGAAGAGGTCGTCTGCAAACCCTCAGTTGACCGGGCTACTGTTCCACCAAGTGGCAGGTGTTGCAGTCCAATCTCCTCGGCAGTAACTTCCTCGGGAGCATGAGGTTTCTGCTCGCTCCATGGTGGAGAGATGGTGACCTTAAACTTGCTACCAGGCCCCCGGCCGGGATTCTCCCGGTCCGTCATCCTCAGGAACGACATGCCAGGCAAACAGCAGCTGTTTTTCGTATCGGGACTCTTCCTAGTCGCTTATATCCAGTCAAAACGAGAGAACTCTTAATGTATGGTGCTCGTACGATATTCTGTTTGTCAGGGCGTGTATGTGGCTGATTTCATCCGCTTACGTTGCGAGCAGAAGAGAACACACCGGTACCACAGTCTACCCCACCGCCCAAAACGCCCACCAGAACGACCAGTCTGCTTTTGCCGAAAGAGCAGCCACCAGTTTTCTAGACTTGGAAAGCCATCCAATTTCCACTCATCTATAAGGGCAGCATGCACGTGGCCGCACCACCGCAAACCTTAATCAGCCATGCACGCAAGTCTTCGGACCGCATGACGTCCTCTCGGCGGTTTGTCCAGCAAGGAGCAGAAGGTTTGTCTCGAAAGGCCCGCCTGCTGCTGGGTTCACGGATGGGGTCCTATCTGGCGTGCCAGAGTTGGGTGACGGATTGGCAGTTGGAAGGATCGAACATCATACGGGCATCGTGGAGGGGAGATCTTGAACTTTTAGACGGTCGTGCGGTCCGAACGTAACCTTTACGCGAGAATTCAGTACCGGGTACCACCTCATGGAGGACAACAGCTGCGCCGATGAGCACCACGCTGGGCGCCCTCTTCCTCTTCCCCTTCCGAATATACCGAAAGCCAGGCAACCCGACCCACTGCCAGAATTTCCCTGACCAGGAGGCTTTGGTAACACCAACTCCCCAACATTCCTTTCGGCCAATCAAAGCAGCCTGTCGAGAACGGAGGCGTTCGCGCTCCCCTTCCGATCCGCCTCATATGGAAGGATCAACAAATGAGCATCACTCATCAAGCAAAACCATCGCTCTCTCTGCCCGCTTTCTAATGTTAATAGGGTTTGAGGCTACGGAACCCGGTCGAGGAAGTTGCGCCGCAGACGTACACTTGATACCTCCATGAGGTTTTGATCGTCGAAAACACCTCGGTTGAGGACGGCCTCGGCGAATCATCTACGTCGAAGGCATATGGACCAGGTCTTGGGGAAAGGTGGTGGGGAAATTAGCCCCAAACCTTATCCTGATCTGCTCAGACGATCACTCATCCGACGGGTATAAAGTCCAGGCATCCCAAACCCTCGAATCGATCCTCACCCAACAAGTCTTCTCTTCCTTCGCTTCTCAACCCTTCGTTACCAACTACACTCCCACTCCAAATATCAAAATGGTCGCCAAGTCCCTCGCCGCTGTCCTCTTCGCTCTCGCTACTCTCACTCCCGCCTTGGCCGCCCCCAACCTTAAGGCTCGTGGACACGACGATTATGAGTACTCCAGCACCGAGTGCGAGGAAACTCCCACTTACTACACCTCTTCTTCGTGCGAGGAGACTCCGACTTATTATTACTACAAGTCCTCTTCCTCCTGTGAGGAGACGCCTACCTACGAGTCCTCTTCTTGCGAGGAAACCCCCACTTATGAGTCTTCCAGCTGCGAGGAGACTCCCTATTACCCCCCTTACTACCCTACGACCTCCTCGTGCGATTATGAGTCGTCCTCTAGCAGCGAGTACTGCTACCCGACCACAGTGACCGAGTACAGTTGGTACACCAGTTACGAGACCGTCACATACTGCGAGACCTCCTACGAGACCACGACGTACTGCGAATACATCAGCGTCCCCTACACGGAGGAAATCGTCTCCACCTACTGCGTCACGGAAACCGAGACCGTCCCCGAGTATGAGACTATCACCAGCTGGTATCCGTACACTACTACCGAGTCTTACGAGGTCACATACTACGAGACTTACCCCGCTGAGACTGTCACCGAGTACCAGTACGTGTACAACACTGCCACCGAGTACAGCACCGTCTACAGCGAGTACACCGAGGTCGAGACCGAGACCGTCTCTTACACCGGGGAAACCACACCCACCGAGACCTCCACTCTTCCTTACTGCACCGACGAGTACGGTTGCATCACTCTCTACCTCGACTGCGGGTACTTTGTCCTCACACCTGGTACTGACTGCTACTACACTCCTACTTCTTCGTCCTCTTACGAGTGTACTGACTGCTACTACACTTCTACTTCTTCGTCCTCTTCCGAGTGTACTGACTGCTACTACACTCCCACTTACACTTCCAGCTATGAGTGTACTGAGTGCACTGAGCACAGCACTCCCACGTACTCTTCTGAGGAGTGTACTGAGTGTACTGAGTACAGCACTCCGACTTACTCATCTGAGGAGTGTACCGAGTGTGACACCAAGCCCACCGGTGGCTCCGGCTCCTGGTAAGGAAATGATCGGACGCTCGTAGGAATGGAGGGGATTACGGGATGAACGGAAACATATGATATGGGATAGGTGAACTCTGCCGCTTGCAGAGACTTCTTGGGCCTCCGCCTAATTCTTTCTGGAGACATTCTCGCTTTGGTCAACTGACCCTTTAGATCTTACTTTCCAACATATATAGTTATACCTTGCTCAATTTAGAGCAACAGAATCGAGAAATCCTTTTTCTTTTCAAGTTGTTGTTCCTCGTAAGTTAGCAGTCGGACAGCAGCTCTTGTCTCCTCCAATGTTAATTGCACATTACCAATTGGCCACGATGACGAGACTTGTCTGACAACTGCCCTCTCGCCAATATCAAACAACAATGCACCTGTATTACATAGGATATCTTCGACATAGAAAAAGCAAGCCGACCCATTCATGAAAACAAAAGCAAAACCCAAGAGAACGTAACGGGCGCTGAGCTGCAGGTATGTCAACCTCAAGCACCGAGTTCCCAAATGCAGACCATCCGACTAACTTGCCTCTATCTCTCCTGCCTCACTCGCCACACGTTTTCTTTACAGCCTCTGTCTCTCAATAGCCTCACCTCCAAAGTAGGGGTGCACCAACGCCTTCTTCGCACTAATTCTCTCTGCCGGGTCGTACACCAATAACGCACTCAACAAATCCAGACCATCGTCGTCCAACGGGACAGTGTCACAAATAGGCGTTCCATTCCACTGCGGGAAGGTACTCTTGTAGTCCGGAAGACCGGTGACGCCGGGCCATGTCTCTTCGCTCGGCGTGCCGAGGAGTCTGAAGATCTTGAAGATCTCGTCGATTTCAGAGTCGCCAGGAAACAGCGGCTTACGGGTAACCATCTCAGCGAAGATACAACCGACAGACCACATGTCCATTCCTGTCGCGTACTGGCGACCACCGAGCAAGATCTCCGGGGCACGGTACCACAGGGTGACGACCTCGTGGGTGTATGCCCTCAATGGCACTCCGAAAGCTCGTGCGAGACCGAAATCAGCCAACTTCAGGTTTCCATCGCGGTCGATAAGCAAGTTCTGGGGCTTCAGATCGCGGTGAAGAATACGGTGTGCGTGACAGTACTTGACACCAGACACGAGCTGCCACATGAACCTCTTGACCATATCGGCACCGAGACCCTGGTTCGCAGGAATAGACTCCATGTATTTCTTGAGATCGAGATCAAGGAATTCGAAAACGAGGTAGAGTTTTTGGTCGGAGTGGACGATGTTGAGGAGGCTGTTCGTGAGCAGGTTAGCATAGTTTAACTGAGGACAGACAAAGTGACGAACTTGACAACGTTCTCATCCTTCATCTCCTTCAGCAGAGATATTTCCCTGATGGCAGTTGAGGGAACACCCTCATCCTCGGCCTCGAGACGGATCTTCTTCAGCGCTACGACGCGGTTGTTGTTGAACTTATCATAGGCCTTGTATACGACACCATAAGTTCCTGACCAGCAATATCAGTACCATATCCACTAAACAGAATCTGTTAAGATCATACCCTCTCCAATCTTCTCAATCTTCTGATACTGATCCATTGTTCCCTTCGTATAAACGCGTAAAGTGATGAGTTACTAAGGTGAATGCCGCAAAAGCGAGTAAAGAGACGGTGATATGCTCCGGTATAGAAGTATTCGTTGGATTGGTGAACGATTGACGGCTCTGCTGGTGAGTGGGATGGTTGGTGTTGTCGAGCTTGGTGTTCGAGGGTGTGTTTTGTGGTTGCCGTGCTGCCAGGGGCGCCGTCGCTAAGGACAACCGGTTGCCTCAAAGGGAAAGTAAATGAAGGTGAGTTTTGAAAAGAGGTGTCTGAGGAAGAACTCGGAAAAAGGAGATCAGAAGGGACAGCAGGGACAGCAGGGAACGTGTGAACGGGAAATGTCCTTTTTGTGTTCTTCTGATGGTTTGAAGTTTGAGTCCATGGACCAAGAATATGCCTCGTTATGTCTTATTAATACCCTTTTGATATGCCTCCCAGGGTCATGATATCTATTGCTCAATCTTCAACGCCTTTTTCACATCCTCCTTGACCGCCTCCTCTCCCTTCACACACCTAACACAGTCACAAACGAACCCATACTCCTTCCTCAACAAATCCCGTCGTCTCTCCTTATCCATATTCGGGTTCGTATACGTAATCGTAACTTCCTCCCCTTCCGTGATATCCGTGATCGCATTCACCGAGATCTTGTAGTTCGTGTATTGCAGTGGGTTCCCAATTTTGGTGTTTGGTGCGCAGGAGTGGTTGAGGTGGGACTGTGCGAGGTAAACTCCACCTGCGATGTTATTAATGTTGAACATTCCCAAATGCAAATCGAACTGCTCCTCCGTCCATAACTCTGATGGAGGCAATGCCTTTGTGAGAAGGGCGTACGCAGACTTCCACAGCGCCCGGGTGCCCTCCTCCTCAAACATCCACGACGTGTTTTGTTCTTGTCGCGTCACCTGTTTCACCGTCGCGAAACTCCCAAGCGTCTTCACCACCAGATCCCTCTCCTCGCCGTTCTTTGCAGCCGCGATCTTAGCCCAGCACATACCAACACCCATCCCACCCATCCAATCCTCACTCACGCACAAATCCACGAATTTCTTCCATGCAGGGTTTTTCTTCGTACACGTAATCCTGTGGGGCTCATCCCTCTTCTTGCAAAGACCAGTACAGTATTTAACCCCACACGACGAACAACTCGCCTGTAAGCTCCCCGTTACCGGTCGAGCACACAACGCGCAAAACTTCCCATCCCGGATCCCATCGACAGCGGCAAGCGGCGGCGCCCACACATACGGAATCTCCTCGAAAATAGAAGTCCCACTCTTGGTATCCTCCGTCCCATACAATCCCTTTCCACGTCCCTTGACCTCCTTCACCGCCAACTTGGTCGTGGTGTCTTTGATGTCGAAGTTCGGTGTCAAATGCGACACGGCAGCATTAGGTAACGCCGTTCCCTTCGGCGGCGCATTGCCCAGATTATACTGTGCCAAAACCTTCCTCAGCCTCTTCTCCGAGACAGCCCAGTCGGGTTTTTGATCCTTCACCTGCGCCAACAACTTTGGCACACCGAGGGTTTGACCGTGTTCATTCCGGATCGCGGTGACTTGTTTGATCAATTCATGTTCGGTTGGTGTGATGGATGCGATTGCGTCTGCGCACATTATTTTAAGCTTTAGATCAAACTGGTGTTTATGACCCTCAAGGTCTTCCCTACCGGTTTTTTCGAAGATCGAGAAGGGGAGCGGATGCGGGCGCGTGCAAGGCCCAAACTTAAAATTCGATGATACATCTCTCCATCAACCTCATCAAGGTCATGATCCGGAATGTATTGTAGGTATCGTAACGTACAAGCAATCTACTCCCCTACTCCCCTCACCGCCAACTGGCGACCATCTTCCCATTTCATCCCATGCTCCCTCCATTCCCTCCATCTACTCAACGAAAATCTTCGCCTCAGCCTCCTCATACCCCTCAAAAAATTCTCTAAACAAATTCGTCCCAAGCAGAACGTCCTTCGTCCCCCCACACTCCCTAACACTATGCATACTCAACTGCGGATTCCCCAAATCAACCGTCCTCACCCCCAATTTCGCACTCAACATGGGTCCAATGGTACTCCCACACGCCGAATCATTCCTCACCACGAATTGTTGGAGCGGGATAGATGAGATGTGTTGGAGGAGAGTCGTACCGGGGGAGTTTGTCGCGTAACGGGCGTTTGCGTTGATTTTGATGACCGGGCCGAGGTTGAGTTGGGGTTTGTGGTTGTTCTCGTATTTTGCGGCGTAATTTGGGTGGACGGCATGTGCCATATCCGCACTCACCAAAAAGCTCTTCGCTAGACATTCCTCATAACTCGTCGCTTGTGCGCCATCCCCGATATCGAGTTTATTAAGTCTCTCGAGGACTACGGGGAGGAAATTCGAGTCGGCGCCTTGTGCGGTGAGGGATCCGATTTCCTCGTGGTCGAAGAGGGAGATGAGGCGGATTGTGCCGTCATCGTGCTCGCCTTTTTCGGCGGCGTCGGAAATTCCGCGGACGGCGCAGTAGGAGCAGCCGAGGTTGTCGAGGCGAGCGGAGAAGATGAACTCCTCATGGAGACCTCCGAGGGCAGGGGCTTGCGTGTCGAAGAGGACGAGCTCGAAGTCGTGGATCTCTTCTGGTTTGCAGGAGAGTTCGTTGGAGATGAGGGAGATAAGGGCGGGAGTATGGCGCTTAGCGACGGAGCCGGCGTCTTTGTCGTCGGAGTCGGTGGTGGGGTCGACGGGCGTCTCGGCATTGAGTTGCGCGGACACGAGGCCAGCGATAGGTGTGAGGTGTGTCTCTTTGTTGAACTCGAACTTGACGTTCACATCCCGATCCAAATGAATCGCCAACGTCGGGATCCTGAGGATAGGCCTATCAATCTTCAACAACTGCTGCTTATAGCTCCCATCACCCTGCCTAACCATAACACGACCCGCAACCCCAAGATCACGATCAAACCACGAATGCCAAATCCCACCTCCATAGCACTCAACCCCAACCTGTAAATACCCCTCCGCTGTCTTCGCACTAACGGGCTTCAGGCGCAAGGTAGGCGAGTCGGTGTGCGCGCCAATCATCGCGACACCCTTCCCTGGCGACCATTTCTTGCCGACGGAGAATGCGATGAGGGAGGTTGTGTTGCGGGTGACGTAGTACTTTCCGCCTTGTTTGATGGAGGAGGCCCAGGAGTCCCGTTCGCGGAGTTCGGTAAAGCCTACGCGCTCGAGGAGGGCGATGGAGGATGCGACGGCGTGGAAGGGGGTTGGGGAGGAGGCGACGAAGGAGAGGAAGTCCTTTGCGTAGGATTTTGCGCTGTTGGAGATGAGTGGAGCGGACATTGATGCTGGTTGTTGTGGTTGTCTTGTGGAGGGTTGTTCTGAGGAGAATGCTTTGTCCTTTTGGATAGGGACTTTGATGAGCATTCAATTGACAAAGGATGGAAGATAGAGAGCCGATCTTATAGAGTAAGAGGCGGCTTCACGGAAGGTGAGTAAATGCTTGGTTTGAAGGGCCACTGGTGTTTTGTCTTCCGCTGCCGAGATGTACGACGTCAGTTCAGTCTACCCGCGCCAGCTGGCCCGCAAGTGGAGTACCGGTATTCATGACAACATCAATTGCAAACCAAATTTAACAGCAACAATCTGCGGTACTAGTGTAGGGGTTATCATAATTCGTTGTGGCTACGCAGCGTCCGAATTGACCCAGGTTCGATTCCTGGGTACCGCACACAGCTTTTGCAACCTTTTTGCTGACTACGGTGCACCACCATATTGCATTTCATTGCGATGCTGCACCCAATCTCAATCAACACTCGTCCCCTCCAAATCCTTGGATGTTCATCCTACCGGCATTGGAGCTAAACAGAGTTAGAGGCTCGACAATCAGGTAGGTCTGGGCTCCATTCGGGACAGAAAATCCTGATAAGGAGCTCGAGATTCCAGCAATATGATCATGAACAAACAGACAAGGGGGATATCGTTTTGTATTTTCCCAAAAGTAACTTTCTACAAGCGAACCCATGATGCAGATGATTCCCTAAAAAGATCGCGAGCAAGACCGCCTAAATTTTCCACTCACTGCCAACAACGAACGAACGTCAACTACCCCAACACTTTGCAACCCACACGCACACACGCTTAAGCCCTAACAGATCGCCCGATGGCGCTGTTGAAGTTATTTCTGCCACGTCCCCGGTTACCACCACCAACACGTCCACCCGTCTGGTTGTTCCTCGGTCCATCACGCTGTCTCCTATCCCGGCCATCCTGTCCTTGTCTCCTCTCGCCCTCAGTCTGAGTCTTGCTCTCCAACAGCCTCTCGTTAGCCTCGACAAAGTGGTTAGCCTTGTCAGCGAATCCGATAGCCAAAGCCTGGAGTCTCGAAGGCTCGACACGCTGGAAGATAATCGCGGAAGAAACCTGGTCGAAAGCAGCAGGGATCTCCTCGTGAGAGATCATCCTGCTGACAAGAGCAGTTACGGAACGCTCGCTCAAGTCAAACATTTCAGACAAAGAAGCGATAGACATAGTCTCGTAGAATGATGCGTAGGTGAAGAGGTATGTTCTCAGACCCTCCTCCTGGATCTTCTCACCCAACATGGTCTTGATCTCCTCAGTGTTCGGCATGAGGTCCCAAATCTTGATAGCAGAGATGAGCTCCCGTGCCTTTTGCCACTCACCAGCAGCCAGAGCCTTGGCGGCCTGCATGATGTGGTCACGGGTGTTCTCGGGGGGACCGACGAACACTTGACGCTCATTGAAGTCAAGCATACGCCTGAACGGCCTAGAAATAACCCGCTTCTTAGCATCGGGACTCGAGCCAGCAGCAGCCATAGCAGGAATTTCCAAAAGCATAGAGCAAGTCAAGTAAACACATTCCAAAAGCTCGAGGTTGATGTGCATGTGGAACGGAAGCTGACGCTGACGGTCCATCCTCTCCTGCTCAGGCGAAACCTGGTTGTATCGCTGAACACCCTGCGCCAGCAACTCCTTAATACGACCAGTGCTGCAAATCTCCTGCAAACATTGCTGCGCCTCGTTGACCATGCCCGCACGGAACGCACAGAGACCGAGCTGAACCATTGTTCTGTTGTGAAGGATTTGAGTGGCAATGTCGGCCTGGTGGATCGACTCCTGCAAGTGAGACATCAAGAGCAAGTCACGAGCCTGGTGGTATCGGTTGTGGAGGGCGTGGTGGTAGATGTGGCACAACATGGCGCGAGTACGGTGCAAAGATTGACCGTTCTTGTAGAGGTAGACACACAAAGTCTGCACGAGGTCGGTGACGTTGACGGCAGCCTCACGGGGAGTGACGGAGGAGTTGATGCCCTGGGGCAAGTTCTTCCAAGTGTTCTCCTCGAGGATGGCAACAACCTGCTCAGGCTTGAAGTAAACGTGCTCCAAACGACGTGCAACAGCGGCAGCGATGGAGTCAGCGAGCTTGACACGCTCAAAGTAGCAGTGAGAGCGGACAATGATGTAGTAAAGACCAGCCTCGTGCTTCATGCGCTCAACGTAGTCAGAGGTATGAGGGTCGATGTGCTGAAGAGCCTTAGTGAGCTCATCATCGAGACGGTCGACGTACGCGATGACACTTCCACGAACACGGACAACCTCGTCACCCTCAGGAACCTGAACATCCTCATCCTCCAAATCATCAGCATCCTCAGCAACCATGAACTTAGGCTGCTCCTCAAGAAGCTCAAACAACTTGCTCAAGTCCTTGCTCGCCGCCTCCCACTGCTCAGAAGCCATGTATAATGCGGTTGACGGGGTAGCGTCGAAACGAGCCGAAATCAAAGCAAGGAAAATGCGGAGCTTCTGGTAAGGAGTGATAGCGACGTCGACGAGCTTCTCGAGGATAGAGATCTGCTCGTTACGGTCGGTGTTCTTCTTTCCTCGTGCCTCGACAACAGCACGGAGCTGCTTGAAGATATCCTCCGCAGTGACCTTCTCCGTCCGTCCCTTCTTTCCAACAGTAGAGAAACCATCATCACCATCAGCCTTGCCATCCACTTCGACATCCTCCTCGACCTTACGCTGTGCCTTAGCAGCAGGAGCAGCCGCCGGCTCAGGCTCATCTTCGTTCTCGAACGACTCGGGGTTGGCGCGCCACTGGGCGATCTCGGACTCGAAGTCGCGGTTGTTCTTGCGAATGCGCTGCTTGAGGGAGTTGAGAGCACGAGCGTTGGAGGCGTTCATCTTCTTCTTAGACTGCTTCTCGTTCTTGACGGACTCGTTAAGGGCATCCTCGAGCTTGCCGATAGCCTTGATGTAGACTCTTGGGATACGACCGTCGAGTTGCTTGGTCTTCTGGGTAAGCTTATTAAGTTTGTCGAATTCTAGGCACACGTATTAGCATCCTCTTCATCAATTGAGGTGTATGGATCACAACTCACCAGTAGAGATAGTGACCCAGTCATTGATCTTAGTAGCATTGGCAATCACGCTCACACTGCTGACAATCTCATCATATCGCTTATCCTTCGCACTCTTAACAACACGCTTCGTCTCCTCCTCCTCATCACTATCATCTGAATCACCACCCTTCAAGAAACGGTTCGCGCCGCGCGACGGACCGTCCTCATCACTGCTCGAATCATCATCCGAGGAATCATTGTCGCTGTCATCAGAGGACTCTTCGGAGTCAGATTCTGATTCCGATCCAGACGCTTCGGAAGATCCAGACTCAGAGGTGGAGATATCGACCTCGGACTCGTCAGAGGAGGATTCCGTGTCGGAACTGGCGCGGAAGAAACGAGACATGGTGGACTGCTGAGATATGCGCTGCGACGAATTGATCGTTCGGACGACGACGGCGGTTACTCTGCTGCTCTGGGCGTTCAAGCTCGGGGGCTTCACGGAATGAGAGCTTCTGACAGACAGTTGACGACAGACGTGCTCCTTAGGCGCCTCGGTCTCGAAATTCTTTAGTACGGGGCACAGTACAGGAAGGCACTTCAGAGACGAATAGAAAGGGATGAGAGGTTCACAAGAGATATCTAGAATTCTTTTATAATAATTGTATGCCACATTCTCTGTCATCTGTATATATCGTATCAGTCTCCCCGTGCACAGATCGACTTCCAATGTATCCGCCGGCGCCGGCCGCAGATGCGACGTGTGAAGGATAGGTTGGATAATTTTGCCGAACCTGATTCAAGGCGTTGCGATTAGCCTCTAGGAGCCTTGCCTAGCCATAGCTCACACCCTTGGTGGACTCCTCGTACCGTTTCTGTGACGAAAGCTGCCTTTCATGAGGCTCATGTACATACTGTAAGCTTTATTGTAGGATCAAACACCTAAAACTCAAAATAGACCTCAGTCATTCGTATAGAAAGTCTTGATAACCATTAGTAAATCTTGGGGAAGGTTGTTCATCCGGTATAAACACCCAAACTCGGACCTTCTTCTGGCTGATGGCAGACATGTCGACACCTTCTCGACATCGATCAGGAAGTCAAGCCATATTCAAGCGACCCTCATGAAGCCGTTTGCCCCGGACACTAGAGGCAACTGCATACGCCGTCTTCACTCCATGGCGAGCTCCATATGCCTTGTTCTTAAAAGCTTTTCCCGACTCGTGGACCAAATCGATCTTGCTCAAGTGCCCTCTGTCTCTTCCACCAACTGCAGGTTCATCGGACGTCGACAGGGGAGATGTTCCTACTCTCGTACCCCTCAAATATATCTTCTCATCCCCATAGAAGGACATGGCCGCCAATTCCCACGACGTGACCGAACGTAATACCAACCGCTGCTCGTTGTAAGTCGGCAAAATCTGTCTCACGATCAGTGCTTGCACGGTCCAATGGTCTGACAATAGAAGTAGGAACACGATAGTTCGCAACACTCGAAATATCCCAGACGATTTGGGAATATCACGATTGACCGGCCGCTGTTCAAAGTCAAGCAAGGTTAGAGCATACGTGAAAGACGAAGCAACCTTCACCGTACGTGTGGGAACAGGATCGATATCAGCCCCCGATAGACACTGCGTGGGCTGTGTAACACTTCCGCAAGAAGCATAAGCTCTTCATACTTCATCTTCGCACACGCATGATCGCTCACAAAAAGGCCTCAACCGGCCGTCGACGTCGCGAAATGTACAGATCATGATCACAGCATCACCGTGGCGTCGCCCATCGCCCAACAACATCCACCCTTCCAACTTTCATGATGGCCACCAGTCGGACTGCCAGTCGGACTGCCAGTCGGACTGCCAGGAAGGCCCATCCCATCCCAACAGACACCTCAATTGTTTAACTTGACAAACCCTCGCGGAGCTCCACTCCTCGGTACATCCCTACCGAGCCTGGCTGCTGCTGCGCCTCTGCTCCGCGGAGATATCAAGATGTAAAACGAGATAACGGTCAAGATTCGCCCCTTGAGAGGCGAAAAGAAGGGAAGAGCTAATGCGAGGTTATATGAATGTTCGCACGACCTCAAGGGTTGTAAGGCTGCTTTGCTCGAGCTCGGAGGTTCCAAGGAGTTTGAGGAACTGGCTAGATCGAGAGCAGATAAGTGGATAATGCTTTTATTGAAGTGTTTAGAACAGGGGTAGCCATAAACACAGAACGCTCAAATGCAACTCTTTTCTATCGTCCTCTCCAGATCCCCTCTAGATCTCCCTCACGCCCCCCGTCTATCCATACGACTTTGAATCACACGTAAACGGATCCCTCACCGACCCACTATTATACTGCTCAACAATATCCTTCACACTAGCATAAGTCCCACATCCCACACACGCAACCCCAATCAAAAAACACCCCCCATTAACCACACTCAACCCCAAATTCCTCCAGCCCCTATACCACTTCCCCTCCTTAATCAACATAAACCAAAACAACGCCGGGAAGTAAAACGTGAAGCCCGAGATGAAGAGGGAAGACATGATACCCAAGAGGTCTGAGAAGAATGGGATCGCTTCGGCGATGATGAAGGCGAGGATGATTTGGGCGAGGAGGAGGAGGATCCAGATTGTCCAACCGCGTGGGGTTGATATGTAGCGGATTGTGGAGTTGGGGAAGGCGCGGGAGATGATGTACCGCCCCGCTACGGTTGCGTTGATTGAACCCGAGATAAAGATGACAGGCAGCGCGATTCCGAAAGCGATACGGGAGACTGTTGACCCAGCCGAGAGCAACGCAGGCGAAGCGACACCAGACCCGACGAAAGCGTAAACGAGAGCGCCGGTGACGGTGTAAATCACGATCTCGATCACACCGAGTGCCCAGATTGATTTGACGTAGTCTTTTGGTGTATGGAGCTCTGACATGAACGAAAACTGACACACGGCGAAACTGTAGGCAAAGATAATATTCGTCACAGCCAAGAAGGCTGACGAGAAGGATATATCGTCCGGAGGCCATACGGACCAGTCGACGGCTGGGAGTCCACCGACTTGGGATGTGGCTTCGATGCCTGTTGCGATGATGGTGATCCCGATTGCGCAGATAATCGATGCGAAATCGATGTACCCCAAAATCGCAAACTCCGTGAACGTCGGCGGTATAGCCAGCAAAAACAAAACAACAGCAGATACGACACCCCAAACCAACGCACAAACCCCCTCCCTCTCAACAATCCTCACAAACGCAATCGTCCCCGTAAGTGCATGCGAACCCAACAACAACACAAGCTGACACACAAACATAAACCCTGTCAACTCATACCCGAACCGGCCCCAAATGAGGCGCACGGCGTCTGCGTAGTGGTCGATGTGTGGGTATTTGAGTTTGACTTGGCCGACGACGTAGGAGGTGTAGATTGCGATTAGGCCGATTCCGATACTTAGAATTACACCAGCGACCATGCCTACTGTTGCGAATGCCTGCGGAATGGATAAGGACCCCAATGCAATCGCCTCGACGATTAGGCAAATCGTTAAACGGACCCAGCCTAGGCGGCGGAATTTGTCATGGTATTGGCCGTCGTCGATGGGTTTGAGGGATGATTCGCCTTCGGAGGCGATTTCGCCGGTTGCGTAGGCGGGGACGGAGTCCATGACGGTACTGGTCCCGGCTTCCTCGAATTTGGGCATTTTGAGGGGGTCGTGGTTGGTTGTGTTGGCTGCGGTTGTTCCTAATTCGAAGTCGATGGCCTCATTGAGGTGAGGAGCCGACATCTTGCAATGTCTACAATTGACCAACACTCGAGGTGGAGCAGCTGCTGGTGTAAGTAAGAGCTCGAGGAAAAGAAGTGATAGGCCTAGGATCGGACTAGCCCGAGAGTCTCCGTATGTAGCAATTTAGTGCGAGCGGATCCCAGACTAGATCACGTCGCTTATGGATCCGGGAGTTGGCTGTTGGGGAGATACGACTTGAGCCGTTTTTCTATCAAGGAGGACAAGGGAGGGAGGAGGGGGATGTCGAGGGTAACTTTTTTTTTTTCTCCGGGTTTGCTGCAGATGGGTTCATGGTCGCGCTTCCGAGATGAGCCTTGAGACACTTGCATGATCAGTCAAATGAGCCGAGAGAGCCAGCGGGAAGAGGCAGGCAAAAAGAAAACCTGTACTACCTCCTCGGTTGACACGAATTGGAAGGCCCCGTCTGAAGGAAACATGAACCAAGCGCCCGTAAAACTTATGGTCGAAGTGAATGAATATGAATTCCACTCATGCTCGTGAGGTGGCCCAGGCCGAAGATGCTCATTGTCAATCTGGCCACCCTGATCTCACACCGTCCTCGAGAGTTGAAATTGATGGAAACCTGGTTACTCTCAGATTCGTGGCAAACTTCCAATCCGGAGAAGGATGTGGCCGAGAACACATGAGTTCATGCCTGCGTCTTCAGTGGCAATGTCCGGGCTCTGAATTAACACCTGAAGCTTGTCAGTCAATCACGGCCAAGCTGGAAGAGGCGTCCGTCAAACTCACTCAAGAGGCCGGTCATCGTGTCATAAGTTCGAGATCGACATATTCGCCCGGAACGGATCAGAATGCTATGCTTGCGAAGAAGGATGCCAGAACCGTTTTCTTGCAGTACGAAAGTGCACATGAAGCCATGTTAGCCTTGCAAAATTTCACCAGGCAATATGTTCAATGTTCATTCCCGGTTTCGTATCCGAAAATGAGTAACATCTATGTCAGGGTACATAGCTGCGAGTGTCCGAATAGTGCCCTGTCGGGAAAGGCAGGGACTTACCAGCTTCTGACCAGGCGCCCCTACCATCTCCTACGTCTGGACAGAAGGCAGACGAGAGTGACCAATCAACTGCGCAGCTTGACATATGTCCTGAATCTGTCGAGTATGTTGCAACTGCTCACGACGTCACCGGTACACCACTACCAGCCAGGCCTGATTATATTCCGACGACGATGGATCAGATGACGTGGGCAGAATCAAGTATGTTTCAGACAGCCCCGACGAGTCTTGCTGACCACAGGAGTGTCGACTGTCATGAGTACGATGAAGGAGCTTCGAGATACCATACATACCTTGACGACTGTAAGATCTAAGTTGGCGAACGCGGGCGTATGACATCGTGAGGAAGAATATCTAAGGTAGCTAGAGCAGCTGCAAATGCCAGTGGTATTTATATTGAATAACTATCTGGCTATATGAATACGTGTACGAGCCCATGTTCAGAGACGCAAAGAACTATCTGGGGTATCGTAAAGATTCATAAGGAATTGCAAGTGAACGTGATATACCGCGAGAAAGTCATAGCCCTATTCAAATCAAAGTAACGCAACCTCCAGCAAAAGCCCAAACCATATCCTTACTGAAGCCCGGTACCAGAAGTCCCCCAAAACCTTCACTCCCCTCACATCACCACACAAGGCGGACAACACCAACCCCCACCCCCCCTCTTCTTAACCCTCAAATTCCCCGCCTGCCCAACCGCCTCAACAACCCTAATCCTCTGCTCCCCACCCCCCTCACTCCACCAATTCAACACCTGCCTCTCGCGATCAACTTCATACCGCCCCGAACTGATCTCGACACGCGCATGTTCGCTAAATTGGAGTTCGGGAAAGAAAATCTCGGTTGGGGCGGTGATTGTGGGGTCGGCGGTAAATGCGAACTCGAATGTGCGGGCGCGGAGGTCGAAGGACCAGGTGCAGGAGGTTCCGGCCGTCGCGATGGGTGCTGGTCGGACGAATGCGCGGAGGGCGCGGGCACCGTCGTTGTACCCCTCGTTATCATCCGCGAACCGTGACCTCAACGGTTTCTTCAACGCAATATCCGAAGAATCCCCCTCCGAATCAGTACTAGCTGGACTCTCCAATCCACTCTCCGTCCTCCTCTTCCTCGAAATCGAGGTAGCGGGCGTCTCACGGTCTACCATATCATCCCGACTCCACAAACTCAAATCTTCTCGATTCCAGTTATCACCCCACTCGTGCACATTACTCGGACTATACTGCCACAGCGTATAATTCATTCCGCTCCCCTCGAGCGCGTAATGATTCGCGTCCATCGCGCCCAACTGGGATGAAAAGTCTCCGGTTTTGTAGGCGTAGCAGGCGTCCATATCATACGGAATCCCAATCTCGGACATGAAGCACGGGATGGGGCCCATATTCTCCAATCCCTCTCTTCGGATCATGTTTAATTGGTCTTTGAGGCAGTTCCTACTATATCGTTAGTGAGCGTCCATACAGACAACGACCTACGACAACGAGTCATGAACTTACCTTACAGCTTTCTCACCGACCCTAATCGCAAAAACCGGACTCGAGTATTTCCCTCTCATAATCCCCATGACATCAACATTAAACCTCGGATTCCAATGGCGGTTCATCAATGTCAAGCCGTCGTAGTAGTGCGGGGTATAAACTAACCGATCCACCGCTTCGGGGGTATTGATGAAATGTGGTGGAGGAGCCATGACGGGTGGTTGGCAAAATAGGATAGCCGAACGATGCTCAGCCCGGATCCCACCCGCATAGACTTTAAAATGTTCTCGGAAATAAGTCTCGAGGAAGGAGTCTGTGGTGATTTCCTCACCCTTGGGTGTATAGCGGAAGTATTGTGGCTTCACGAGTTGGTTCGTGGTCCTATCCCACACTCCGTGCTGAGCCCAGAGACACGTACCCATCTCCCATCTTTCGTCACGCTTCCAGCCGTATTTCACGTCTGCTTTTGCGACTTCTTCTGGGCTTAGCCATGCGCGTAGGCCTTTGGGGTCAACTGTCTTCACACCCGTCTTCTTCGGCCCGAAGCCGCCAAAGTCGTAGACGTCCACCGTGCAGGGAATTCCCATTCCCAATAACATAGCTTGAAATTGAGTCGGTACGGTTCCTTTGCGGAGTTCCTGACTCTTCGGGATAATACCCAGATTCTCGTGGGAAATGAGTGCCAGGTTCGGTTCATTGAGCGTTTCCCACCCGATGACTGGGTCATCGGCTAACCCCGCCTCCACAATTCGACCAGCGAAGTGGGACATGGCATTCGTGAAATACGTCTGCAGATAATCTTGGATATTCATCCCGTTGACATTCGCATGAGGCGCGAAATCTCGGCCAGCGAAGAAGAGGGTGAACATTGTCGCAGCGGCTAGGCGGTGGTAATTCGTGCTCCAAATCATTTTTTCGAAGTTGTGTTTGTCGTCGGATTCGGAGTGGATTAACGCTGCTTCTGTGACGTGGAAGTGCCGGGCGTTAAGGCCGGCGAGAAGGAGTGTCCAGAATGGCGCACCCGAACCACCGGAGAATCGAGACCAGACGTCTTGGTGTGGGTCCATGATAACGTGCATATTGTGTTCCCGACATTTTTTGAGGATTTGGAGGGTGTAGTCGATGAATTCTTCGTCGTATTTCCCACTGTCAGTTCTCTGATTAGCAACTGTAGTGCAACACAGACTATTAGGAGGGACGTACGGTCCAGCATGTTCGACAGCCTCCCAGGTAATGACATAGCGAACAACATTGTATCCCCAACTCTTTAACCTCAATAAATGCTCATCTGCTTCATCTAGCGGGAAGGGTCTCCCAATAAAGGAGCAAGTGTCTGCTGATTCGTAAAAGTCGTCGGATAGATGCGAAGGGAGGTCAGGCCGTCCAGGCTGTTTGGTGTCGCCGGAAAGATTGACACCGCGAAGAAGAACGGTTCTTCCGGTCTCGTCTTTGAAATTTACGCCGTCTATGTTGAGCATTGGGATGTATGCTGCTTTGTTAGTGAAAGGGTGAATGAATGCTGTTCTTGGTGTTCTTCGTTCACGTTAAGCTTTGCGATACGTGAATCGGAGCTAATGTGAGTGAATGCAGCACGGTCGTCATGGTTGCACTAATCCATTTCTGGTAGAGAGAAGGTGCGGTAACGTAGACCGCGACGAAAAGTATACTCTCGAGGAAATACACCCGTGATCCGTCTCTTGCGCCTGAGGACGAGGTCATTTGAGTACAGCGTAACGAGCATAACGAAAAGAGCGACTGAAGTTACGTGAACCATGTCGACAAAGACCGCTCTCAAACAAGCAAGAGAACAGATCGGAAAGAAGGATTTCGCAGAAGCGGTCAAGTCATGTCGACGAATCCTCGATTTCGAACCAGATAACTACAATGCGTGCGTACCTTTGGCGGTCATCTTCAAGCGCCTGCTGACACTTCGCACAGGAATGTATTCCTCGGTCTGAGTTTGATGAACCTCGGTCAATTGGATGAAGCAGAGACAGTATATAAAGCTGCAGTCGAGAAGGAGGCTGGGCAAGTACTGGCTTGGCAGGTATGTTTGAAAGTTAATTTGGCCTTCCCTTGGGATGACGACTAATTCAAGCATACAGGGTCTCTGGAACCTCTACGAGAAGAAACAGAACGTCGAAGAATACATTCGGACATCCGAGAAATTGATGACAATGTTCATGGAAAGGTGTGATCCCCTCGACGAGTATTGGTGTAACATCTGCTGACCGACGCCTATCATACAGTGACGACCGCGACAAATGCGCACAAACACACGAGAAACTCGCAGCGTTTATCAAAGAACACGGCTCAACCCTGCAGCGCGTCCAGGTCCACTCCCTCATCCTCCCATCATCACCATACTACACTTTCCTGGAAGGTCGAGTATTTCAGCCAAGCCTAACCCTGACGAGGATAGTGGAGCTCTTGGAACCATGGGAGTCCGACACAATCAAACGCGAAATCGCAAAACGCCGCAGCAGACTCGGCGCAAACATCTCCAAAATCAACGGCGAGGTCCGTCTCGAAGTTTTCGCACAAAGCAAGTTGGACGAATACTACCTACAACTCATTGATTGGACCGACGAAGACGAGATTCGTCGCGCGACTGAAGTTAAGGTTTTTGATCGGGCGTATCAGGTGTTGTTGGTGTTACCCGCGGGTGGACAGAAAGATGAGAAGAGAGCGCAGGTTGCGGATATGGCGAGGGGGATGGTCATCCTTCATGCCCCCGTTGAGCTCGCATGGATGATCCACCTCGAGTGGGCTGACGTAAGCGACATCTCCCAGTTCGACGTCAATGTTCTTCGTGAGTTCGTGGCGCTGTTCCCGGGTAACGGCCTATCAAAGACGATCGACGCATACCTGACCTCCGAGTTATCCCCTTTCCCTCCCGTCCCAGTCGTGGAAGGCGAGGAACCCCGACCACAGCTGAGCTCGGAGGATATCCTCGACGCGATGCTCGACGCCATCGCCGACGCGCCCAAATCGCCGCTCGCGAGTAGGTTGTTGGCAGCATACTACCTCCACCTCAAAGACTACCAATCCGCATCCGAAACCGCCCGGTCAGCGATGGAGTCCGCTAATCAACTCTCATCCGAAACCGGAATTTCACTGGCAAACACCCAGACAGCATTGATGCTGGTGTTAGGATTATCTTACGTGTATTACCAAACACCCAAGAACCATCCACAGGCAAAAATGTTATTCGAGAAAGTCTTGGGTGCGTATCCGGATTGTGTTCCGGCTCTTATTGGGTTAGGACATATCCAGCGCGAAGCAGGCGCGGTTGGGGAGGCATTGGATCTCATGCGTCAAGCTGTGGGGGTGGATGAGTCGTATATTGAGGCGAGGATGGAGGCTTCGTGGTGTGAGGTACTGCTGGAGAATTATGAAGAAGGACTGAGCGGGTTGAGGTATTGTTTGGAGCAGTTGGAGGATGAGTCGGATTCTGCTGTGACGAGGGAACGGAAGGGTGAATGCCACTGGCGCATCGGACACGGGATTTGGCTTTCGAAGCCGGAGGAGAGGGGGGAGAGGGATGGGGCTTACGCGAGCTTCATTACTGCGTTGAGGAAGAATCCGAATTATGCGCCTGCGTATACGTCTTTGGGTGTATTTTACGCTGATGTGGTGGGCGATGAGGATCGTGCGCTCCGATGTTTCCAGAAAGCGTTCGAGCTCGATGCGGGGGAAGTCGACGCAGCTGAACGACTCGCCTCAGGCTTCGCCGAGGTTCGGGACTGGGAACTCGTCGAAGTCGTCGCACGACGTGTCGTCAGCTCTAACCAGAAACAGAGTTGGCCACAACGCGCCCTCGGTGTCGTCGAGCTCAATAAACGAAACTACAATAAAGCTATTGGACATTTCCAGCAGGCGTTGAGGGGGGATGTTGGAGATGTCAATTCGTGGGTTGGGTTGGGTGAGGCGTATTCGTCTTCTGGACGGTATGTTGCGGCGAGTAAGGCGTTTAAGAGGGCTGAGCAGCTTGATCCGGGGAATTGGTTCGCAAAGTACCTCTTTGCGAACGTGGAGAAGGAGATGGGGAATTACGAGGAAGCCGCTGGTGCGTTCGGTGCAGTCCTTGAGACGAGACCGGGTGAGTTCGGGGTCCTTGTTTCGTTGGCTGAGACGCTCGTTGCGTGGGCTTGGGAGTTGATCCAGAACGGGTTCTTTGCGAGGGCGGCGGAGTGTGCGGTGAAGGCTTTGGAGACTGTGCGGAGTGTGGAGGAAGAGAAGAGGGTGGGGAGTGTGGGGTTGTGGAAGGTCGTTGGTGATGCTTGTAATGTGTTTATGCAGGTGCAGAGTCATGCGGATGCTTTCCCTTTGGCGCTGTTGAAGGAGCTGTTTGAGGTGAAGGAGGTTGATGCTGAGGAGGTGATCGATGGGGTTGCGGAGTTGAGTTTGGAGGAGGTCGGTGATGTTGAGAAGGCGATGAGAGCTAGCGTCGCAGCTTTCAAGCGCAATGTCAAGGGAACCGCTGGAGATCGCTACGCCCATTCTGCTGCATGGTATAACCTCGGATGGGCAGAGCACCGTCTTGCTACTCACCTCGGTGTCCCGGCATCCAGGGACAGCCCCGCCGTCGAGGCCTTCAAGCATGCCATCAAGGGCGAGGCTAAGAACGAGAGCTACTGGAACGCGTTCGGTATCGTTCTGGGTGAGGTCAGTCCCAGTATCGCACAGCATGCGTTTATTCGGGCATTGCACCTCAACCCCAAGTCTGCCACGATCTGGACGAACCTCGGTACGCTGTACCTTATCCAGGATGACTTGGAGCTCGCAAACGAAGTGTATTCGAGAGCACAGTCGATTGATCCCGAATACGTCCAGGCATGGGTCGGCCAAGCTTTCGTGGCCATGGCCCTCGCCGAAGAAGACGAAGCTCGCGATCTCTTCGAACACGCCGTCGAAATCAGCGGTGCGAGCTTCATGACCGCAAACTACCACTTCGGCACAACCGTCTGGGCCCAACTCGCTGCTGGAAAGAAGGGAGTCCGTGGTCTCACTTCTCCCATCTTTGCTCTGCAAAAGTTCGTTGAGCAGAAACCGTTTGATGCGTATGCGCTGCAGTTACAGGCGCATTTGCTTGAGCGTGCGGGTGATTATGTTAGGGCTAGTGAGAGATTGCGGAAGGCATGCGAGATCTTGGAGGCTGAGTATGAGCAGACTGAGGATGCGGGTGTGTTGAAGAGGTTCGTTGGGTGTAAAGCTGATCTCGGAAGGTGTCTGCTCGCGGTTAAGGAGTATGAGGCAGCCGTTGAGGAATGCACCACCGCTCTCGACCTCAGTGCTAACGACGAGAAGACGTATGAGAAGGCTAGGTTGAGTGCGCATCTGTCTGCGGGATTGGGGCAGTATTGTTTGGGTGCGCTGCAAGATTCGTTGGCCATGTTCCAGCAAGCCCTCACGGAGGCGAACGGTGACCCAGACGTCGTTGTCCTACTTTCGAAAGTGTTGTGGGCGATTGGAGGAGAGGAGGAACGCGAGGTTGCTCGCTCCCAGCTCTTCGAGAGTATCGAGGCGTATCCTGAGCATCTCGGTTCTGTTCTCCTCCTCGGTACCACGGCTCTTGTCGATGGGAACGAGGATGTCCGGGATGCCGTGCTAGCTGAGTTGCAGGATGACAAGTTCTCTGCTGATCGACGGAAGAAGCTGGATCCCAAGTATGATGTGGAGAAGTTCCTGGCGGCTGTTGCTGTCACTCAAGGCAAAGACCCGAAGAGTATCTGGATGAATGCGTTACATGTTAACCCCGGTAGCACCAAATTGTGGAATCATCTCGCGAAAACCGTGCCTGGAGATGACGGCGCGAAGATCAGGGAAGCAGCGAAGAATGTCGCGGAGAAGGAAATTGCTGTTAAGGGTGAGGAGTTGGCTACGGCGTACGAAGCTGCTGGGGAGATTCAGAGGGGAATTTGGGTTGCCCCGTGGATGCATGTGTAGAATAGAAGACAAAGTAGAGCGTGAGGGAATTGCCAAAAAGAGAGAGTTATTGCATACAAAAGCCACAAAGCAAAAGATCACAGATCGCGAGCCAGAGTCGACGGGTCTACTCCTTGTACACAACGCACTCGCTCTTTTTGCCCTTGACCAACAAGCTGAGCAAGTCAGGACGCGAGTAGTGCCCACAAGGGTCGGCCATGTTCTTCGCGCTATCAATATCAGTCAAGTCGATTTCAGCACAGACAAGCCCCTCCTGTCCAGCAGGAAGCCTCTGCACCATCGGCCTCCCATCCGGCCCAAAGATCATACTGAACCCACCACCCGGAACCTGCATCTGCTCAACATGATCAATCCCCAACGTCTTCGCCCCGTCCACACTAACAACTTGGCTGGCCAACAACACGAACGCCTGCCCCTCAATCGCGAAAAACTGACTCGCGACATAATTCGCCTCCTGCGTCTCATGATAACTCAAAACCCCGCCTTCCTTCCAGAAAAACATGGGTGGCCATGCCGCGACGTGGATTTGGGTGTTTTGGGAGTATGTGTGGTAACGGAGGAGGGGTTGGAGGTGTTCCCAGCAGTTGAGGGCGGAGAGGTTGCCGAAGGGGGTTGGGATGGTGGTTTTGAGGGAGTCGGCTTGGCCGTCGCCCCACATGGAGCGTTCGACGTGGGTTGGCTTGAGCTTGCGGCGGTGGTGGATGATGGTGCCGGTGGGGTCGATGAAGACCTGGGCCATGTAGAGGGAGCCCTTGTCGCGCTCGGAGAATCCGAGAACGACGTAGATCCCGGCTTCCTTGACAGCAGCGAGGATGGTACGCATCTCGTCAGAGTCGATGGCGAGGGAGTTTGCGATGTACTTTTTGATATCGGGTTTGTTTTCGCCGACGGAGCGAGTGAAGATGAACCTATTCCCACTGATTGTCAGTCACACAATTGATCAAGGAGAGGGGGGGGGAAGGGTGATGTACCACGGGTATCCGGGGATGAAAACCTCGGGGAAACCGAGGATGTCGGCACCCTCCGCCGCGGCATCAGCGATGAGACTGGTGACCTTCTTGACTCCGCCTTGGAGATCGAGCCAAGCGGGCTCGGCCTGGACTGCGGCGACTTTGGTCTTCTTCACCATCATTGAGGTTTTTGTAGTGGTAGTGGTAGTGGTTGTAGTAGTGTTGTTCGATCTGTTGATGAGGATCAGAGAGAGGAGGACAACGGTCCCTTCTTATACTCTATGAGTATCCCGACGAGAACGCTTTGTAAGCATCCCGTTATCTCCACTTCGTGACCCGGTTCCCTGTAACCGTACATTGATCTGTATGACAGCTGATCTCCACACATACTTATCGATATCGGGTACGTGCAGTGGGCGAGCCAGCCGATAAGATACCCGAGGACCCTGGGGTCCGCTAGTGTTTTACAGAGAGTTAATCCGGAGTCGAGGGAGCAGCGTGACGTGCATTGTAATTGTGGGGCTTAGGCAGACGCTCCCGTCGTCCGGAACATCCCCTGTAAGTACATGATGTACCATATCCTGGGGTCACGGTTTTTTCAGTGACAGGGCTTGGGATCGAAGATACACAAAGAAGGTACCTGTTCAAGCAGCTATATAAGGTCATTCTAGAGGGCAGGTCATGTCATAACCACTCACTCCTCCCCCTCCCCCTTAAACGTCAAACTAACACTGTTAACACAATGCCTCTCATCCGTCGGCGTCCCATACCCCTCCCCCTTAAACACATGCCCCAAATGCCCCCCACAATTCGCACACATAATCTCCGTCCTGCGCATTCCCCACGCGTTGTCTTCACGCCTGATTACGCGACCGGGAATGGCATCAAAGTATGCGGGCCACCCACAGGATGAGGGGAATTTGTGGGAGGAGAGGTAGAGAGGCGTGAGGCAGCCTGCGCAGGCGTAGGTTCCGGGGGCTGTGTGGGAGGTGTAGGCGCCTGTGTGGGCCGGTTCCGTGCCTTGTTGGCGGAGGATCCGGAATTGTTCGCTATGGTCTATCTTTCAGCTCAGTTCATTGGAGAAGAACATCAGGGAACGACATACGGTGATAAGATCGCCCTCCACTCCTCATCACTCTTTTGTACGGGGTATCCTCCAGACGATGACGATGACGACGGCATATCGTCACTCTTGGGCGCGGGAGACGACGTTGAGAAAAACGGGATAGAGATTGCGGCGAGTCTGGTTGCTGTTGCTGTGATAAAGGGTCTCTGAACGGTACGAGTTGTTGTAGCGAACCTTCTCAGCATCGGAGTTTGAGTTTGTGATCGATTCGGAGGGTGCAGTACGGTATAGTACAGTACGGTACAGTACAGTACGTCACTGACGACGGGCGCGCGCGGTGGCAACGATTGATGACCTGTGATAGACGGGACCAATGAACGGCACGTCTGTGCAGTGTGCAGTCATGAGGTAGAATGGTATAACAGTGTAGTGTTGGTAAATCGTATAAAAAATTCTACTTTCAAGACCAATTGTCAATCCAGATTGTGCCCACAATATCCCACTAACTCGAATAACTCTATTCGTGATACTGGATAATTTTATTCGTGTTTTATAATCGTGTTTGGTAGAATTTGGGGGTCTCGTAGGGTTGCCGTGGAAAGAAAAAAAAAACTGTTTACTGTTCTTATCTTCTTACACAATATAGCTATAGCAACGTGTATCGTCTGCAAGTTTATTCACAGCTTGGTCAACCCCCAATCATCCCTCGCCCAGCTCGCCATCAACTTGTGCGCAATAGCACTATCCGGCGGCACCCTCAATCCCCCCTTCCACTCCTCCTCCACCCCATCAAATATCCCAAACGTGGCACTCTCGAGCGCAGTCTGGACCTCCTCCCTCGTAAACCACCTCGCGTCCTCGAGTTCTGGGTCGTTGCCCAGATCGACGGTGGTAGAGGTGGGGAGTGCTTCGGCGATACACCCGATCATGATGTTTGCCGGGAATGGCCAGGGTTGGGAAGAGTGGAATTGCACGCGCCCACAGATAATCCCGGATTCTTCGTACACTTCACGGCGGACGGCTTCCTCGATTGATTCTCCCGGCTCCAAAAATCCGGCGAGGGTGGAATAAAACCCCTTTGGCCACTTCTTGTTTCGGCCCAAAAGGATCTTATCGCCCTCGGGACTGATGACGGCCATGATCACGCTTGCGTCGGTGCGTGGGTATGCGAAGTTGTGGAGACCCTTTCGGGAGATACACGCTGGTCTCTCGACCGCTGGTTTGTTCAGTTCGGCGGGGTCGAGAGAGGTTGGGGGACACACCCGTTTAGCACCAGCCCAGACGGACATCGTCCTCCCACCACACCCGGCACAAAACTGGTTCCTTGCATTCCAGTCGACGAATGAACGTGCTTGAGCAACGATCGCTGCTTCTCCCTTCTCGAGCGCGGTACCGAGTCGGATGTTTCGGTATTCCGCGTTGTACTTTTCCGCGAGGAGTGTAGTTATTTTCTCCGCGTCGGCGGGGTTGGGAAGTTGAGCGGGCGTAACGTCAACGACCCAATACGGCACGCCCCTATCCTCCTTATTCCCATCCTCCTTTACGCGCTCATCACAGCCCACGAACACCAGCGTGACCTCCCTCTGCCCCTCACTCCACCCCTCAACCCTCTCATCATCCGTCTTCTCGAATCGGTTCCCGCCGAGTACGTGTTTGATTTCGTCGTAGGTTACATAACACAATTCCCCGCTCTCCTTGTTCGTGGAAGGGTTGAGGGAGTGGAGGAGGAGGAAGCGCGCGGCGGGGTGGAGGAGGGAGGATGAGAGGAAGGTGTGGGAGGTGCGGAGGAATGAGAAGCGGTTTAGGGGGGAGCCGGCGTAGTAGTTTATCGTCTCTGGACCGAACTTCTTGTCCAAGAGTGTTGGGTGGTCCATGGTTGGAGAAGTAGCAAAGGGTCTCGGACGCTTGATAAGTGAACTGAGAATTGGAATCGAGATGGAGGAGGTTGAGCGGGGGAACATGCAAAGCGAATCTCTCGGCGAGACGGCGGCCGGTCGTGAAGTCACCCAGAACGCGCGCGGCTGACTAAGGATCTTTCGCGGGAGTGCGATCCGGTTACCCCACCCAACAAAGAACGACGGCAACGACATGTACACCCAATTGGATCGTGTTGTTTTGGAATTAAGCGGAGTTCTACTCTCTTTGCCCGTCTCACAGACCCTCAATCCTCCTCCCCGGAACATACATCCCCGCCAACCCAACCACCCCGGCAGCCTTCATCGCCTTGTTCTGGCTCGCAATCGCCCGTCGCACCGGCTGAACTCTACTCCCCAACACCAACGTCCCGGTCAACAACGCCAAACTCCCAGCCTGGTGCGCGGCGGCGAGAGGGATGGGTACACACATCAATAACGTACTAATCCCCAGTGCGACTTGCATCGTAACGAGTGCCATACACGCGTCCGCTGCGCGTTTAGCGGGCAGGGGGAGGAGCGGGAGACGTTTGCTGTAGATCCAGAGCGCTAAGGTGGCGAAGAATGTGGTGGTCGCCAGGATACGGTGATCGAGTTGGACGAGGACTGGGTTCTCGAGGAAGTTGCGCCAGTAGAGGTCGGAGTGGTCGGGGGATGTTGCGTAGTCTGAGGAGAAGAGGTCGGAGAGGGGGGGCGCGAGACGGCCGGGTCCGCCCATGGTTGGGAATTCGTTGTAGATCATTCCGGCGTCTAGGCCTGCTACGAAAGCGCCGGAGAGAGCGGTGAGGAAGACGAGGGCCATGAGGAAATGAGTGTACCTCCTAAACGGCCTCAACTCGGGCTTGGAGAGAAGTTCGTTGGAAGGGAGGCTCTTGGCGTGACTCTTGAGGATTTCGAGACCAGTGTTGAGCATGGCGACGTAAACTAGGAATGCGGTTCCGAGGTGAGTGGCGAGACGGTATTGCGAGACGCGGGGGTGTTTTCCTTCTTCGAGGAGTTCGTCCTTGAGACCTGACGCAACCATCCACCATCCAATGAAACCCTGGAATCCAATAAGCGCACCAATCCCAAGAAGCCGTTTGGCAATCCTCGGCGTAACCCGTCTCCGGGCAATCAAATACAAAGTTGGCACAACAAACACCAACCCAATCGCCCTTCCCCAAACCCTATGCGCCCACTCAAACCCAAAAATATACTGAAACTCCGCAAGCGTCATATCCTCACTCCGCAACACCTTATACTCGGGCGAATTCTTGTATTTCGCGAATTCCGTTTCCCATTCTGCGTGGGTGAGGGGTGGGATGGTGCCGGTTACGGGTTTCCATTCGGTGATGGAGAGGCCGGATTCGGTTAGGCGGGTGAGGCCGCCGATTACGACGATTCCGAAGACGAGGGAGGCGGAGAAGAGGAGCCAGTAGCCGGTTGCTTTGGAGTTGACGGGGGGTGATGGTGGTGGAGATGGTGCTTCGGCCGGGGGTGCTTCGGCGGAGGCGGTGGAGGCGGCTCGTCGTACGAGGAGGCCGTGTGCGAGCTTGGTGATCAAGTCGTTTTGGGATGTTGGTCTTGTAGAGTTGAACCGCGAAAAGGTAGCCTGTGTCGTAAAAGCGATGTTCGCCCGATGAGCAAGAGGCGCCGACGCTGACAGAAAAGTGGTGGCGGGCCGTCTGACTGTTGAGCGCAGCGATAGCCTACAAGAGGCACATATCGACGACCTGAACATCGTCGTGACCTCCTTGAAGATTACCGATGGAGATCGAAGTCGAGGAGTCGTTTGTTCGTAACTTTAATTAGGCGCTGCGAATGCACGGACCGGCATTGGCTGGGGTGCACGTGCATCGGGGTGCTCGAGGGTGACCTTCGCTTATAGAAAGCTCTTCAAAATGTTTGTTTTTCGTAAAACTGAATCTGTTTCGATATGAGCTGGTACGTTGCATCTTTCGGTAGCACTTCCGAGGCCGGGCATAATCTCGCACGGGCCCCGCAATATGATATCAGACGAACAGGCAGAGTTTCGATGATTCCCTGACCTTCTCGAGCAGTTCTCACTCGCCAGTACCTTCCGCAAGTGATCCAACATGACGGACTCGCCCCCCTCCTCCCTCCCAATCATCGACATCTCACCCTGGGTCAACCCCTCCTCCCACACCTCCTCCTCCCGCCTCTCAACCTCCCGCGCCCTCGACTCCGCCTGTCGTACCCACGGTTTCTTCTACCTCTCCAACCACGGCCTCGAACATCTCACCCCTAAAATCCTCCACCTCGCCCGCCAATTCCTCACGGAATCAAGCGTGGAGGAGAAAGAGAAACTCAAACTCCGCAGCGCGGGAAAGGGTGGAGGCGATGGAGCGAGGGGGTATCAGAGGATTGGGGAAAACGTGACGAAGGGGAAATCGGATTATCATGAGGCGCTTGATCTCTATCGTCCTTGGCCGGAACCGACGGAACCGCCATACGAACCCATCCAAGGCCCGAATCAGTGGCCTTCACACCCACCAGGGTTCCGCGAAACCTACGAAGACTATATCGACAAACTCCAAACCCTCGGCAGGACACTCCTCCGTGCAATGGCCATCGGCCTAGGCGAACCCGAATCCACCTTCGACACCGCCGTACGGGACTCATTCTGGGTCCTCCGCTGTATCGGATATCCACCACTCACCCCCTCCCCCTCCCCCTCCCATCTAGAGGAAGGCGTGAGTTGCGGCGAACACACCGACTACGGGTGTCTCACCCTCCTCCTCACAGACGACACGAGGGGCGCTCTCCAAGTCCTCCACGCGCCCTCCGGGAAATGGATCACCGCTGATCCGATCCCCGGATGTTTCGTGGTTAATATTGGGGATATGTTCAACGTGTGGACAAGCGGACTTTATGCATCGACGTTGCATCGCGTCATTCATCGTGGTGGGAACTACAGGGTGAGTGTGCCGTTTTTCTTTGAGCCGGGGTGGGAGGCGAGGGTTGATGTGTTGCCGGGGTGTGTGGGGAGGAAGGGGAAGGAGGGAGGGGTGGTTTATGGGGAGCATTTGCTGGGGAAGGTTTTGGGGAATTTTGTGTTGGAGGATGGGTAGGGTGTGGATCTAGAGATGGAGGGGGTGGTTTTGATTGGTTAGCGGTGCGCTGTCTACTCCGCTGTGCTTGACTTGCTATTCACCAGAAGTTGGAACCAGCTACGGCATACTGCTGAGCCAGGCAAGACTCAACGTCTTGCAAGCCAGCTTGGACTCCTTTGCTATCGTTTTGGTAGTATCGTTCAGAGGATTGGATGGTGGGTTAGGCAGAGAATACGAACGAGAGAACGAACGGGCTATTGAAAAATGCTACAGAGCTAATTCTTTTTCATGCATTAATCGGACAGGTGGGCGAATCGCGATTGGCCTTGGGTGGTTGACGCTAGGGTTGTCCCAATCCGGTACCGGGTATACGGAAAAAGCAATAGCCAAGGATCCAAGAATAGCCATAGCTGCGTGTGTGCATAATGATGAATATTCTTTCTGTTGATCGCGTAGATTACAGGTATCAATCAGATGCCGAACCCACTTGTGCTATATTCAAATTCCACGCCCGCAAAATGCCTGACGGCCGTCACCCGCTCCTGACGACGGGCCGAACTCTAACTCGGGTCATGACAATTGGTCACGCGACTCCTATGTCTATATAAACAAACGAACGTGTCCCTCTACTCTCTCCTACCATTCCGCACCACGAGCAATCCTCGAAACATCGACGTCTGCATCGCCTTGCCATATCCTTGAACCCAACGTTACCACAAGCCCACGCGCAGCCGTACGATGTCATACCCTCTCAACGCAACAACCCACAACGACATCGACACAACCCTCCTGCAGCTGACATCCACCACCATCGTCCTCTGTTCCTGCAACGTAGTCAAAACAGATTGTGCCGCATGCCGGTACGATCGCATTTTCGGTGCACCAGAGTCCATAGCAAACTCTCCAGGTAGCGGGAAGTGCTGACTGAGTGTACAGAGGAAATACAAGCGAAACATAAGGAGATAGCACCGTGTGCGCATGAAGGAAAACACCATCGGGTCGATTGTCCGTTGCAGAGGGATTGGGAGGCTATTGGGAGTGGTGGGCGGTATTGGTAGATGATACGTAGTCCAATCCATCAATATACGTCGAGTCAGAACAAGCCTTGTGATTCTGTAAATATCATGCCGGAAGTATTGTATCAAATATTCGAGGGATGCAAACTACCCATCCTCCAACCTCCTCCCTCGTCGGCTCCTCCAAATCGAGGAGTCCTTGACTCTGCTCAGCCTCCATCATGTCTAAAATTCTCATCAACTCAATCGCCCTGTTCTTCGGCGTCAGAATTGCTCGTACAAGAATTCAATAAGACGGCGGTGTTTGGTTACGGTTCGTTATCGATTAGCTGTAGAGCTCCTCACGTGATCTGGGGCAGCACGCACCGAGCCCATCGCAGTTACCGCAGCGTCCCAGTCACCTCCAAGAATTCGACAGAGTTTGAAGGATGTCGAAAAGACCAGGAGAAAATATGAATGACGCTACAGCATTCGACTCACCCGCCTCGAAACGCGTGCGGATTAAGGATGTGGACGACGTGAGCGCTGCGCCGATAACCCCCGTTATTCGACCACCATCCCCGGCGGACGAGACCAATGGCACTACGAAACACGATCATAAGGAGGAGGAAGAAGAGGAACACGAGTATATCGTCGCACCACAACACAGAAGAAAAGCGCAACAAATCGATTCCGACATCTACCTCGACACAATAACCCCGACCCACCTCGACTTCGACTTCCAAAAAATCTGCTCAGTCTCACTCTCCACACAAAACATCTACTGTTGTCTCGTCTGCGGGAAGTACTTCCAAGGCCGTGGTCGCTCCTCCCACGCCTTCCGACATTCTGTGGATTCGGATCATCATGTTTTCATGAATTTGTCGGATGAGGGGAGGTTGGGGGTGTGGGTTTTGCCGGAGGGGTATGAGGTTAAGCGGTGCGCCGGAGTCATCGGAGACATTAGGCGGGTTGCGGATCCGAGGTATACGAAAGATGATGTACGGAATATCGACGCCATCCCCGAGACAAACGCCGTACCAAAGGATTTGTCGGGCAAGTCGTATTTACCGGGATTCGTAGGTTTGAACAACATCAAGGCAAATGACTACGTCAACGTCATCCTACAACTCCTAACCCACGCCCCACCCATCCGGAATTTCTTCCTCCTCTCTCCACAGATAACCAACGGGCTTCCTGGAGCATTGGGAGCACTGACACGGAAAATCTGGAATCGGCATGCGTTCAAGGGACATATCTCGCCACATGAAATATTGCAGGTCATTGGAGTGGAAAGTAAGAAGCGGTTCACCCTACTCGAACAGAAAGATCCAATGGAGTTTTTGGGATGGATCCTCAACGCCCTCCACACTGGCCTCGGCGGAACAAAGAAAAAACCAAGCATCATCACCAAAACATTTCAAGGACGCGTCCAAGTCGAGACTCAAACGATTGCTGCCGAATCAACCGGCTCACGCGTGGTATTCAAAGCGGATAAGAAAGCGACGACGATGACCCAGACCCCATTCCTCTTCCTCACCCTCGATCTCCCGCCAACGCCCCTCTTCCAATCCTCGATCGAGAAAAACATCATACCGCAAATCCCTCTCACAGATCTCCTCAAAAAATACGACGGGAGCACGGAACAGGTTTCTGAGGGTGGGGTTAGGAGGTATAGGCTTTTGGAGGTGGGGTGGTATTTGGTGTTGGGCGTCAAACGCTTTACAAAGAATGGGATGGGTGAGGTAGAGCGGAATCCGACGATCATAACACTACCGCCCTCGCTATCCCTCAACCTCGCGCCCTACCTTGCCCCCTCTTCCTCCTCCGACTCCCAGCCCGTCATTTTCGATTTGTTGGCAAACATCTACAACACTTCCGTACCCGACGAAGACGGCAACGAAAAATCTGTGTGGAGTATACAGCTCCGCGAAGGCAGGGCGGGGGATGTGAAGGGTAGGTGGTGGGAGTGTGGGGATTTGAGGGTTGAGGAGGTTAGGAGGGAGTTGTTGGGGCTGAGGGAGGGGTGTTTGCAGGTTTGGGAGAGGAGGCGGTAGATGGTAGAATCAAGCGATATTTCGACAGTGGTTCATTCTCCATGAAGTGAAGGTCTAGGAACGGTATGTGCCAGTGACCAATCATACCATCGTTCAGCATTCACCATAATGCATATGCCCAATAGAATTGATACCGCGGACATGAGTTTTCGTAAACCCGTGCGATCCGGTGAACCACCCATTCTACGTTTTTGACACCCCAGATTGAAGGCTACTTACAGTGGCAACTCTGACAGGCACGGATCTCGCGTTGCTTGCTGCAGTTGCAGAACACATGAGAGGGACCGGGGACAAGGGGGAGGACTAGGGGAGTCGGTGCGGACCCAGGTTTTGTGTAGGCCCCCTTTGGACATGGTGTTGATGTAACAGGAGTAGAAGCAGTTGAGTGACGTTGAGTATCTTGAATCTTAAGTGTAGGCTGTGAATACGGAAGTAGTGTTGCCATGCGGAAGCCCGCAAGGTCGGACCGTGTGATGACTCAGCCGGTCAAGGTTATGTATGACCATGTCATTGATGATGACACTCCCCTGATGGATTGCTAGCTCTTGATAACACCATTTGACTAGGGTTGATGCCTAGTCTGTGGGGTATCAATGCTCCTGTTATGATCAAAACTATCAACACTCCAAGGGCGACAGTCACGGCATAATTATCATTGAGGACTTTGTGTGAACAGTCTTGAAGCCGTCGGCAGCATAACATTCTCTGACAAGAACTAAATCATCTAAGAACCCAGGCTTTCGGATCCGGTGCTCCTATCTACTGTCCGGCGTAGGCATCGTATCACCCTTCAACACACACCCAACTGCATGATGTTTCCCTTTGTGCTCGCAGCGCATGCCAGAGGGGGTTTCTGTAGAGAGAAAATCAGTTACTCCCCAAGCCTCATTATCCGCTGCGTACTGAATCTATCATCAAATCGGCAAGAAACACATTCCTCCCTGGGCACAGAACAGGCACATGTGGTATCATCAGGCTGGGAGAGCTTCAGAGGTTCGCTTTGGGGGTTTAAGGACATGTTTGAATTTAGGTTGCTGGTCAGAAACTTTGAGGACTTGTTGTGGATGTATCAGTGTTGTTTACCCGGCTCAACAGGTGACAGCTCGTGGGAATGTACAAACTCAAATTCATAGCCTTAATTGGAAGTGTCATGTAAGGACCTCTGCTAGAAGAATGACCAATAGCACAAAAGACCGTAATGGTCCCACAACAACGACCGTCTTTGCATGGGCAAAAAGATTGATGATGACGAAGACGAGATTCGAACTCGCGCCCTTTCGGACCGCGGGATTACTGGTTGTAACCTTAACACGGCGCCTTAGACCGCTCGGCCACTTTGCCTGGTATGAATTCAAACAGCGCTGACATCTGTCGTGATTTCACTGGAAAAGATCCAGCTCCGTTACCTGCAGTAAATTATCTGATGTACGAGCCTTATACCTTCGAGACGGATCCCTAGAGATTTACACAGCGAAGGACATTACGGGCAGGCGATGTAAGAGCATATTCGATTTCCCACGGGTCATGCGCTTGACATCATCATTCATCGTCCCGATCGATAATAACCTCAAGTACGCGTCCTTCACCGCCATCATCGCTCTCCATCCCTTTCCATAACAATGTCCAACCCAATCTCCGATCCCTCAACCTGGACCACCGGCCACGACCCCGTAACTGAGAAACAAGCAGCCTTCCTCGCGAAACTCGCCACCGAGAAGGGCGTGGATGTCGATACGCAATCGATGGACAAATCTGAGGCGAGTAAGAAGATCGATGAGTTGAAGTCTGCGAGTGGTCCAAGTTCCGCCGAACAGGTATGTGGATCTCCAGGAAGTGGCGACCGCGATGGATTTGAAGCTAATGGAGTGTGATGAGGCGGGAGAAGGCCAAGCACCGGCACCAAAGACAATTTCCGATCCGGAGCAGTGGACGACGGGCGGTGATCCCGCAACTGAGCGTCAAAAGCGCTACATCGCCGTGTTGGAGAGACAAGCGGACGAACAAGTCAAGGTCGATCCCGACATGGACAAAACAGAAGCAAGCGAGAAGATCGAGGAATTGCGGCAGAAGACCGGTCAATAGCCCCGCAAACCGCTATAAGGGAGGATAAGGTGTACGATAGTTGATGACCAAAAAAATCATGTATTACACTGTATGACTATGACTGATGTACTCTTTCCACACCCACATCTAAGCGTTCAACCCACCAGTAGCATCAACACTCTTCTCCTCACCCTTCACAAGCGGAACCTCAGCCTCAACAGCCTTCGCATCAACCTTCTCCTCATCAGGCTTCGCACCAGCACTGACATCAGGCTTCATTGCCGGGAACAAAAGGACTTCCTTGATGTTGTTCGAGTCGGTCAAGAACATACACAAACGGTCCACACCCAATCCCCAGCCTCCGGTGGGGGGGAGACCATACTCGAGCGACGTACAGAAATTCTCATCGATGATTTGGGCTTCGTCGTCACCGGAATCCTTCTGGTTGGCTTGTTCCGCGAATGTTGCGCGTTGAGCGACGGGGTCGTTCATCTCGGTGTAGGCGTTACAAAGTTCCTTGGTCGCGACAAACATTTCGAAACGCTCGGTCAATCCGGGGCGGGAACGGTGGTATTTGGCGAGGGGGGACATCATTTGGGGGTGGTTCATGATGAAGGTGGGGTTGATGCAGGATTCCTCGATGAACTCGCCGACCAGTTTGTCGAGGAGACGGGCGTTGGTGAGAGGTGGGGAACACTCGATGTTGTGCGCCTTGCATTGGGCCAAGAGGAATTCTCCGGTTTCTTTGGTGTGGAGTTCGGTGCCGGGGGGGAACTTGACGCCGAGTTTCTCCTCGAGGGTCTCGATCATGTCGCAGCGCTTCCATGGGCGCGCAAAGTCGATGGTGAGCTCCCTGCCGTCGGGACCGTCGGGGTGGTAAGTAACCTTGGTACCACCGGTCAAAGCCTCGACCATTCCGGAAACCAACTCCTCCGTCATGTCCATGATGTCGTTGACATCGGCGTAAGCCCAGTATGCCTCGATGGTGGTGAATTCGGGGTTGTGGGTGAGGTCGATACCCTCGTTACGGAACTGGCGGCCGATTTCGTAGACGCGCTCCATACCACCGACGACGAGCATCTTGAGGTACAGCTCGGGTGCAACACGCATGAACAAGTCAAGGTCCAAATCGTTGTGATGGGTAATGAAAGGCTTGGCGGTAGCACCACCGGCGATCATGTTCATCATGGGGGTCTCAACCTCGACAAAGTCCTTGTTGTCAAAGTACTGGCGGATGTACTTGATGATCTTGGAGCGCATCAAGAACTTGTTGCGGGTGTTGTTGTTCATGATCAAGTCGAGGTAACGCTGACGGTAACGGGTCTCCTGGTCCTTGAGACCGTAGTGCTCGGTGGGGAGCATGTGGAGGGAAGGAGAGAGAAGGACGATCTCGGTAGCGAAGATGGAGAGCTCGCCACCCTCACGGCCCTTGGGGTTGGAACGACCGGGGTAACCCTTGACACCGACGATGTCACCACGGCGGATGTGGTCGTGCATGGCAGCGTAGTCACCAGCGCACTCCTGGGCCTGAGCCAAGATCTGGATCTTGACACCCTCACCGCGGAGGTCGTAGAACTTGAGCTTGGCACCGGACTCACGCTTGTTGTGGATACGACCGGCGACGGTGATGATCTCCTCGGGGAGCATGTCGCCCTTGGCGAGGTGCTCGTACTTGGTGATGAACTCGGTCAATCGGGTACCGACGTGGAACTTGTGGGGGTAGGGGTTGGTCTCGGGGTTGCCACGGAGCTTGTTGACGGCGCGGGAACGGATCTCGAAGTATTGGTTGGGGGTAAGCTCGGCCTCATCCTCCTCGGCAGACTTCTTCTTGGGCGCAGCGGCGGCAGGGGCCTTAGCAGCCTTCTCGGCCTTCTCGGCGGCCTTCTGACGGGTCTTTTGGCGCTTCTTGAGTTCGGACTTGGAGACCTGCTCGCCAGTCACGTCATCAAGGTAGGTCTGCTGGACCTTGTCGGCCAATTCGTTGACGGCAGCGGCAGACATTTTTGTGACGAAGATCGAGAATGCCTGGTGTAGTGTATCGTTCGAGCAACCGCCCGTTTTTTTAGAGTAGCAAATTCCAGGGGTAGCGCACGATCGACCGACGATACGTGAAGTCATCAAGAAGAGCGCGGTGAAGACAGCAATTCGACCTAGAAATAGATGAGCTGGAAGAATTTGTTTACGAAGTTTACGGAGAAGAAAGGGATCAATACCATTGTTCGTGAAACAGCTCCCCAATCGGCGCTGTAACCCTCACGGAAGACGAGGAAGCGCTCCGAGTCCACTCCGTCGGATTACTAAATCTATATTTCCCACCAGTGCCCGCGCCTGAAGAAGCACAGGCCAAGGGCTCTGTCAATGCGGAGCTGAAGGATCTTGCAGATGCGTACACCAAGCTTGAGGCCCGTGTCTACGATTACGGCAGCTGTACCGCGGACAGGAGTACGCAATACCATTTTGTAACGTACCCTTTCGTCAAAAGGACCAAGACGGACCCCAACCGAGCATGTGCTGTGCGTTCCCACGATTAGTCTTCTCAAGTCCTCTGTATGGGATCAAGCATGGGAAATTCAGGGGTTTCCCTGGGATCGGTCTGGTATTCGAACTTCTTCTTAAATATGTAGATATAAAGACTTTTACATCCTCGAAATTCATGTTTTCACAGATTTGTGTGACGGTCCGTATCCTCGACTGCACCGCAATTCAGCTGCTTTGAAATCTGCCGTGTCCTTTACTTAGAGTGGTCTACTGACTCGTTTGAACGAGACACTGGTGGAGCTTGGTGTCCCACCTTCCACCGACTCGCACACACTATTAAACGTCACAGGTTAGCAAGGCGATTCAACATGCTCTGTACAAAGCACTCACAAGATCGGCAAGCTTGGCCGTGCTCGGAGCAACAACAACCGCAACGAGGCCATGGGAAGCCACACCGCTCTGCTTGACGGCCCCAGCCTCGAGATCCCTAACCACAATACCACTGTTTGAATTGCTCTGCGACCCGCCATTTAGGTCACCGATGTTGTTTTGCTGGTTCGTCTGGATCACGCATTGCTGAAGCTGGGTATTGAGGGTGGTACCGAACTGGTTGCACTGTTCGAGGGTCACTGTGTTAGCAAATGGGCAGAAGCGCATGAAGTGGTGGACTTACGAGGTTCACGGCGATTACGATGTTAGGCGCGATGATGATAGTAATTGGCTCCGTAGCCCCGGGAGTCTCGGTAGGGGAGGCGGAGGGAACAATGTCGGTTTCAGGAGTGCTTGTAGGAGGCGTGAAGGTCGTTGAACCCACGTTGTCCACCGAGGCAATCTCTGAAGGAGTTGAGGTAGGTGCAGGACTAAGAGCGGTTCCGGAGGCAGAGGTTGCGGGGGTGGATGAGTTAGCGTAGATATCGAGAGGGAAGCGACTGGAAGAGGGTGCATTGAAAGAGATCGCAGGCGTGGGCAACATATCCTGGCGACCGGGAAGCGTGTTGGTCAACGGAATCTCCACGGTAGCCTGCACAGTCACCCCAGCAACGACGTTTTGGACAAAGTACGTAGTAGGCGTGTAAACCGCCTCGAACGTATACACTCCCATCCAGGTACTCTCGTCCGCCCACGAAGTCCATGGGACGTAGATCTGGGTTGTGGAGGGGGAGAGCGTAACCTCCGATCCGGCGTAGGTTACCACGGGCGCGAAACAGGCAGGACCCGTAGGAGTGCTGGGGGGGAAGTAGTTGGCGGGGGTGTTGGTGATGGTAATGTAGCGCGTCACTGTCGGAGCTGCTACTACCGTTGTGATCGTGGATGTAGCAACGACGACGTCGGTGTGCTCCGCGATAACGGCAGACCCGAAGGCGACGACGTTGAGGGCAGGAGCAGGGAGAGCAGCAACGCCGCCTTGCTCAGTCTGCGTCGTAGTCGAGTTGCCGAGCGTGGTGTTGAACCGGGGATAGTAAGCTGCTTCCACGGCGTATCCGCCGAGAAAGGCCATTGCACTGAAGATAGTGAAAGATTTGGTGATCATAGTGAGGAAGCAATTTGGTTGTGATAACGAGTGATTGGGACTGTCGAGGACATGAGGTCTGCCAAGCGGACGGCTTTTATAACCAACGTACAGTCAGAGGGCTCGAAGCAGACGGGAATTCGTGAGACAAGATGTGGGAGAGAGGTGGAGAAGTCCGTGCGTCCTACAGCGGCATTATTGGAGGAGCTCGGGTCATGGCACCGAGGTTTGTCTCGCGGCACGCACAGGCTTCGACGGCAGGATTCACGCGGGAACGCACAGACACTGCCGTGCCACCGGCCACCATACCAGGTTTCATTGAAGACTTTAAGGATTTAAGCGTAGCGTGTAGGTTGGAGGTAGTCCAGCCTTGCAAATTTCGAGCAGGATCACAGCAGTATCGACAATTGATCATGATCGTACGTCTACCGGTACCGTTTCACGACAGTACGCTGCCCCGCCCTCCGGTCGCCTGCAGTCTTACGTTTCTATGTCACAACATCAGTCCGTCTATGTGGTTCTACTGGTAAGCCTGCCTCTCACTCGCTACCCCGCTGTGGCTGACGTCGGAACGTCGACTCCAGCCAGTCTTAACGTTAACATTGGCGTGTGAGACCGCTGAGGGACCGGATGACTAGCCCTACGAGACCCCCAAATTCTACCAAACACGATTATTAAACACGGATAAAATTATCCAGTATCACGAATAGAGTTATTTGAGTTACTGGGATATTCCGGGCACAATCTGGATTGACAATTCGTCTTGAAAGTAGGATTTCTTATACAATTTTACCAACACTACACTATTGCTAGTACAGCGACAGGCGATGGAATCGGGGTTAGGGTTAGGGTTAGGGTTAGGGTTAGGGTTAGGGTTAGGGTTAGGGTTAGGGTTAGGGTTAGGGTTAGGGTTAGGGTTAGGGTTAGGGTTAGGGTTAGGGTTAGGGTTAGGGTTAGGGTTAG